ATAAAGCACCGATTTAAGCCAATTTATTTTCGGATGGCATTTTCGTAATTTTTTTGCGACGAAAGGCCATTTTTGTTTTATTTTGAAGGCTACAGATCACGGATTCGGCCTGAGGCTATTCTTCAACGATGATTAAGTACATTAAGTGCTGATTTGAGCGAATTTATTCCGGGCCCATTTTTGGCAGATTCCAAAGGGGTACCATCACATATTTCGGGCAATTTTTCCGAAATGCCATTTTCTTTCGATTCTGGAGGCTGCAGATCACGAAATCCGGCCGAGCCTATATCCACCGATAATTAAGTCTATTGATACTATTCTCCACGGATGATAAGTCCATTAAGCACCGATTTGAGCCAATTTATTTTCGGATGGCATTTTCGTAAATTTTTTTGCGACGAAAGGCCATTTTCGTTGGATTTTGAAGGCTACAGATCACGGATTCGGCCTAAGGCTATTCTTCAACGATGATTAAGTACATTAAGTGCCGATTTGAGCGAATTTATTCCGGGCTCATTTTTGGCATATTCCAAAGGGGTACCATCACAGATTTCGGGCAATTTTTCCGAAATGCCATTTTCTTTCGATTCTGGAGGCTGCAGATCACGGAATCAGGCCGAGCCTATATCCACCGTTAATGAAGTCTATTGATACTATTCTCCACGGATGATAAGTCCATAAAGCACCCATTTAAGCCAATTTATTTTCGGATGGCATTTTTGTAATTTTTTTTGCGACGAAAGGCCATTTTCGTTTTATTTTGAAGGCTACAGATCACGGATTCGACCTGAGGCTATTCTTCAACGATGATTAAGTCCATTAAGTGCCGATTTGAACGAATTTATTCCGCGCCCATTTTTGGCAGATTCCAAAGGGGTACCATCACAGATTTCGGGCAATTTTTCCGAAATGCCATTTTCTTTCGATTCTGGAGGCTGCAGATCACGAAATCAGGCCGAGCCTATATCCACCGATAATGAAGTCTGTTGATACTATTCTCCACGGATGATAAGTCCATTAAGCACCGAATTGGGCCAATTTATTTTCAGATGACATTTTCGTAATTTTTTTAGATCGAAAGACAATTTTCTTTGGATTTTGAAGGCTACAGAACACAGATTCGGCCTGAGACTATTCTTCAACGATGATTAAGTCCATTAAGTGCCGATTTGGGCGAATTTATTCCGGGCCCATTTTTGGCATATTCCAAAGGGGTACCATCACAGATTTCGGGCAATTTTTCCGAAATGCCATTTTCTTTCGATTCTGGAGGCTGCAAATCACGGAATCAGGCCGAGCCTATATCCACCGTTAATGAAGTCTATTGTTACTATTCTCCACGGATGATAAGTCCATAAAGCACCGATTTAAGCCAATTTATTTTCGGATGGCATTTTCGTAATTTTTTTTGCGACGACAGGCCATTTTCGTTTTATTTTGAAGGCTACAGATCACGGATTCGACCTGAGGCTATTCTTCAACGATGATTAAGTCCATTAAGTGCAGATTTGGGCGAATTTATTCCGGGCCCATTTTTGGCAGATTCCAAAGGGGTACCATCACAGATTTCGGGCAATTTTTCCGAAATGCCATTTTCTTTCGATTCTGGAGGCTGCAGATCACGAAATCAGGCAGAGCCTATATCCACCGATCATGAAGTCTATTGATACTATTCTCCACGGATGATAAGTCCATTAAGCATCGATTTGGGCCAATTTATTTTCAGATGGCATTTTCGTAAATTTTTTAGATCGAAAGACAATTTTCTTTGGATTTTGACGGCTACAGATCACGGATTCGGCCTGAGGCTATTCTTCAACGATGATTAAGTCCATTAAGTGCCGATTTGGGCGAATTTATTCCGGGCCCATTTTTGGCAGATTCCAAAGGGGTACCATCACAGATTTCGGGCAATTTTTCCGAAATGCCATTTTCTTTCGATTCTGGAGGCTGCAGATCACGAAATCCGGCCGAGCCTATATCCACCGATAATGAAGTCTATTGATACTATTCTCCACGGATGATAAGTCCATTAAGCACCGATTTGGGCCAATTTATTTTCGGATGGCATTTTCGTAATTTTTTTTGCGACGAAAGGCCATTTTCGTTGGATTTTGAAGGCTACAGATCACGGATTCGGCCTAAGGCTATTCTTCAACGATGATTAAGTACATTAAGTCCCGATTTGAGAGAATTTATTCCGGGCCCATTTTTGGCAGATTCCAAAGGGGTACCATCACAGATTTCGGGCAATTTTTCCGAAATGCCATTTTCTTTCGATTCTGGAGGCTGCAGATCACGAAATCAGGCCGAGCCTATATCCACCGATAATAAAGTCTATTGAAACTATTCTCCACGGATGATAAGTCCATTAAGCACCGATTTGGGCCAATTTATTTTCGGATGGCATTTTCGTAATTTTTTTTGCGACGAAAGGCCATTTTCGTTGGATTTTGAAGACTACAGATCACGGATTCGGCCTAAGGCTATTTTTCAACGATGATTAAGTACATTAAGTGCCGATTTGAGCGAATTTATTCCGGACCCATTTTTGGCATATTCCAAAGGGGTACAATCACAGATTTCGGGCAATTTTTCCGAAATGCCATTTTCTTTCTATTGTGGAGGCTGCAGATCACGGAATCAGGCCGAGCCTATATCCACCGTTAATGAAGTCTATTGATACTATTCTCCACGGATGATAAGTCCATAAAGCACCGATTTAAGCCAATTTATTTTCGGATGGCATTTTCGTAATTTTTTTTGCGACGAAAGGCCATTTTCGTTTTATTTTGAAGGCTATAGATCACGGATTCGACCTGAGGCTATTCTTCAACGATGATTAAGTCTATTAAGTGCCGATTTGAACGAATTTATTCCGGGCCCATTTTTGGCAGATTCCAAAGGGGTACCATCACAGATTTCGGGCAATTTTTCCGAAATGCCATTTTCTTTCGATTCTGGAGGCTGCAGATCACGAAATCCGGCCGAGCCTATATCCACCGATAATGAAGTCTATTGATACTATTCTCCACGGATGATAAGTCCATTAAGCACCGATTTGGGCCAATTTATTTTCGGATGGCATTTTCGTAATTTTTTTTGCGACGAAAGGCCATTTTCGTTGGATTTTGAAGGCTACAGATCACGGATTCGGCCTGAGGCTATTCTTCTACGTTGATTAAGTCCATTACTTGCCGATTTGGGCGAATTTTTTCCTGGCCCATTTTTAGCAGATTCCAAAGGGGTACCATTACAGATTTCGTGCAATTTTTCCGAAATGCCATTTTCTTTCGATTCTGGAGGCTGCAGATCTCGGAATCAGGCCGAGCCTATATCCACCGAAAATGAAGTCTATTCATACTATTCTCGACAGATGATAAGTCTATTAAGCACCGATTTGGGCCAATTTATTTTCGGATGGCATTTTCATAATTTCTTTGGCGACGAAAGGCCATTTTCTTTGGATTTTGAAGGCTACAGATCACGGATTCGGTCTGAGGCTAATATTCAACGATGATTAAGTCCATTAAGTGCCGATTTGGGCGAATTTATTCCGGGCCCATTTTTGGCAGATTCCAAAGGGGTGCCATCACAGATTTCGGGCAATTTTTCCGAAATGTTATTTTCTTTGGATTCTGGAGGCTGCAGATCAAGGAATCAGGCCGAGCCTATATCCACCGATAATGAAGTCTATTGATACTATTCTCCACGGATGATAAGTCCATTAAGCACCGATTTGGGCCAATTTATTTTCGGATTGCATTTTCGTAATTTTTTTGGCGACGAACGGCCATTTTCTTTGTATTTTGAAGGCTACAGATCACGGATTCGGTCTGAGGCTATTCTTCAACGATGATTAAGTCCATTAAGTGCCAATTTGGGTGAAATTATTCCGGCCCCATTTTAGGCAGATTCCAAAGGGGTACCATCACAGATTTCGAGCAATTTTTCCGAAATTCTATTTTCTTTTGTTTCTGGAGGCTGCAGATCACGGAATCAGGCCGAGCCTATATCCACCGAAAATGAAGTCTATTCATACTATTCTCGACAGATGATAAGTCAATTAAGCACCGATTTGGGCCAATTTATTTTCGGATAACATTTTCGTAATTTTTTTGGCGACAAAAAGCCATTTTCTTTGGATTTTGAAGGCTACAGATCACGGATTCGGTCTGAGGCTATTCTTCAACGATGATTAAGTCCATTAAGTGCCTATTTGGGTGAAACTATTCCGGGCCCATTTTAGGCAGATTCCAAAGGGGTACTATCACAGATTTCGGGCAATTTTTTCGAAATGCTATTTTCTTTCGATTCTGGAGGCTGCAGATCACGGAATCAGGCCGAGCCTATATCCAACGATAATGAAGTCTATTGATACTATTCTTCACGGATGATAAGTCCACTAAGCACCAATTTGGGCAAATTAATTTTCGGATGTTTTTGGCGACGAAAGACCATTTTCTTTGGATTTTGAAGGCTACAGATCACGGATTCGGTCTGAGGCTATTCTTCAACGATGATTAAGTCCATTAAGTGCCAATTTGGGTGAAATTATTCCGGCCCCATTTTAGGCAGATTCCAAAGGGGTACCAACACAGATTTCGGGCAATTTTTCCGAAATGCTATTTTCTTTCGATTCTGGAGGCTGCAGATCACGGAATCAGGCCGAGCCTATATCCACCGATAATGAAGTCTATTGATACTTTTCTCCACGGATGATAAGTCCACTAAGCACCAATTTGGGCAAATTAATTTTCGGATGTTTTTGGCGACGAAAGGCCATTTTCTTTGGATTTTGAAGGCTACAGATCACGAATTCGGTCTGAGGCTATTCTTCAACGATGATTAAGTCCATTAAGGCCCAATTTGGGTTAAATTTAACTCATATTCTTCATATTCTCCACGAACTCTATAAGTAATTGAACTAATTGTGATAGAATGGTCCATTGTCTGGGCAGAGTACCTCGCTCGATTCTACAGGGAATGGGGTAATACCTGCCCTATAGCTAGTCAGATAATACCCGCGAAATGAGTTCATATTGCCATCATTACATATAGGTTTACTTCAGAAAACAAAATGATTACCATGCCATAGTTGCCGCTATTTTTCAGTTAGATTGCACAAACCACAGAAAAATAAGGGATACTCATCATTCCCCTTACATAGATTTCCACTTCGAGTAGCTACTGGGAATCGGCAAGCAATAAATGAACTTATGTCTGGCTTACAAAAAGGTTCCAGTCCGACATAAAGCTTCAAAGGTTGCACAAAATGGAACATTTAGACCAATCTCTTGATACCCATCCATGTCTGTTACAAGATCCACTTGATAGTCTCCAGAATATGGCACCGAACAGAACGACAGATGAAGTGCAAAGCACCAACCCTTTTACCTGAGAAATAAACCAACAAAGCTAAGAGAGCTGCAAGGATAAGTGACTAGCTAAAGCCAATTAAGAGAGATTCCTGGAATAAGGTCAGTGTACCGGGACAAACTCTTGCTTCTGCTACGGCTCCTGCTGCCACTAGGACTCCTGCTAACACTCCGCTTCTTCGGGCTTTTACTCACGTGCTTCTTATTATGCAGACAATGAATATGTTAGTCACTAGAAGAGCTGAGAGCGGAAAAAATTGTCTCACTAATTGTAACCTACAACTATTCACATTGACAAAAGGATTTGACACAGTTGATCTCCTGAGGTCAACTACACAGCTTATCACTGCCAATACTGAATTCAGTTTTCAGACCCAAGTACATTAGACAGACAGAAACCAAAAGAGTAGAATTCAAAAAACATATTCTTAGCAACTGCACATTGGCCTCCAAATGAGAACTACTTACAGGTGGAACTGGAGATCTGGATCTGGACCTTGATCTGCAAAAAGTCCCACAAACAATCCAAAATTTAAATTCCACACGTTCCTGTTAACTACTGTGATCCAAGAGCCTTGATGCCACTTCCACGTCAGAGATACCACATTCAAACCGAAAATAAACAGAAAACCCACAAAACTTTAGCCATTAAGAAAAATGATGAATAATAATTGAAGGCTCAATTATCATAATAATAATGCCAAGCAGAAAACAAACCCAACCCGTCAGCAACGTGGCCTTTTTTAGTTTGTTGGACATGCCAAAAGCATATGCATCCAACTGTACCAAAAATCCACTAGTAGTCCAACTAGCAAATCCTATTAGCCTGGCAAATGTTGAAGTAGAAAAGCATAATCAATTTTGTTTCCACTGCCCATTGCTGGTGACTTCCAGATCCACTGGCAGTTAGTTCCAGCTCTACTATTGCAATCCATTATCTCCTTTTGTCCCAATCTAGCACCCATGGACAGTTGTCATGCTAAATACATTAGAACATAGAGACTGCAAGGTTTCCAAAGCTGTCCATCTTAAAAACAGCATACCTCTAAAACCCCAAAAATGACGAGGGAACTGAACCATATCCATCAAGATCCTAAGATCCAATTCCCAGATGGCTGCATATCAAACAAGACAACTTTCATACCGCAAAGTGCATATCACGGTGATTTTGTAGTGCAGAACTAATCTCTGCACTCCACCACTTACTAAAAAGAAGAACACTGAAGTCAAAGAACGGAACAGCTACAGAGATACGAAGTTTTAATAGGCTGTTTATAGAAGTTTCTCATTGAAGGCCTAAATACGTTTTACCCCGACCAGAACCCTATGTAGAACTTGGTAGAAAACAAGAATACACATCAAAATTCAAGAGCGTAGATAGTTAGACACCACAAGCTATCTTAGCTAAACTGCGGGTAATTAATCAGTTCCAGTCATAATACAATTCCAACCAAATCCAGTCCGAACTGGAAGGAAACCAATAAGTAGTAAGTTGCCTTGGAGAAAATAAATAGCAAAAATTATTCAATCTAATCATTTTCATCCGCAAAATTATGACGCACCAACTTGGCAGAGATAAAATAGAAATTTAAGCTTAATATACAAACTAGAATATAAAGATTATACATACTCCATCTTAATAAAGATTAGTAGCAACCACAACTGATACCTGGACAAAGAGCGTGACCTTGACTTGGATCTGGCTGGAGAATGACGAGAGGATTTATTCTTAGGCGACTTGCTGAAGCACAAGACAAGCAAATCAGTAAACAGAACATAATAAAAAATGTGGGGAAACAGGATTCAGCCAACAAATTGCGAATATAAAAAATCTGTACACCCAAGCTCAGAAACAACAGAAGATAGCCCCTGATAAAGCTTATATGCCATGTTCAACACACACAAAGAGAGTGAGAGAGAAAGAGAGAGACCTCAGACTCCGACTCAAACTGCGAGCACGGCTGCGGCTTCTGCTTCTGCTAGGACCTCGTGAACGAGATCTACCACGACTAGGACTCCTAGAGAAGTCTCTCTTGGAGTCGTACTCCCTTACCTGAAACCAATACAGAAAAAGTAACCTTAATGAATCTCAAAGGAAGATAATGGTCAAGCTACACATACCCACAAACGAAGGGAAAAAAGGACAGAAAAAACATTACTCATACCCGAACATACGAACGGGAAAAGGCATTTCGAAACTCCGAGTCATCGAGTTTCTTGATCTACAGGAGCAACAAGTATTGTGCATCAGAACACCACAAAGACTATGGAAACAAGTTGGCAATGTGTCTTTCAAGTGTCAACAGCCAAGAAAAACTTACTGCATACTTCATGTCTTCATAATTCGTATAATCCACAATACCTGTAGTGCCTGAAGACAGCCATTAAAGTAAAAATAAACACGTTTGAGACAGAGTTGATCAACAAGCTTCTAAAGTCTAGGCTCAGCAATCAGTTAGTATAATGTTACTAGACAATGGACAGTAAGCACGTCATTATACTGAAACTTGTTGGGTTGAGGAAGAGAAAGAACCATGATCAAGCTAACCAATTATCGAATCTAAATAAATTGAATCCCAAGACTTTTCCGTTAAATATGCAAAAGTCTGGGCGGAAAAAACATGATATTAATTGTCCAAATAGCACCATGGAAAATTTTCAAGCAAACAACCCCAAAGGAAACTAAAGGACAAGTCAGAGACTAGCATTCAGAATAAAAGCAAAAGTCTTACCATTGTCATCACGGAACACCTGGGAAAAACAGACATCGCCAGCTCGCCTCATGTGATCCTGGAAAAGAAAATATTTATAACTAATCAGCCAAACTGAGAACCAAAAAGGTCACAATTGCATAGAAATAACAGACATTTGCATACATTATGCTTGACTCTCGAAACATATGCAAATATATTCACGAATGACACTCACGGACGTTATAGCCCAAATACATTATGAGAAAAAAGGGACTTCCAGTAGTCACCTTGAGGTCTTGCCATGAAGCGGAAGATGGTAAGCCAGAGATCAATACTGCATCACAATTAACCCCAAGTTAAAGATAAAGATCTAGCCCCAGCTAATTTTCCCAGTTAGTAGCATAATGAAACAAAATTGCATGCTATGCAATACACACCACGAAATTCAGATCGTCTAGATACACCACGCCCCCGACCACCACCGTGACTGCTGTGACGGTCTGATGAGGAATTCCCACGACCCCCATGTGCAAGTTCTACCTACAAGACACAAGTAATTAACTCACCAATGGGCAGTTTACATACCACCTCACAGAAAAGAAAAGTATTTATATATCAATGAAGAAAGTAACAAACCCTCAAGCGATGCCCGTCAAAGTCGTACCCATCGCGACCACGAATAGCATCTTCAGCATCACGAGCATCTTCAAACTGAGGGGGAAAATGATCAACTAGGGCAGTAATGATGCAAACAAGATCAGGTAAGAAAACTCACCTCCACAAAAGCATAGCCCGGAGGCCTGGGTGGAACCTTCAAATCAATGTGAGCAATATGTCCAAACTGAAACAAAGTACCACAATCAGATTTCCCAGAATAGGTTATTTCCTGATAGAAGAGCAAATGCAATCGCATCTTTGTTGTTTCGTCTAACAGCTTCGTTCTTCCTCATCTAAAGTAATCATCATAAACTAATAGTTCAGCTACCCTTCATACCTAGCTAAAGTCTGAACAGTTTCCACTACTGTACAGACATGATGTCTTACATATATGGGTAGTGGGCAAGATATACGGTAAATTATGGGTTAAGCAACAATAAATTAAATTCTAAAAACTCGAACAGGCAAAAATAGCAATACCTTGTAGAACAAATCCTCCACTTCCCTCTCCCGGATATCTCCAGGCAGATTGCCCACATAGACAGTCCTGCTGGCACGGCTACTCATTTTATCCCTAAAATTAAAGACAAGGGCTTTCACAATCTATGCAACTTATAAGTAACAATCCAAACCGAAATTCTGTCAAGAAGTTCCACGACTCATAAGACAGAAAAGAAGAAGACAGATAATTTCAACCAGGGAGGAACCAATTCGTGGGACGTCGTACATGTATAATGGGGACTATTGAGTATTAAGTAACGAGCAATAATGTTGGTGAGATAAGGTAAAATAACGGATGCAGGCGTCCAGCACCGTAACGAGAAAGAAGAAAGATTGACGAAATTGATCTCAAGTACTGGCAGCGATTAGAGGATAGAGAGAACGAGACGGATGCAGGGACTGAGAGGGAGAGAGTTACCTTTCGACGATACTGTAGATGAGTGCCGAAAGGAAGAATTAGAATTAGGGTTTTAGAATGGAGAAGACGGGAGACTCCGCATCGTAAATAGGGGTGAGTACTGAGTGGGTCAACAAACAAAATGGAAAACCGACCGAACCGTCTAGCCCAAACCGACCCACTTAATCAAGAAAATTCAATTTTGTCATTTTGTGTGTAGGTGTCGACTTGAAATTTTGAAAACTGTGGCATTGTGATTGGGTGCAGATTTTGATGGTTATTACAGGGGAAATATTGATGGTTACAACTCGATATTACCTAAACCTATGTGTGATACAATATTATTCATAAATTTTTTATATATTTTATATGTGTTAATTGCATGGTTGGTCAAGATTACACAAACATTCAAGTTTGGTCACTCGAAATATTTAAATCCAATTTTGGTCACTCAAATTAGTTAAATGGTTCAAGTTTGATCACTCTCCGTCTAACTCCATTAAATTTGTCTGATGTGGCAGTCAACTCTCAAAGTTGACCATTAATTTAGTAACGTGGAAATTAAAAATAATAAATAAAATAAATTTTAATATTCTATCATTTCCAACTCATTTTTCCAATAAAGTAAAATAAATAAAACAAAAAAATTATAATTACAAATTGTAAGCAGTTTGCAGGCTTGCCAAAACAAGTTTAAAGAAGCAGGACGTGGAAGGGTGGCTCTCCTTCCTCCTGCCAAAGAGCTCATTGACCAGTAGGAGTGGGCATTCGGTCGGTTCAGTTTGAACCGAACCAAGATAGTATGTACCGACTTTTCGAATCTTCCCACACCCCAACCGAATTCGAACCAAAATATATTTCGGTTCGATTTGATCGAACCGAAATATATCCCGGTTCGACTTGCTTTTATTGCCATAAACCGAAAACTTCACCATATACTCTCTGCCGTCCCCACTTCCACCCTCTCTCTTCCTCAAACAACTTCTTCTTCATAAACTCTCTCTCTCCTCTCTGTCTCTCGCTCTCTCGGAGGAAACTCTCTCCGACCACACCTCAATTTCCGACTTCCCTCTCCGCCTCTACCCCTCTCTCCACCTGTCTCCCGCCACCGACACTATCTCCCTCATCTCAGCCTCTCGCTCTCTCTGAAGAATCCACAGAAGACGTTCGCCACTTCGCCACCAATCCCTCTCTCCGCCTCTTGCCTCTCCGCTCTATCCCTCGATTTCCGACCTTCCTCTCCGCCTCTACTAACCGCTCTTTGCTCCGCGTCCAGGTCGAATCAATCAGGTGTGGAATAGACTTTGCATGTCAGGGAGCTCTTCTCATCTTCCGTCGTGGTCTCTGCATAGTGGAGCGAAGGTCGATCTGATGGTGGAGCGATGGCGGACGGCTAGGCGGTGGCGGCCGCTATTTTTAGAGGATGGGTGGCGATCGCTGTGATGTGAGGCTAGGGTTTGGAGAGGATGGGGTTGGCTGTGGGCTAGAGAGTTTCAGTGGGTTGGGTTTCAGTGGGCTGGAGAGTGGTTGTGGGTGGGTTTTAGTTAGGGGTGTGGGTTATATTTCGGTTTTCGGTTCAGAATTCGGAATTCCAGTTTCGGTTGAGAGCATCCTGGTTTTCGAAGTAACCAGTTTCCTCTTCCGAATTCCGAACCGAACAACAATATATCGATTTTGGTTCGGTCGACTTCGGTTTCGGGTCGGGTCAGTTCGGGTTTACCGAACCGGATGCCCACCCCTATTGACCAGACATAGATAGGGGGATAATTTGTAAGTGATGATCATTTGTAAGGGGGACTCTGCCGGCCGCCGGACCCAGTTCCCTCCCAAGTCCCTTTCCTCGACATCTCACCCGCCGCCCCAAACCCAATCGCTGCCCTGCGACCACAACTTCGCCACTGCCCGTCACCCGCACGACCAGCTCACTATCGGCGAAATTCACCGGGTTCGATCAATTCTCTCCTCCTACCAACCCTTTCTCCCTCACTTCCCTTCGATTCAATCCATGTCCCTCAATGAACCGGACAAATCGCGGGTTCTGGGGTGGAAATCGGGCGAGCAAATACCGCCCAAGATGGCCTTCGTGGCCTCTTCATCGCGCTGCTGGACAATCAGTCTCATCTGCTCACGATTGACTTCGACTCGGGCCTAGTGGAGACTCACGAGATCAGTTCCGAGTCGGGTTACCCGATGCTAACGATGGAGGACGTCGTGGCGGCGGTGAAGATGGCGGTTTTGTATCCAGAATTGGAGATATCCGCCGCGTCTCGCGGACTCTCATTTGCAGTTTTGGCAGTCGGGGGGGTGGTAGTCGGAGCCAAGGAAGTCGGTAAAGCTCGTGACGAGCAGGATCCACTCCTACGCGAGGCTGCTCATCAACCAGGTGGTGGCCAAAGGGTGGGGGTATTGGTATTGGGGATTAGAAGAAATTAGGGTTTTTTTATTTAATTTAAATAAAAGTGATAATGAGGTGGAAATGATATGGCAATTTTGAAAATTTTATTTTTATTATTTTTAAATTGTCACATCACACATTTAACGGTCAACTTTTAGAGTTGACCGCCACGTAAGCAAAAATTAACGGAGTTGGACGGAGAGTGACCAAACGTGAACGGTTTCAGTAAAGTGAAGTACCACCAATGGATTTAAATATTTCGAGTGACCAAACTTGAACTTTTTTGTTATCTCAGTGACCAACCATGCAATTAATCCTATTTAAATATTTCACCCTATAGTTACTTCTTACCTATATATAGTTACTTCTTACCTATATCATTTGTTTCCATAGTTATAATTGATAAATTATAAATTCAATAATTTATTAAAATGTTCAGTTAAGTGAAATATTATTTTAATTATTTTATTTGTCTAGTATGAATGCACATATTAAATTTTATATACTTATATTGAATTGATTTTTCATCCAACCGACCCAATTGTGACTCAAGAAACACATAGGATTTTGAACTTAATGGGTGTGTTTGGATTATCGTAATTAAATTTGTAACTCATTGGTTTGGTGGTTAAAATGCTCGAAACGAACACAAACTATCTATGTACATTCCTAAAGGTGCAAATTTAGTCGGCTCGATCAAAACCAAATAGAACCCGATCAAAATGGAATCAAAATACCCTCAATTTGGTAATCGATTTCAAGTCAAGCATTAATTTGTTTGGTATGTTCCGACCGAAAAAAGTCGAATTTGGATCGAAATTGACCGGACAAACTGAAGCATACACCAATACATAATACTAAAATGAGAACCTTCTCTACCCCTAATGCCTCTATCCATTTTTCTTTCTCTCCCTCACTGCTTTTTGTGAATCATTAGTCTCCTCCCTAATCTATTGCTCTCGTGCACTATTTTCTTTTAGAATAGTGTATCTCGATGGTGGGACGACGAGCTTAAGACGGCGTTCAAGTTTTTGGATGCCTTCATAGGGTAATTTACGCAACAACACGTTGAGAGAAGCCCTGTTGGACCTTTGTGGGGCGAGTATATTCAGAGGATGACTGTTGGTAATTATCAATACAAGAGACTGACATAAAGGAATGGATTGGATGATTTGAAGAAGCGGGGGGTCGGGGGTGCTTGGCGTCGGAGGTAGAGCTAGCGGTCGTTTGGAAGCCTTAGTACAATAATTGAGAGACAGGAGTTGGATCATGAGGTTTGGGTTTGAAGGTTGGGCACAGGAGCGTGAGTGTGTTACAGAGGGTCTGAGTCATGCATTTGGTTGGCTGGGCTTTTTGTTGGTTCGGAGGTTTTTGTCAAAAATTGAAGTTCAGTTTCGGTCAATTTAGAGCTGATGGGCAAAGTAAGTTGTGCCGCAAAATGAAAACTTAGGCCCTGTTTACTTTCATTTCTGTTTTCTGTTTTTGAGAAAACAGATGTTGAAAACAGGTGAAAACGACATTTTTTCGCTTTCGAAAACAGCAGGAAGCTGTCACTTTCTGTTTTCAGAGTTGGAAACGAATAGAAAACAGAATGAAAAGTAAACATATTTTCTCGTTTCGTTTGCCAAATTTATAACATGAAAACAGGAAACAGGAAACGAAAATGGAAGTGAACAGGGCCTTAGTCGATCAAGTGCTAGTTCAATATGATTTGATTTCGGGTGAGTTTATCTTTATCAAAACGGATGTCCACCCCTACTCTTAAATTCTTATCAGAAATAGGTTATTGGAGGAGACGCAGAGTCCACCTCTACAACAAAAGTTAGTGTGTTAAATGTAATTTGTTATCATTGTGATAACATGAACCCTAACTATTGAAAAAATCCCCTTCGTTGACTTTTATGTTTAAAAGTGGGTTACACTTGTCATTTTAAAAAATTATAGGGAGAACACGCTTGTGGACCACAAGTGTCATAAAACATATAAGAGAATTCAGACAAAAAAACAAGCCTACATTCCACGATAATGGTAAATAAGGTTGTTGGGGTGACATAGTGCGAATGACTGTTGCATAAGATTATGGAACATTTTTTACATCTTTGGATGTTAAATCTTGAAATCGGTCTATGTGCTCTATGTGCTCTGCTCCTATGATGGGCATTGCCTTGAGGATTCCTCTCCATAATGGTAAGTGTCTACTGGTTTTTATAGAGTTTAAAGCACCATCCCTATGCCTAAAGTATTTGCTTTGAAATACCTACACCCAAAGGGCCTTTTCATTGTTAAGGATTTGCCAAGCCAACCTTACAAGGTAAGCCATATTCAACTACGGATACTCCTAAGTCCAAGACCCCCCTAATCTTTGGGTTTACAAATAATATCCAATCAATTAAGTGCACTTTCCGTTTGCCATCCTTAGCTCTCCACACAAAGCCTATGATCTTTCTATGAATTTCATCACACACTGACATAGGTAAGACAGAGGATTGCATAACATAGTTAGGGATGAAGTTCAGCACTACAGTAGCTAGAGTGGCTCTACCATCAAGGGAAAGGTTTCTAGCTTTCCAAGCATCTATCGTACTATCCATTCTCTATAGTATATGTTTATGTATATCCCTAGTAACCCTTCCATGCAAAACAAGGGCGTTTAGGTATTTTTCTAAGTCAGAAGTGTTTTGGATGCCAAGGGGATTACATATAAAAGTTTTTTCTAGGTTTCTTACATTCGTAGAGTAAAAGACCAGAGAATTCTCCTTGCTAATAAGCTCTCCTGAGTCAAGGCAGAACTTCTCAATCCATTCCATTACAATTTCTTCTTGCCTCGGATTAGCCTCAGCAAAAACAACGAAGTCATCAGCAAAGAAGAGGTGTAAGAAAGTTTAAGTCCTCCTTTAGAAAGTCTAATAGGCTTTCATATACCTTCCCTGACTTCTCTAAAAATACAATGGTCAAAGAGTTCACTGCACAAAGTAAAAGAGATATGGAGAAATGGGACATCCCTATCCGAGACCTCTTCCTGATTTGAAGTTCTTTGTATCACCTTCATTCCAGAGGTCTTGAAGCTCTATTGTGGTGACACAAGTCATGATTAAGCGAACTCCATCAGTAGGGATTCCCACAGCTTACAGAGTTTCTTTCTAAAAATCACAGTCAAGTCGACCGTATGCCTTGACAATGTCAATCTTGACCAAAATATCTCCCTTCTTTCTTGACTTCCATTACAATAGTGGACAATTTCTTAAAGAATTGGGATATTCTCATTGATATTTCTATTCGGCACTAAGCTTGATTGGTGGGTCCGGCTAGGGAGTTCATCAAGGGTTTAGGTCTCTCTATAAGACACTTACCTAAGACCTTATAATTGACGCTACAAAGGCTAATTGGTCGAAATTGGCTCATTGTTGTGCTTCAAATTTGGGAATCAATGACATGAGGGTCCCATTAATACTTCTGGCAAGGTCTGGGTTCAAAAATCATGAAGATACAAACTTATAGAAGTTAGCTGCAATCAACTCCCAACATCTTTGGTAGAATAGGGCATGGTAGGCATCCTTCCCTAGTGCTTTCATCTCCTTCATGTTAGAGAACAAATCTTTCACTTCCAGCATCAGAGGATGTGGGTTAATGGCCTTGAGCGCCACTTCATTGGATTTCGACAAGTCAGCAGCCACATCAAAGTTTATTTTAGTTTATATTAAAATTTTCTATATTTTTCCGATTTGTTTACAAGTTGTTTCGTATTTCTTCAAAAAATTCACTTTTGTATCTATAATTGGTTAAATTCGTCCATTTTATTTTATCATATTAAGCAATATTTGAATTTATGAATTTTGGAATTGGTAAATATATTATGTATAAAAAACATGGTTTTATCATGAGTTTAGAAGAGATAAATTATTATTTTTGTGATTTTGAAAATTTTTTAAGTGGGTTATGTATTAAAAAATCTGTGAACTCTTTGTATGTGTTTAAAAATTCCTCATATATTTTTTTTTTTTTTTTTGTCAAAAGATATCATATATTGATAAAAGATAGTTACATCCTGGAAACCAGCCAGGCCCTGAAATCAAACAAACGACTCATAGTCGGATACAAAGAGAGGGCTTTTCTAGCTACCGAATGAGCTACCCTATTGTTTTCCCGACCTATAAATCGCACACTAAACCCCGGGTGATCACACAAATATTGCCCAATTTCCTCCAGGATCGCCCCCAAACGGTTGTTCCTCCTGTCACCCTGATTAATTTTATCAATAAGCACCTTGGCATCACCCTCAAACCGGACCTCCGTGAAACCATACTCCAAACACCAGGTCACTGCCTCTCTCAGCACCAGCAACTCTACCAGTGCAGGCTCATCCATCCTAGGAAACTGCACCCCCTGTGCCAGAAGTATGTTATCCTGAACGAGAAGAACCATCCCACCAGCAGAGTGCGATCCCCTCCTGGTTGCCCCATCCCACCTGCAAACCATACGTGCATCCTCCCCCGAAACCAACTGAACCCTTGGCCCTGCCACCGTAGTCGCCCCCCTAACCAAGAATCCTAGCTACGTCCCTGAAGTCGTGGACATGCATAGTAGTGGCCATGTGTTTATTCATATTGCAGATGAAGTGGATTCTACGGCTTTGGAAGTGTGAGAAAGCTTGCATCCTTTGCGTTGACGCGTCTATCTCCTCCTGCATAGGTTGAGCTTCTTTCATGAGCCTGTTTGCATGTGGCTCCTTCGTTTGTTTGTTCTGCAGGTGCATGGTGGAGTGTTTCTATAGGCCGCGTATCACCCTACATTATTGGTGCAAGATTTGCTTCTTTGCCTCACTTTCAAGTATGGTTGGTTCCGTGATTATTACCTACATAGGGCAGAAGTCATGGATATTGCCCATGTCGTGTAGGTCTCCAAGAGCTCTTCGTTTTGTGGTAAAAAAAATGCTCTCTTATTGATGATTCAGCTAATTGTCGATCGTGTCTTTTCTCTTACATAAATTATTAAGATTGCTTGAAAATATTTCTAATTCGTATCTAGATGTTCTGTTTTGGGATTTTAAAAAAAATAAATTAAATTGCTAAGATTCAAACTGAGACTCAAAATGCTCTCCATGTGTATTAGATCCATATTCTAGATCTCATATTACCTCTTTCCATGGTAGCGGTTTCCTAACTTCTTAAAACTAAAATCCAAAATCATCATCGTCAGTCGTCACTCAGCAGTCAGCTTTGCCAGGCGCCAATCACCACCACAAGTCACAACCACCTATCCTCGGAGGCGCACTTAGTCAATAATTACCACCTCCTCTTCTCTTCCTCCAGTACTCGAATAACTAATAAGCAAAGGAAAAGAATATCACAGGACGGCGAACACAGAAACGCGCCTGGAAAATGACCGCCCCGGCTGAGTTCTTCCTGCTTTCCGACGACCTACTCCTCAAAATCTTGTTCAAGCTTCAAGACGACCCTCGCAACTGGGCCCGCCTCGCCTGCGTCTGCTCCAAGTTCTCCTCTCTTCTCCGCAATGCCTGCTGGAAATCCAAATGCAAAGCCACCATCCCCGCCGTCGTCGCCGATCTCTTACCCTCTCCCGATTCCGCTGTCCCCGGCGGCTGGTCTGCGCTCCACAAGCTCGCCGTCTGCTGTCCCGGCCTCCTGCACTCCGGCGTGCTCCTTGAACACTCCGATTTCGGCCTCGATCTGGAACTCGGCCCGGATGAGAATTTCCCCAGGCCTTCCTCATATTTATCGCTACCCAAGGGCCGGCCACCTCCGCCTCCGCCTTCCCAATCCTCTTCCGATGCCAATTTGGACGTCGCCGATTGCTCTTGGTCGTTATTCGACGATCTGTATCACGATGCGGTGTACAGCGTAGATGAATCATCTGAAGGTCCTTCGGATGCGACCCCGGAGGTCGGCGGCGGCGGCGGCGCCACTGTTAAGGTGGGAACAGATGCCCCCGTTCGCAAGCGGCGGAAAATCTGCAGATCTATGAGGTCTCATTTGGCCTCGGGCGTCTGGAACCTAAGCCGCGAGCAAGGGAATAAGCTGCTCGCCAGCAGATTCCGAGGGGATTGTCTCTACATCTGCGATTGGCCAGGCTGTGTTCACATCGAGGAGAAGAGGAACTACATGCTGTTCAGAGGTATCTTCAAGGACTTCAAGCGATCTAGGGTGTGGAGGACGATAAACGATGGCAACAGGAGGAAGATCGATCTTGATTGCGCCTTCTGCGAGTGTAGGCAGACCTGGGATCTCCATTCTGCGTTCTGCTTGAGGAGGGTTTATGGGTTCCATGACGACGGCGAGCCTGTTGTTCGAGCTTATGTCTGTGAGAATGGCCATGTTTCTGGCGCCTGGACCGACTTGCCGTTGTATACTTGACTGAGGATGATTGGTAGCATCCCTCAGCGGTTGTTTAGTTTTTTTTGTATCATTTCATAATCCATTGCAGCAGTCTTAGTGGAATGAACAAATTCATTCAGGTGCTTGATATTCTGGTTCGCTGCTGCGGTTTAGTCTTGTTGCTTGACATTGATTCAGGTTGTTGTTGTAAATGACTCTGTAGTGTTGAATGTGGCTTCCGTATGACAACATACGAACTCTGCCTTTTTCATTTGCCTATGCTGCCTGCTTGTATGCTGCAATTCATTGTGATTCTGTAATAAATGGTTTTCTTATTTGAATAGAGCCTTGCAATCAATCAGAAAGTCGTGAACTTATTGTGCTTGTTTGTTTAGTTTTGCTTCAATCGGGGCGATTGTTACCAGTGTCCAAGGCTAGCGTAATATTTATGGGACCTTGTTGACTGGAAGATTATGATGCAAAATGGTTTCTATTACTTGATTCTGTAACCGACCATCCTAGGTATACTAGTGCTGATTGTTGAAAGAAGGTTTGTCAGAGTGTAACTTTTAGTTACTGCTGCGGATGCTTTTGTTGCCTGCATCCAAATCATCCATCCAGCTATAATGCATATGATGTATTTGTGGTTGCGACATGAGGATCATCTATAAACTGGAAAAGAAGAAAATGCCAGTTTGCCAAATGCCCTCTTCCGTGCTTGTATCTCCAGGTGCCTGATGCTCTCTTCCATTACGGTTACCCTTCCTTCTTCTCCTTCTCTTTCTACTTAAGTTGATTAAAAAGAGTAAACAAGACATTTCTTCTTACTAGTATATGTTGTATGTTTCAATAAAAAGTTATTTTATTTGAATTCTCTACTACCAGAGACGAAGACAAGGCAAGGTAGGATGGCATGCTCTGACAGGGAAAGGTATCATCAAGTAAGTATTGGTCACTTCCGTCAAACAAATTATGGTATGTTTATGTTCTTTAATGTTCCCATACTTCATTTGTCCGTTGGTCTTTCTATGTTTCTGAAAGAAACTAGCCTTCTGAGTTCCAATAGCCTTGACAGTTATGGATTCTTCACTGTCCAACGTTGTTGCATTATTTGGTAGTTTCCTTTCTTTTGCAAAATGAGGCTTCAAATGTATGGAATAATTCCCTTCGATTGGGGGCTCTTTGCATGGAAGATTGCAAGCTTAAACAGAGGTGTGCTTCAAGGTGTTTGGGTTCAGGGTTTCTCATTGGACAACCATAAATGAGCCAAACATATTAGCGCAGAGTAGCTACGATCAAGGAATAAACCCACCACATCACTGCTCGCCCCCATTTGGGACTGCAACATGTGATTGTGACAATTCCACTACAGAACCTTACCTGGTTCTCCACAATATCCTCCTGGCACACGTCTCAACCGTTGCGTTGTATAGAAAAAATTATCAGGTTGGTCAACCTTCAATTTTCTACCGGCTTTCCATCTTCATCTCATGTACTCGTGTATTATTTAGTGATGCTCAAGAAGAACTGTAAATTCTCTGGGCTAGAATTTCTTGGTACTTGAGAACAATATTACTCAGCCGTATTTGCAGGGTAAGCAACATGGGCTGATCGGGGTTGCACTCAATGCTTTTAGTTTTGTTCCTTAGAATCCTTACACTAACTTGACAGAAATGTAGAGGCGGCACAGTGAGCCAAAGCATTCTACTGGGTCGGTGAATCGTATGATTGAAGTCAGTCTGTGCAATCTTAGCACAAATTCAGGAAAACTGAATTCCAAACTGTGTAATTGTTGTGTGCAGGGCTGCAGATCCGCTGGTATATAGAGACTACGCACAGATCAGGAAAAGGAATATAGGGGCCAGACTACCAAGATTCACGACTGAAAGAATCAGAACTTTTGAAGGGAGCTTTCGATTTCCTTGGACTCATACATAGCCTCACTTCCTTCTACTGAAGATGCAGGTGAGTGTGAAAGACAGCTCCAATAGCCTCACGTTGGAGCTCGGGGACTTTATGCGGGGCACAAATAATGACAGGTTACAGGTATAGTATATTCTTGACTCGCTCACTTTACCCATCAAAATCCTGGATTATTTCTTCCTTCTGTTAATGAATTTATTGGGGGTCTGTGACAAAGACTAAATGGTTTTTGCTTGCTCTTCTTCGTTGCTTTGCTTCGTTCCATCTTGAAAGACCCTGACAGTTACTTCATTGGGGGTAAGAACTTACAACTCTTGTTATTACGAAACCCCCGCCCATAGCTTCTTTGATTTGTCCTTCGATAGTAAGCAATGATGCACAGCGTCGACTGGCTTTGATTATTCAGTTCCCTGTTAGACATTGGGCTCTGCAGGAAACCTTGGAGGCTTAGAAGCAGATTTGTGGAAACCCGCCCATCTACGTCCATGAAAATGGTTGGATGTGTCATGTTACTAGAATTGGTTACTGTCCTTCCTTGCCTGCTTTCTGTGGTAGGCTGGAGCGTACTTGAATAAAATTTTGGGGGCGTGGTCTGGGGCAAATGCAGGTCAAGTCAACAATCTGCATGTCTACATTGATGCTGCTTGTTTGTACCCTTTGAGAGCGAGGCAGGAGAGGCTGAGGCATGCAAGACAAGTGGAGGCGCACAATCTCAAGGACAAAGTTGCTATGAAGTGGTGGAGATTGCTGCAAGATTTCTTTTCATTATTTATCGTTCTAAGAATTATTTAGTTTATTTCGTATTATGATATATTAGGATTCTTTGGGGATTTGATTACCTCAAAGTAGTTGGATGTAGACTGTAGAGGAATAATAATGAGGTAAATTCGAGTAGTTGTAGAAGGGTTTTTTTCCCGGTGGAAGTTGTAGAAGGTATTTCTTAAAATATATTAAAGGGCTTTTAGATTTAAGCCACTGCCACGTACTCCTCCCTGTAATTTGAGGCTATCCACGTCAGACTATAAAGAAACTGTTTCGCGCAGAGAAACCGTCGTTTCTTCCGCCGCTTTGTGTCCTCCATCCGCCAGAATTCGTCACCGTAAAAGCCTCCTGCCACCCGCCTGCCCCATACCTATGGAGAGTGAATTCTGCCTCCTGCCACCGCATGCTCCTGTCCCACCACCAGTTCTCATATCCCCGCCTTGCGCTCTTCCGACACACCCTATAGTCGTTTAATTTGCCCGCTCCATCGATTCTACAATCTCCCTCCAAGTCCCTCTTCCTCCTGCAAGGCAAGGCGCCACGGTAGCCCGTCAAACTGCCCTCATGATCTTCGTCAAGAAGGAGGTGTCTTCTTATGTTTCTTTCGACTTCAATTTTCAATTGAGATGGGTTTCCTGTTCTTTTGCTTGGGTGTTTCTAGGCCTTGAATCTTAGATTTTGGGTCTGATTTGATGAGAGGAAGGCGGGATGTTTGAGTACATTGTTTGGCTTTTGATAGTTCCAATCTGGTACTGCTTGATTTCGATGTTGTCAAATTTGTGGGATGGACTTTCTTCTTGCCGTTAAGTTTTGTAATCACTTGAAAATTGAGGGTTCCTTTTTGGTTTTTTTTGTTGCTTCTCTTACTTGCATGGCTTCGCTGCTCCTATTACATATTTATTGCTGCTTTAATTCCTTGCTCACTTTCCCAGATATGACAAGACAATATTGACTGATCCCCATTGCATTTTGAGACAAATGGACAGACTTACACACAACAAGTTGATCCACAAATGCATAGGACGCGCACAAAATCAGTACCACTTTGAGTTTCTAGGGGATACTGTTCGATGAGATTGTTGTTCTGCTATGAGTTATATATAACTTGCATAGAGTGGCTACCCTCTTTCCACTAGCAATAAACTCAAGTACTCGAGGAGGAGAAAGCTAGGGATAATCCACAACTGCACTACTTGAGTTGAGAAGGGAAAGCAAGGGATTTCACAGGTAAACCTTTATTTCCATCTTTGTAGACTGCTCGATGAGATGTTTTGTTGTTTCTGCTATGAATTATAACTTTCATAGACTGGCTATACACTCTTCCCAGTAGCAATATATAAACACAAGTACTCTGAGGAGAAAGCCAGGGATATCCACAAGACCACAACTGCAAGAGAAAGCAAGGGAACATTTGCATGTATATCTTTATTTCCAGTTTGTACATGAAATTTTGGAACTTAAGTGACTTGAATCTATTTTGCAGAGCATCAACGATCATGAAGACAACATCAAGATTATGTCCACGAGCCCCAAACCTCCAAAGTCCAAAAAACACCGACACTGCCACAACATAGAAAAAGAAAACTAACCTAAAAAACTAACCAGAACTCTACCACTAGAGCCTTGAAAATGGTCAAGACTTGATGCATTGAGTTACAAGAAGCCCAAGCGTACTTTGATTCTAATATAATAGGGTGACAGTACCATAATCACTTGCCATAGTGTGCTATGATGCCACCGGCTACCAAACATCTCCAACCAATGCAACCTTTATATATTTACATACATTGCTTTACGTAGAATTTCATGTCAATAACTACAACTGCTTATATGTTTAACACATTAGCTTATAAATAACTTACATACATCTAATACCAATCGTTTCCTCATAAGAGTAATAAAGAACATGCAAACACTTCGGTTCAACAAAAAAAAAAAAAAAAGCACAACTCAACAAATCGTGACACATTAGACCCGGCCAAAGGCCGGGCACCTAACTAGTTAGTATTATAAAGGAAATGATATTAGGTTAGAAATAATAACAAAAGTAATTTTCTTATATCCTTCCAAAATCCAAAGCAAACCTCTTGTTTCATTTTTATCGACTCTTCCCCACGTTCTTCTCCTTCATCTACTGGCATAGGGCTCGTCCGTTGGCCGAAAGAGTTTGATATTTTTCTGAAAGAGTTTGATATTTTTACATGAATATATTCAACTTTGAAGTATATGTGTTATCATTTCCAAAAACTTAGTTTGGACCCTTTAAGTTTATTTATTTATTTGGGAAGTTGTCCATGAATAATTAAGGAAAATATTTGGAATACTTTATTGATGGAGTTAGAAAATATCAAACAAAGTATAGAAAACATGTTAAATACATGTATACCTAATATATATGTACTTAATGATAGTAAAGAATTCTCTAAAAACAGACTTAAAATTAAAGTCAAATCTTAAAAAAATGTATGCCCGTAGATAAATGTGTATTGTTTCTAGAACAAACCAAGAGTAACATGAAAACAAACTTTTGCTAATTGATTTTTTTCTTACTCGCTGTTTCTTGAAGTAAATGAAAAGAAAAGGAAAGATAAAACATAAATCATGGATCATTATGCTCTCGCAAATCCAATTCGACAGTTTATTTTCATTTTCAATTTCAATGTCAATTTAACTTGAAAATTGACTTTGAGGGGAATATGCACAAATACAATTCACAACAAACGATGGTCTGCAAGCCTGTATTGCACACACATAAACTTCAACTACATATCAAATTGTGAAATTTAAAGAATCAACTATTTTGTGGTGATTAGAATGTTATTCTGCCTTAAAATAGAAGTAATAATATTGGTAGAAGCATGGACTGAAGATGTTTGAGTGGCGACGACTTAAATATTTCATCTTTGATAGCGAGAAGATTGAGAGTACACCTCGTCAATTTGTTCAAGTTAGAAGTTCACAGAATCAATCTTAGCGTGGGTACACCAACTGGGCTTGCTGAAATTTAAGTCCAAGCAAGCGAAATCCAATAAATTAAACTTTGGAATGCATATAGGTTAACCGAAGGGTCTGTCGGTGTCGGCCTCGATCAGCGATGTTGGGTCATTTTAGACCTCTGATAACCAATGATGCGGTTCGATTAAATAACATGCCTAATATTTGTCACAAGGTGAATAATTATGGTTATGCAAATGTATTTAGCCAAAAATCATTGTAGCAGAAGGTTGTCACTTTGTAGCTTTTTTTTTTATTAGCTATTAGACCTGGCAAATTCCAACCCGACCCGAAACCGCCCGAAAACTAGAATTTTTTCTAACCCGAAATCCGAATGACTCGAACCCGATAACCCGTGATTTTTTGGGTCGGGTTGGGTAGGTTAGCGGGTCGACCCGTTAGACTCGTTTCATTTAATATATTACTCCCAAAATATGATAAAATCACTCATAAATTGGTGAGATGTTTAAAAAAAATCACAAGGATTTGAATGACATGTTTGGAGTTTAATGATAATCAAATATCATGTGTTTCTTGTAGTAGTATTAATCTTGTGATTGTTTTTTGATGATTTGCGCAATTTACATTTCATTTCGTTAGCGTGGGAGGATTTGAGAATTTGTTAATTAACATATGTTAGGTAAACTATTGTCATGCATATGTGAAAATTTGTGTTCTTTGAGAAAATATGAAGCATGTTTGATATTGTTTTTGAGATCGCTCATAACCCGAAATGACCTGTAACCCGACCCGAAACCGAATGGGTTGGATCAATATCTGACCCGAAATAAGCCAATCAAACATGACCTGACCCGTAACCAAAATTCTCAACCTGAAATTACCCAACCCGACCCAATTGCTGATCTATTAAATTAATCAGAAGGTGAAATTTGATTGTGAAATATTATGGGCCATAGTGCTCGACTTTTTGCCAGTCCAAGGCTCGAAGGCCTAAGCCCACGCAATTCTGTCGTGTTCCCTGATCGTGGCGCGTGCGCAAGAAATAAATGCCTGACTCGGGGGAGAGGGAGACTGATAGACAGAGTGGGTGCGAGACACTCGCCTGCCCGCTCTCCTTGTCCCATTAAAACTGCAGAATTCTGAATTCCTACTGCGTTTACTTCGCCGAGAAGGCGAAGAAGAAAGAAGGAAGAAAAAAAGAAGGCATCCTAACAAGAAAGAAAAAAGAAAAACAGAAAACCCATTCCAGGAGGAGTGAAGAGAGTGAGAGCTTTCCAGATTGTCTGCAATGGAGGAGGTTTCGTCGCCAACTTCTCCGTGTGGCTCCGCACAATCTTGTCCGGTTTCACCGTCTCCGTTCGCCGTCCTCCCTGTAGCGTCGCTCAAGAACAGAATCGTCGAGAAAATCAGGGAAAATCGCGTTACTCTCATAGTCGGCGAGACTGGCTGCGGTATTCTCTTCTCTTCCGTTTCTGTCTATTCGGCTTTCTGCTCTGATTTTCCCGCTCTCAACGTCGCTTCACTGTTTCTGAACTATCTTCTTTGCTTAGCGATATGTGTTTGTTTGGTTATCTAGAAATAAGCTGGAAGGGAAAACCGAAAACGTCATTGCATTTTGCGTAGCTCAGTCTGTTCTCGGTCTTGGTTACATGTAATACCGAGCAAAGTGTTTGGTTGCTGAGAAAATTTTAACAGCGGAAACGTCGTCGCTTAGTCGTAGTAGAGTTATCGCATCGAACGCATCTTGTTCTGCTTGTTTGTTCATTTCTGGTTGAAAGTGGAGAAGAGAATCCGATAATTTTCTTCCGTCTTTCATTTTCAACGTTGCCGCTAATTGTTTATCGACTACATTGACAGAAAGTAACAATGCTGAGAAAATTGGTAGGCTATAGGCTGATCAGTTATCAGTTTACATCACCTGCCGTATATACTGAAGTTCTCATTTCTAGGAATTAACGGAAGTTTTACCTGTTAGTGTCTTCTATGAGTTTGCTAACCCTCGGCTGCGAAGCTAAACACACAATGCCTTGGGCAATGGCTGCGTAAGTTTCTTGTTCCACTTAGAGAACTGATACTGCTCTGTGTTACCTTTTGTCTTACTAGGGAAGAGCTCTCAGGTTCCGCAGTTTCTCCTGGAGCAAGACATGGCTCCTGTTCTATGCACACAGCCGAGGAGATTTGCTGTTGTTGCTGTGGCAAAAATGGTTGCGCAAGCTCGTAACTGTGAGCTGGGAGGAGAGGTTGGATATCACATAGGCCATTCAAAGGTCTTATCAACCACGTAAGAATAAATGATGGCTGCTGAGTTTGGATGCTCGTTTCTCTCTGTTTGCCCTGTTTTTGCCCGCGTGATCCTCCATACCTTAGCACTAGGAAAATGCATCTTGGTTTCATGAAGTTAGCTTTTATGTCTGCAAGTGAAAGAAAATAATACGCCACAGAGCTTTCAACAATTTTGTCAGATATGCATTTAAGTTGTAATCTCTCACATGCATTACTTTGTTTCATGTACAAGTAATGTTCCTTCAATGCTCTGCACAGTTTGGGACACTCTTCTACTTCTATAGTGATGTTATTTGTAATTAAGGTGACGTCCATAGTATGCGACCATTTCCTTGTTCACACATTTTCTTTTGTAGGTCAAAGATTGTGTTCAAGACTGCTGGAGTCTTGCTTGATGAAATGCGGGATAAAGGGTTTAATGCACTCAAGTACAAGGTCATCATTCTTGACGAAGTGCACGAAAGATCTGTTGAGTCTGATCTTGTCCTTGTCTGTGTGAAGCAGTTTCTTCAAAGGAACAATGATCTGAGGTGCTTGCTAGACTCCTAAGCAATTATTGTTGTGAACATATAGTGTTATATCTATTTCCTGTTTTGCTCAGTACCCTTGTTCTTTGGTTCAGTGACTTGGTCAGACGAATATACTCTGCGCTCCCACCTGATTAAACTTAAATTTGACTGTTCATTTATGTGTGTATGCGTGGTTTCTTTATGTGACAGTTTCTTACTAGACAACATACAGCATTTTGTTCTGATGTTCCATATGTGACCTTTACCCAGGGTTGTTTTGATGTCTGCAACTGCTGATATTGGAAGGTATAGAGATTATTTTAGAGATCTTGGCAGGGGAGAAAGAGTTGAAGTGCTTGCCATTCCTAGCCCTGATGAACAATTTGTTTTCCAGAAAAAGGTGTTATATCTCGAACAGGCAAGGACTTGTGCTTAACCTTCAGTTTCGGTGGAACTGTACCCCCCCCCCCCCCCCCCCCCCCTTGTGTTGTTTCACAAACCTAGATTCTTTAGAAAGAGCTATGCAACCTAAGGTTAATTGTTCTGGTCTGAGGTCAAAGTGCATGGTCTAGTTGGTGACCTAGGTGTTTGGAAAGAGTCCATGATAGCTGTCACAATCAGGTTGTGCGAAGATCTTAATGTCTGGAACCATTTTTGTTGACAAAGCTTTCACCCTTAAGCAAATTCATGTCAGAAATTCCTTCCCAAGTTTATTTGACTTGATGACTGATCTCTTCCTGTAATGCTTATGTGATCCTTTCTATTGCTATGATGAATGAAGTTAGGCCACTAACACTGTTAGGTTTCTATCAATTATGGTACCTGATCAATCCACTACATAATTGATGAGAGCATTCTGTTTTCAAACAGATTACAAGGTTTCTTGGATTCAGTTCAGAATCCCTAGCTTCCAGATATTGTTCCGGACCCAGTCCTTCAGTGGCTGGTGCTGATATGAAGCCTGATGTACATAAAATCATCCACGATCTTATTCAGAACATTCATCAAATTGATCCAGATATTGAAAAGGGGATTTTGGTTTTCCTTCCAACTTACCGTGACTTGGAGCAGCAGTGGTATCTCTTGAAGCCATTCACTCACCTTTTCAAAGTTCATGTTCTACATAGTAGTATTGAAACTAGTGAAGCTCTTCTGGCTATGAGAATCTGCAAGTCCCATCGAAAGGTATGCCTTGAACTGGATTTGCCTCATTGAGTGATTGACTGATTGCCGGGATGGATGCTGGTTAATGACCAAAGTGCAGTGATGTCCTTGGCTTGTTACATGAATTTGTATTGTATTTTTTGGATGGCTACATGGAGTGCACTTGTGGGCAGCAAGATATAATCACATTTGCTAGATGACTAGTTTGATGATATGGGGCTCATAAAAGCATTACAATTTTGCTGGCATGTTACCTTCGTCATTAATATTTATGTTTTGTTATGTTACTTTGGTTTCCTATGAATGTTTGGACATGGGTGTGACTAATCGCTGTTTGTGGTGTTTCGTTTATGCACAGGTTATATTGGCCACTAACATTGCCGAGTCATCCGTGACAATACCCAATGTTGCTCATGTCATCGATTCATGTCGATCTCTACAAGTTTTCTGGAGCCCTACATTGAAAAGAGACTGTACAAAGCTTGTTTGGGTTTCTAAGTCTCAGGTATTTGTTGAATCTCAAAAGCTATTTTGAACATTCATTATCATTGTGTCATTGACAATCAAATTCATGGATGTATTTCAGGCTGATCAACGCAAGGGGAGAACTGGTCGAACTTGTGATGGTCAGATATATCGGTTGGTCCCAGGATCTTTTTTCGGTCAACTAGAGGATTACGAGTGTCCAACTATACAGAAGCTATCATTGCGTTTGCACGTGCTTCTGATTAGCTGTGCTGCAGCAAGGACTATAAATGATCCCAAGGGTAGGTTTCATGATCTTAAGTTTAATGTAAATCTTCCATCCATGGATTTCGGATTAGCTGCATCTTTTTTGCTAGTTGATATACTTAGTTGAGCCAATGCCCTATTTAGTGTAAGAATGCTGCCAGGATTATGGTTGAAGTGCTTGATGCATGCGCAGTGTCATAATGCCTAAGGTGTTAGTAGGTGTGCTTTTTTTAATCATAGTTGGAAATCAGAATTGAAAGACTGATGAGGTTTTGTAATACTCTTTTGTTTTTACAGGCTTACTACGCAAGGCCTTGGATCCTCCCAGTCCCGAAGTTGTTGAAGATGCTTTAACTATGCTTGTTAGAGTGAAGGCTCTTGATAGAACTAATCCAAGTGGTCGATGCGTGCCAACGTTTTATGGGCACTTACTTGCCAGCTTCTCCCTGACATTTGATGCTTCAGTTCTTATTGTTAAGTTTGGGAGCATTGGAATGCTGCGGGAGGGTGTGCTTTTGGCTATTTTGATGGACACTGTGCCTGTACCAATTCTTCGACCTTTTGGAGAGGAACATCTGGTACTACCTAGCTGCTCCTCTTTTATGGATCTTTTTTCCGTTCTTTTATCATACTGATGGTTTCCTAGCTTTCTTGAGAGTATGGAATATGCTTGTGCCGATGTGGTGGTTGTTGCAATAGCAGAAGTCCGAATTACTTTACCCTACTAATGAGTTCCTATCTTTCTTCAGTATAAGCAATATACTGGTGGCGATTATGGTGGTGATTGCAGCAGTAAAGTCAAAATGGGTCCAAAGGAGATGGAATTGCTTGGGAACTTAAATGCATATCAGTTCTGGCAACGTGTTTTCAGGGTAAACACTTGTATCTGGTTCGTAGATGCAGTAGTGTCGATATTTGCAACAAGTGATTTGAAGTGTTGGCTCTTTTATGCAGGATAAGCACCGGATGGAACGATTGAAGCACATCTCGAAATCAAAGGGGACGGAAGGCTTGATTTCCCTGTTTCCAGCGATGGAAGAAGAGTGGTGCTCATTCCATAACCTTGTAAAGGAATCATTACATCATGTATCAGAGAGATGTATGGATTAAGTGCACTTTTGACCTTCTCTTTTCTTACAATTTAGTTACGATTTCATCGTTATGCATATCTATCCTCATCTGGGATGAGCTGAGCGTGAACCCTTTTTGTATTTTGTTTGGTCACTTGCAGATGAGGATATAATGACTTCGCTGCATCGATTTCGGCCAAAATTTCTCAGCCAATGCGATGGCCTACCAGTTTATTATGAGCCTCATCAATATGTTCATACCTGTCATCCACAATGTGAGCCACGCAGGGATGCAGTGTTCGCTACTGCAGAAGATGAGCACCAAGAAGAATTTTGTGAAATGGAAAAGTGCACTGGGGCACCATATGTTGCTTCTGATCAGTTCAAAACCATTGAAGTAGCCAGAAATTTCTCAAATATTGTCAAAGAGGTACGCATTACGCCATTAACCTATTGGTTCAACTTGAATTCGGTATTGGCATGCTGCATAATTCTCTCTTCCGGAACAGGACGAAATGATGGGTTACTAAATGCGGGCACACGTATATTGTCTTGTGTAACAACAGGTGCGAGTCCAGAGCACGGAGGAGATGCCTACAAATCTTTCTAATCATGCTAATGGTGATTCTTCTTATACCAATGGGATGGCTCTTCAATGTGCATATTTTGCAAATGGATACTGCCACAGGGGCGATCAGTGCTTGTTTTCTCATTCATCGCAAGCAAGGAGAGCTCCATGCAACTTCTTCTTCTCTCTGCAGGTAACTAGATTCTTTTGAGCATGTGAATGCCAGGAGGCCTTTCCAGTTTTCACTATCAATTTGACTCTCCATTCACAATCCCTTACATGATGATTTATGAGGCATATGGTTGGAAGATCTGTTCAACGTTTTTAAGTTGCAACTCTGTGATCATCACTTTTAACTGTGTGGAGAAAAACGATTTTCAGGGTTGTCGCAATGGGGAGACATGTCGCTATTCTCATGATTCTGGACAACCAATCTCATCATTCATTTCAACCCGATGCCCCCCTGAGGACGATGGAGCCGATGCTGGATCCCTTTTACGACTGTTTCCAACGTTTTCCTGCGATGGATTCGTTCTACTATTAGACGACCCTGATTTGCGCCTAACTTCGAATTTGACTTCTCACTATGATCCGTCGAGAATAATTTCCACGACAAGCATGTCAAACACCTCCGTCTACGACCCAGCGTTGCGAGGCGTTCGAATCCTCTGGGGACTCAGCAACCCCCATGAGACGTTCCTTTCTGATGGCAGGTGGGATGATGAGGTCCCATGGAGCGCAGTCGAGTGCATTCTGTGGTCCCCCAACTTGGAAACATACGACGAGAGCTGGGAGAAGCAGCAAGTTGTCGTGCAGGAGTTGTTTGAGCGTCTAGCCGTCCGAATTTTAGCCGATGACTTGTGCGAAGCACGACTGATCCTCATCATCAACAATATCAAATTCTCTCAGCTGCAGGCGAGTATACTTCCCCGTGATTTGACGTTTAATTATTATTATCTCATCATACTTTTTCTGCGTTCGAGTCCTTTGTGATGCGTAACGACACTCTTTCATATCTAGTTGGTATTATCATGACGATAGAAACGAAGCCATGTATATCTGATCTGACAGGTTATCTATCTACTTTGTTACACTACTACGTACGTAGGTGGAAAAGCTGGGCAGAGAATGCTTCTTCTTCCTGAGGGAGTCATTCCCTTTCGACGAAGGAACGTTTGGGAAGATCCCTGGATCGGTTGCGAGCCAGAAGGCGATGGTGGTCTACAAGACGGTGGCGTACGTGTTTGAGATGTGCCCGCCCAGCCATGTTGAATTGGGCGATTACAGAGCTGCAATCAGGAAGGGTTTATGGGGCATAGACGATAGCCGCAGCAGAAGCTCTTCCACATTGGATTTGCGCGGCCTCAATGGCGTCGTGAGGGGTTTGAGGCTGTAGCTGCCTTGACTATGAAGACTAGCAGCTGCAGAGCCTGGATGGTACACACTTGCCAACCAAACCAGTTGTTTTGCACAGAGATTTTGGCTTCTTAGAGAGATATATTGCGCCCGCAGATGCCTGCATGATCTTGGGTTGAACCGTAGTTTCTTACTGGTTCGGCGTTCTACTTACCAACTTTGCCAAGCCTGAAGCTTGCGGGGTTAAAAGTTACATCTTTTCCGGTCTTCGTGCTAAGGACTTGAATGGTATTACTTGTGTTGCGCAGATCCAATGGCAAGGGACTTGCGTTGCATTTGATAACCACATGACATGAATGACGACCCAAAACGCGTTCCGGAAGGTTTATTACCTTATATTTGGCACTACACATGTTGTTTACATTTTATGGTTTATGTTAAGAAATAATGATATCGTAAATCATTAGTAATTAATATTTTGAAAAATAACGACAAACTATAAAAGAATAATGTGAAAAAATATATTAGAATGCACATAAATATGATTTATTCAAAAGAAATTAAAAATAATATGGGTGTTAAATTTGAGAGTGGTGAACTAGAAGTAAAAAATGAAATAAATGAGGCTAAATTTGTGTATATAATATTGATGGCTAAATTTGATGGATTGGTGGGAATTAATCTTTCTTTTACCACGAGATCTCCACACTGCAGCTATCAAGCAAATATGAATATAAGATAGTGTGATATTATAAAACAAAAATAGGGGAATGTTATGTTATTTCAGATTTGGGCCAAAAGCTGTGGCCTGTGGCGGGCCCCATTGGGCCAATGTGGGTGGAGTTGGAGTATCTCCCAGAAGCATTTGAGACCACCACTCCAGCTGAGGTGTCATTTGTCTTTCTGCTTCTGCCCCTCCTCTCCTCTCCTCTCCGATTTTGCTTCTTTTCAGCTGGCTTCTCTCCATCTTCTCTTCCCGCTTTCTCCATAGCTCTACTTGCAGCGGCAGCGGGAAGGAAGCTCCCCTGTCCTCGGCTCATGGTCCCGCCGGCGCCGCACAAGCCCCTGGCTGTTTTGGATCCCCGCAATTCGGTCGACTCCTGTGCCTTCCACCTCCACTCATGGCGTCCCTTCCTTCCATCACCTACTCCTCCAGATCCCGATCCTTGCTCTTCCCTCGCCAAGCGTCCCTGCCTCTCCGATCGCGCCACCTCCTTCTCCCTCGATTCCATCGACCTCTCCCGCCTCTCCTTACTCGACGACACCGTCAGCCCGTACCGCCGCACCGGGCCGCTCGGTCTCCTCGGCCCGCGGAAGCGCCGGCGCAGGCGCGGCGCCTCTCGCTCCGTCTCCGGCCGCAGCTCCGATCGCAGCGCCAATCGACGGTGCTGTTCGATCGGAGCCTCGGCGGCGCACGGCACCTGCTCCGATTTCCCCGTCGCCATCGGGACGGACTCCAGCGGCGAGCTGTTCGGGAATGGAGGGGATCCGAATTGGGCATCGGATGTCAGTGAGGCGGCCAGGAACTCGTCCAAGGAGGAGAAGGAGTGTTTGGTGAGTGGTTGTGGGGCGCAATTTGGGAATTTGGATGCACATGTGGGAGCTGATTCAGGGTATGGGAGCGAGCCTGGGTATAGAGGAGATGCAGAGTTGGGTTATGGCGACGAATTCGACGAAGAGGAGGAAGATGCCCGGCCACTGTTTTGGGGCCATCGCTCTGAAGGTAACCAGCCATACTTCCATTTCAGTCCCTTTTTTCTTCTTCCTTTCCTTCCGTTCTTTCAGTCTATGCTTTGGTTTTGTAAGATAGGGTAGACAGGGAGAGATCAAGCTTGTGTCTGTAATGAGGGAAAGGGTTTACCCAAAAGAAAAGATCAAAGATTTGTTTAAAATACAATGCAAGATTTTAGCATAGCAACTTCATCTCCTATTCTTGTGGTTCCTTCGTCATTGTTGCTTGCTGCTGCAACTGGGTGAAATCTGGAAGTGATTTAAACTATTTGCTTATAGAAAAAAGGATGAGAGAAGCTCAGTCTAAAACCATGGGTTGCCTCAGTCAGTCATTCACCTGCATTTCACCAAGTGTGTGGCTTTCAAGGCATGCTTTTGTGTATGAGGGAGAGCGAGATCTAAGATCGTTCCTTGGATTCTGTTTGTTTTCTCTTTGCAGAGGGTGCAGAAGATACTAAAATGGAGATGGTTGGGGAGAACACATTGTTCACCGACCAAAAGACCCATTACAGGTGCCGTAGGAAGAAACACGATTGCCGGATGGTTGATTCACTTAGATGATTACACAGAGCAGCTTCTCCCTGCATTGCAGGAAAGGAGAGGTAAACAATGGACTTATGACTGGGTCAGGGTGCGCAAACCAATTTTCTTTGGTGTCAAGTAGCTGAATTTTGGGTGGCATTGACACCTGCTTTTTCTGCTTGTTATTGTAAATATTGTTGCTTCATCACTCTGAGATAGGGAGCTTTATACATTGTTAATTAATAGTATCTACTAATTGTTTCGAGATTATTGGTCGTGGTATCTATGTACTGTGCTCTTGTACACATAAATCTGGTGTCAGCCAAATTTTGAACAGAGAAGGTTCATCTGTTGTATCTGTCACATCTCCGAACAATATCAATTAATTTAAAACTGATGTTCGAGAACATAGAGAAACCATTCAACGGCTGTATATGGAAAACTCACAATCAACGGAGAAACCATTCAAGAACATAGAGATGGGTTAATGGATTCTTTCGCATCTCCTATAGGTTCGGAGTGGAGGCAGGGAATCTAGTATTCTTAAGCATGCATGCTATTCTACCATAGCTTGATGGTGGGAGCTCAACTCCCAAAGGTATATGCATGTAAACTTCTTTCTCACAAATCTCCATGTAAGAATGCATTTGATATATCCATCTGCTCTAAGCTTCAATTCTCCACTACAGCTATAGTAACAGAACCTTAACTATGTTTAGCTTAGCTAGTGGTGATAATGTATCCAAAAAGTTTATCCCATAGGTTTGTGTAAACGCTTTGCCACTAGTCTTGCCAATCAGGAACTGGCATTATCTCTCAAGTTTGGTTTTCCACTAAGGCTCACAGCTACTCCATCATAGCTCTATTTTGTTAGTGTTGTGGTATATGATCCACGATTGAACCTCTCCCAACAACTCGAGTTATTGGGACCAACTGGTTCTTGACATGGTATCAGAGCCTTTTGTGACCGAGAGGTCTTGTGTTCGATTCCCGGTGACCCTCATTTGTTAAGCACATGGTATTCTTGTCTTCAGACCTATACAAACTTCAAGCCCTTGTGAGTGGCTTTCGTTTGAGGGGGCGTGTTAGTGTTGTGGTATATGATCCACGATTGAACCTCTTCCAACAACTCGAGTTATTGGGACCAACTGGTTCTTGACATATTCCACTCAAGAGGCTTGATTGCTTCATGATATGAAGTAGGTTCCATCTGTGCACGAACACTCAATGCATACAATCTATCATCAATATTAAGCTGATCAATACTAAGAAATATAGGATAGCAAGTCATTAAGTTCATAAATGCACCAAATATCGTTAATCTTGTGGACAATTGATGATGTCTGATAGGTCTTCGTGGTAGAGCCTCTTAGCCTCATATTCAGCTCGAGTCTCTAATTCTAGTTCTAGGAGGGCTGATAAGGGTTAGATATTCACCTCGAGTCATTAAGTTCATAAATGCACCAAATATCTCACCCCTCATTAGAGGAGTGATGAGGCTTAGATAGAGAAAAATAATGAGAAGAAGGAGAAATATCCTTTGATAAAGATCGAGGAACGAAAATAGATGGTGCTGGTGGAGGTATTAGAGAGGGAGGTGCTGACTGTGTCAACTGATCATCAAGTTGTGTAAATGACAAAATAAATTCGTGGAACACAACATCTCGTGAAATAGAGGCTCTATGATCTTGAAGATCTAAGAGTTTATATCCTTTGATACCTGTAAGTTTTCTTAAGAAGACACATTGTCTCGCTCGAGCATCAAATTTAGTTCTACCATGACTAAGGGTGTTGCCATAGAAAAGACTTCCAAGTACATTCAGATGTCCAAGGTAAGTTGGCTTTTGATATAGAAGTTCATAAGGTGCTTTATTGTTCAATATTGAAGTGGGGATCCTATTTATGAGATACAATACAGGATGAACACAGTCACTCTAATATTGTAGTGGGAGACCAGAATGAAATCTATGAGCACGAGCTACATTTAAAATGTGTTGATGTTTTCTCTCAACCCTTGCATTCTGTTCTGGAGTCTCTGCACAAGACATTTGATGCTCTATGCCAATCTCAATGTAAAACCCACGCATGTTAAACTCTTGTCCCTAGTCACTACATATGGTTTTGATTCTCTTACCAAATTGATTATGAACCAGATTACAAAAAACTCTAAATGACTCCCATGTTTCACTTTTATGCATCATCAAGAATACCAAAACTAAACATGAAAGATTATATGTACCTCTCTCACCCTTCAATTTTTGCTCATGCTGCAATAGATCATCCACTACATTAGAGACAGTGAGCAAAGGTTTTGCATTAGCAACTTGGCTTGACAGCTTCAAAATATGGGTTTAAGCCTTTCTGAAACCTTATCAAATAATCAGTTTCTTGATCAGGGTCCGTAAGAAACGTACTATTCATTTGCATTCTAAATGTTATACTAGCAAACAATAAAATCTGCTAATTTTATTTAGTCGATTAGATTATAATAGATTCAGCTTCAGTCGATTTTATTACAAATAAGTTTCCTTACTGAAAGGAAATTAAACTTGTTACAAGTCCAACTAATAGACAGATAAATTGTACAAGAGAAATCAGGAAAGGCCGGCCCTGAAGCCCAGCTCCAATGCAATCGAACTCTGCCGAGCCCACACACAGCTTCAGGTTCAGTCGGTCGGTGTTGAGTTGTACATGTACTAGTACTACCGCCTGTTGATGTTATTGCAAGAAACAGAGAGAGGGAAAAGAAAGGAAAGGCACTTTCCCTAATCTCGACGCCTGCCAGCCGTTTACTTTTCAAACAAATGCAAAATGAAGCAAAGGGGAAGAGGGGCCTTCTCGTAACTTCGCACCTAAACCAATCTCCTTCCTTCCTTCCTTCCCCCTTTATATAGTCGTCCCCAAAAACCCCCTTCCCCCAAACCCGAAATCCCATCCTCCATCATACATCCCCGCCGATTCCTGCGCGGCGACTCTCTCACTTCCGACTGACCAAATTCGAATTCCGGCGGGCGGAAACGAATTGACCCGAGATGGCGTCGGAGCTGATATTCAGAGGCCAGAACGAGTCGCATCAAGCGGCCGACTCTTACTCCCCGAAGCCACCGAAGCCGTGGCTGCTCACCCTCCGTCCCATCCGCTACATCCTCCGCGAGCAGCGCCTCCTCTGCGTCCTCGCCGGCATTGCCATCGCCACCGTCATCTTCGCCCTCCTCCCATCCGGCGGCCACCGCCACACCGAGCCGATTTCGTTCGACTCCTCCTCCTCGGCATTCACCCACCCGATGCGGCACAAGTACTACGAGCCGGCTATGGTCTCGGGGAGGAGCACGGGAGGCAAGATCCCGCTGGGGCTGAAGCGGAAGGGGCTTCGGATCGTGGTGACCGGCGGTGCCGGGTTCGTCGGGTCGCATCTGGTGGACCGGCTGATCTCCCGAGGGGACAGCGTGATCGTGGTGGACAATTTCTTCACCGGGAGGAAGGAGAACGTGATGCACCACTTCAAGAACCCGAGGTTCGAGATGATCCGGCACGACGTCGTGGAGCCGCTGCTGCTGGAGGTGGACCAGATCTACCACCTGGCGTGCCCGGCGTCGCCCGTCCACTACAAGCACAACCCGGTGAAGACGATCAAGACGAACGTGGTGGGGACGCTGAACATGCTGGGGCTGGCGAAGCGGGTCGGGGCCCGGTTCCTGCTCACCAGCACCAGCGAGGTCTACGGCGACCCGCTCCAGCACCCGCAGGTCGAGACCTACTGGGGCAACGTCAACCCCATCGGTAACTCCTTCCTTCACGCCCCTTTTGCCCCATTTTTTCTTTACTTTTTTTTCTTCTTCTTTTTGGTATGTTGAGGTGCATGTTAGCTGGAATTGGTAAGGTGCGCCTGGAGGAATGGGAAGTAGTGTAGGAAGGAAGAAGTCAGTTGCTTTGATTTGATTGGTTAGTTCATTTGCAAAAGCCAAAAGGGGACTAATGTGGGAGAGTCGTGATGTTTACTTTCAGATCCATCCATCACCGCCACGTGGCTGGTGGAGTTCGCCCCTCCCCTCTAAACCTTGAAAAGTCTTTTAAAAATTGTGGAACCGCGATTTGCGGGTCTGTTGATATTTTCGTTTGCCGCCCCCTATTTTTTTACATGTTTATTTATTTATTACTGCTGTCATTAAAAAAAGAGAGATTAATTATGAACTATCTAGAAATTACTTAAATTATTAGAACTAATTGGTTTTTGACGGTGGAAATGTGGTGTTCAGATGTACTTCTTTACATCACTTTGGTAACGTATCATTTAGAGTTCACTTATGCCTTGTTTATTATATATGGTTAGAATCCTTTTTCTTGAATGAAATTAGATCTTGTGAAATCATATTTGTGTATTTGATGATGTATTAGCCTAGGTTCCGGATGATAGATCCACATCATTGTATCAGGATCTGCATCCACTTCGATCACCCAAATTGCTGATAGGCTAAGCCTTCTTTTTTTTATTGTTCTTCTTCCCTTTCTTTTGTATCTATTGTATTATATCAAAATAAAAATGTGATAAAAGAAATGGGTTAGTTTAGTGTAGCCAGCGTATGTTAGTTATGTATTTAATTGATAATTGTAAGTTAAGCAATGAATGGCAATAATGATAAAGTGAGAGGAAGGAAGAGGGAAGAAAATGGGGAGTGGTGGGTTGTGTTTTATATTTGATTGGTTAAGTTGGTGTCGTTGTTTGGTACCGAGCGTTGAAAAGAGTTTGGGATTCTGATGGGGAAATGTGGACAGGTGTCAGGAGTTGTTACGACGAAGGGAAGAGAACAGCGGAGACACTGGCCATGGATTATCACAGAGGAGCCGGTGTTGAGGTGAGGACCCGATCTCTCCTCTCCCACTTTTATATCTTGCTTTTATTTTCACTCTGTTTGCAGAAAATAACTAATAAAAAAAATTAAGGGGTTGTTTGCTCTTTCCATTTCAGTGATGTATTTGTCACCTAAACTCAAATACGATAGATTTAACAAATTTTACTGGTTGTTGGCTTAAAAGATTGAAAGTGAAGCTTACAAATTTGCATATCCAACCTTTTATTTGGGAGTCTATTTATGGTTAGGAAAACGTGGTACAAAAAGTTGTATATTTTATATAAAAAATCATCTATACTAACAATTCACCGTTTTAAATTCATAATAAAAACAAATTTATTATAAATTCAAAGGTTGTCGAAATTCAAAGCTACATTTTCAATCTGGACCTAAATATGCTGGCATGGTATTGCAGGTGAGAATTGCGAGAATTTTCAACACGTATGGACCCAGAATGTGCATTGATGATGGGCGCGTGGTTAGTAATTTTGTTGCTCAGGTAATATATTTACACATCCATCGCTTCCTTTTTATTTGTTATGTTGTGTTATCACCGCCCCCAGCTCCAACCTGACTTTGACTACGGATGGTAATAATAACTTGGGTAGCCTTCTTGTTCACATTTCCGTACTAATAATATTTGTTTACATGGAAATTGACACCACAAACAGGCGCTTAGGAAGGAGCCCATGACCGTATATGGCGACGGCAAGCAGACCAGGAGTTTCCAATACGTCTCTGATTTGGTGAGTTTGAGCCACACTACCACCACCCTTCTCTTTCTTTACTCTCTCTAGTCTTTTGCTTCTGCTCTACTCCATATTCTGCATCATGAGATTATTAGGTAACAAACAAACATATTATATTAGACTAGAGGAAAGGAGGATGGTGACAGTACCATTACAGTGGTAGCAGTTGGATGAAATGATCTTTGGTTTTGCTGATGAACTAAAGGAGAACAACACAACATACGCCCTCTCTGTCGGCAGTGTCTAGCTTTTGGTTGTACAGAATCGTCACATGTAGCAACTGAATTTTGCTTGTTTGCTGTTTATTTGTTGGGATTTGACGTTTCTCCCTTTTGGCGGGTACACCACTGCACTACCCTACGATTTCTGAACAAATAAATGCCACATGTGATTTGCAGAGGCTGCCTTTAACTTTTTCTTCCTTTCAACTATTGGATTGAATACTGCTAAATTTTTTACAGGCCACACATAGATAGATACCCACTGTTTCTCAGTTTGCTACTTTATTTCGTTATCGTTCCTATATTAGTGTCATGGTTTAATAGGTTACGCTAGATAATATGAGGATATAGAACTAACTGAGTTCAAAACCCCATTTGGAAATTTGTGAAATCTGCTGTTCCCACAATGCTGGGATGGTGATAGAACCTGAGATTAGGGTTCTATCGGGAATTGGGGATTTAGGGATTAAGAACAGAATTAGGGACTTGAGAAAGATAGATAGAGAATCGGCCTAGGCCTTTAGAGGGATTGGGAACGAGAATTGAGAGGATTAGGAGAATAGGGTTTAGGAAGGCTTTTCTTAATATTCTTCTTATTGATTATGAATGAATGACCAATTACATATTTATAGCGAAATACTAGAAAAACCTAATAGACTATCCTAATATGACTCAAAGACTAATAACCATATATAGATAAATCCTAATAATATTAATATTGATAATTATGGTTAAACCTAAAAAGTAGGTTTCCATCATCCCCTTCCCCTTGAAAACCAACCTTGTCCTCAAGGTTGACCAACTCGACCCATTTCGTCACGTCGTCCGGCGGATTCCTCTCTGCCTGCGCTTCACGGCGGCGGTGGATTCCGACTCCAAGATCCGGCTTCCACTTCTTCTTCTTCTTCCTCTTCCTCGGCGAGTATAGAGTCTCGCCGTCGTCATCATCGTCCTCGTTCTTCTTCTCGTTCACCGGCGACGCGCGACGAAGCTTTCCGCCTGATTCTGTCCTCATCCCTAGCCTTGTATCCTCGGCGGTCATCATCTGGCAGGAGAAAGAGACATCGACGCCGCCGTTCTTCTCCTTCCTCGATTTCCCTGAAGGCGAGCAGCTCGCCATCGCCTTCATCTTCCTCGTCGGAGCTTCTGTCCTTGGCGTTCTCTTCCCCGGCAATTCTTTCTCCGACGACGAGGTCGTCAGGCAGCCAACTCTTCTCGTCGTCTCTCTCTCTTCTTCACGACTCGTCGACGAACCGCCCAGCTGGTAGTTGGGGCGCAAACCTGGGGCCGAGATGCTCGACGGCAGGGCCGTCTTCCCGTCCTTCGTCGCGGTGAGGACCAGCGGCTGCTGCTCCCCTGTCGCGTCTCCGGCCCCGGACCATACGCCGTCGTATGGGAGAAGGAAATCGTAGCCGCCCCCGTCTTCCTTCGTCTCGACCCCCAGCAGCGACCCGTCCATCTCCGTCGCCTCCCCCGGCGGCTCAACTTCTTCCTCCGACAGCGAGAAGATCGGCGACCATCCTGCCGCCTGATTCCCTGCGCCTCCCCGCTCCGGCGCCGCCTCTAGCGCCACCACCGGCGCAGCCGCCGCGGCCAACCCGCCGGACGCTGCCACCACCTCCCCGACCGCCGGTCCTCCGCGCGGCGTTGTCGCCCGCGCCTGCACGCGCGGCCCGCCAGCTGCCTCCACGGGCCAGTCCTCCTCGCACGCCTCAACTTCCCGGTTGGCGCAGAAAGCGTCAATCCGCTGCAGCAGCCGTGTCCAAGAGGGATCAGAGAGCCTAGCAGAGCTCATGTTGGCTCTGATACCAATTGATAGAACCTGAGATTAGGGTTCTATCGGGAATTGGGGATTTAGGGATTAAGAACAGAATTAGGGACTTGAGAAAGATAGATAGAGAATCGGCCTAGGCCTTTAGAGGGATTGGGAACGAGAATTGAGAGGATTAGGAGAATAGGGTTTAGGAAGGCTTTTCTTAATATTCTTCTTATTGATTATGAATGAATGACCAATTACATATTTATAGCGAAATACTAGAAAAACCTAATAGACTATCCTAATATGACTCAAAGACTAATAACCATATCTAGATAAATCCTAATAATATTAATATTGATAATTATGGTTAAACCTAAAAAGTAGGTTTCCATCAGATGGTGGTGGGGACTCTTGCATTCAATTATAATGGGGTCTCCTCCTCTCCTTACTCTGGGACCAGAGTGTATTAAATTATTTAGGAATAGGGATGGTCCTAAGTCCTAACATTACCATTACAACAACTTAGTTTTCTCAGCTCCTGATGTGGCTTTCTGACTGTTATGTAATGTGGGTTAATGTTGGCCAAAAATAAATTTTCAGGTTGAGGGTTTGATGCGGCTGATGGAAGGAGAGCATGTCGGACCTTTCAATCTTGGCAACCCTGGGGAATTTACCATGCTTGAGCTTGCACAGGTAATGCATATAAATACTTTCTTCATCTCCTGTATGATTTGAATTTCAAGCTCCAAGCAGAAACTGAGCAGTAAGACTTTTTTGTTTTTATGAACAGGTGGTACAGGAAACGATCGACCCCAATGCAAAGATAGAGTTCAGGCCAAACACTGAAGACGACCCACACAAGAGGAAGCCAGACATCACCAAAGCCAAAGACCTTCTTGGCTGGGAACCCAAAATCTCCCTCCGGAAAGGTCTCCCCCTCATGGTCTCCGACTTCCAGCAGCGCATCTTCGGCGACCACAAAGAAGGCAGCAGCACCACCGTCGCCACCACCACCACGGCGGCATCCACATCCTAAGTTTGGTTGAGCAATGTCTCTACCGCCAAAAGACTGAAGGCGGCAGATGTGTTGTATAATTGTTGAGTCAGATAGCATAGCCGGGAGTGGATTTGGCGCTAACCCCCAATTCGAAAACAAAAATACGAAGCAGCCTTGTTTTAGGCTGGCAGAAGATCATCCTCCACCAGGCTATACCCCTGTTTTGTTTGTAGAAGAAGAATACTATATGGGTATGGGAGTTCAGTTTGAGGCTCTATTTACCCAAAAATATCTCTATGATTTATTATGATGAGCTCTCTTGTATTTTGCAACATTTTCATTACCAGACATTATGCTGTATCTCTCTATTGTACTTCATACTTTCTGTATACTATATAATTGAGTAATATGATTAGTAGCTCCTCCATTCCGTCTTTACTTTTATTTCGGGTAGTTAATAAACTTTTTCAATGCCCACAAATTGTTAGTGGACAATATCTCATACATTTTAATTTGGAATTCAAAAAATTTGACCAAAAATCAATTTTTTGCTCTACAAGATGACATCCATTTTGATTGTGGTGGAGGAATCGTCGGAATATCCAAAGAGCAACAACGATCGAGGCGGAGGAGCTATCATAAGGTCTTATTGTGTCATAGGGAGGACTCTTCGGAGGATTCGAATAGTAAGGCAATCGTGGTAGAGGAGAAGACGTCGAATCTAAGAAATACCGGTGGAGTAGACAACAATTTTAACGAAAAATACAATGAATATTTAATTCATCAACAAAATATTAAAGGACTATCCATACCATAGCAAAAAAGACACTTATTGATAGCTCAACGTTTATTAAATACAATTGCTTTTACTCTGTGCTTTGTACTTGTAAAACTTTTTATTTTCTAGCTTTTAGTTAGTAGTAACCCATAGGACTTCTCTTTCTAGAGATGGTCCAAGATATTGTGAGTAACCCTTATATAATCGAGTCGCTGAGTTTAAAATATCTTTTATTATCTTATTTTTTAAAATTATCTTTTATCTTTATTGTTTTAACTTGGATTTCAAATTTTTATGCACATATGGAACGAGTTCGTTGTGATCTATAAACCGATATTTACTTTTAATATATTTCGAGTAATTTTCTGCACACCACCCGTACCACTCGTTACCACCTTCAACGTGATCAATTGGATAATTTTCGTGATCAAATACACCACCATATACCACCTTAGTATACGGTGGTAACGGGTGCAGGTGGTAAACGTTGATGAAAAGTGGTAAATGATCATTATTATATTCATACGTATATAACCATTTTACACTCTTGTATATATTCATACTAGTATAGTACACTTGGATACCACGTGATATAATCTTATGTACTACCAAACAATATCACATGATATAGACTAGTAATACGACTTAAAACGAAAGAGAAATCATCTTGTTAAAATTAATTGGCAAAGAAAAGTAGATGACATATATACAATATTAATGACCCATAGCATTGTATCCGATTGATTTATCCGTCGCATGTCAAGACAGAGAAGTAGGATCAGACGCGAACAACAATCAAGCACGGCACTACTTGGTTAGATATTTGAGCTGATGCTGATGTCGACGACTAGAATTGCAATGGCAATATATGAGATGCGGCCACACCTTTCTTTCAGTTCAGGAGGCCACATCCGGACCGACCGAAAAAGCCTTTCCAAATTCAATCACGTCCATTCCACTTTGAAGGAAGAGTCCAAACAAAAGATGGATTCAGATTCATGATTACGACCACAGGCAGGCATTACAAGACTTGCCTAGACATCCAATTCCATGCTTAATTTGACTTCTTTTCACTTTTGCTTTCTCAATAATGGCATCAGTTGAACCATATACATTAACAGTAAGAAATGGCAAACTCCCTGATTCAACATTTCACCCAAAATGGTCAAGGATACCGCCCGTACTCGATGGAAAGAAACTACATGCCTGTTCATCAATCATTCATTCATATTAAAAAGAAACAGATAGCTACAGTATCATCTAATCCTCTACTTGCACACCAGAATTCAACAGAACGACCAAGTACTACTGGCTTTCCACGGTTCTTACAAAGATGGATCATAATAGGAAGCAGCTCCTGAGTTTGATCCATGATTACTACCTCACCTCACTTTGGATTCCTAAGAACAATGATTACTGAATCACCGCGGAGAAACATTTTACTGATGAACCTATCTTTGTTCACTGGTTGCGCCTTCTTCTTGCCTTTCCCAGTTTTTGGCACCTGATATTTTTCAGCATGGAGCAAGATGCAGATATTGGTTCAATTAGTGTGAATGGCAAAATGTATTTAAGAAAAGAGAATAATATGAACCATTCATTCTTGGATAGAAACCAAAACCAACCTCAGTCCACATCTCTCTGACATTTTCCAAGACCATGTTGCAGTGACGATCGAATGCCCTCACGCGCCCAAGAAGCTTCTTGTTGTTGCGGCAATTTATCAGCACCTGCATACCCAACGCCCAATTAGAGTGCTAGTCAACAGAACAGAACAAAATATAACAAACTGACTTGAATGTTTATATCTAACCAATCACTAAACTTGTCCTAACAACCATTACTGAGATAAACCTTCATTGTTTCTTGATAGTTGCTTAAAACAGACATCGGGATATGAACAAAAATCTACCTGGGTGTTATTCTTCACACTCATCATCAGAACTGAAAGTGGACCAGTGCTGAATTCTTCCTCCTTGCTCTGCAAATGAAGAAGCATCAAAATCAGAGTTGAAAGCATATAAATTTCCAGCAATTGCATACACTATGAACAAAGACAATGTGACATGACTCTAATAATATCAATTTAAGCTCCCAAGTCACTTGTATTTTGCATCACTAAAAGGGTTATCATGCAGCGCAACACGATGATGCAGAAGACACAGTGCAGATCAGAGTGTGAACACTTGCATCAAAACAGCATCTGAAATTTACTACTGCAAATACCTAAACTATATGCAACAGAACAGTACAATAAGGCTAGCTACACCAATCATCACACAAAGGTTTTTGCTCCCAGATAAGTTACATTCCCTCTTAGTGCTCAGGTTAAAGAACACCACCCTGAGACATGCTATGGAAGTAGTAACCATCATGAATCCTAGAACAGTGCTGTGACTTGTTATTGCTTTAATTGTATATATCTCAACAGTTAATCATATAACTTGAGTTAGTGTATTTATAAAAATAATATCCTAGTTTCCACCAGGCATTTACAGCACTTAGATCCTTTCATATTCTCTCCAGCTGCACCAGAGGCATGCTGTGGAAAACTGGCCAGCTAAAAGCCTACAACTTTCATAAAAGGCCTGAAAGGACAACTTCACCTTGTTTCTAGAGCAGGGTACGCCCATAGGCTTCTCATTTGATTTTACATGTGAGAGTCGTTTGTAAAATATTTATCAGCAGAAAAACTAAGCACACATTTGTTGAACAAGCTTACACTTTGTACAAGCACTTCTAATCCATCTTCACCAAAATAATGGTCGATAAAACCAATCTTGAGTTGCTGGCACTAGAACACAGCTGTTACTCTAATTCAACTTGCTTGAGCAGGTAAGAAGAAATCCTACTACATCACGTCTTAGTTCTCTTACGTTATTTGACAAATTGGCACTATGGATAAGATAAGAAAAATATCACTCAGGAAGCAAAAATGCATCTGCAGCAGAAAAGCATAGATTTATGAAACATCCGAAACAATAAAGAATTCATTAAGGCAACAAGAACTCACTGGAGCATCCTCTTCCATGGGCCGACTGCAAAAAAAAAAAATGACAAACCAACGTGGAAAGCTGTTAGTATGTTCATCACAAGATAGAGCAACAAAACAAATTTGCGCATCAAGACACCAGTCTTTGGCCTCCACATAAATGGTGCGGCTGCACAATCAGTTTCCTAACAACGAACTCATTATAAACTAGGGTTTTGAATTGGCACACAGAAAGATATTCGAGAGCAGTTGGCAAGTCCCCTCCACATACTAAGAAGAAGGAAACGGGGAGGCTCCAAGTCTTACCTCATGGTGGCGAGTTCAGTTTCTCCCTCGAACCGTCAAAGAAACCTGCAAACTGGAAGGAAGGCAAATTAGGGTTAAGCTCACGGAATGTGAGCATTAATCGGAACAGAGAAACGCAAACGAAGACCAAAAGGAAACAGTAAGGTACCAAGTAGAACAATCGAAGGAAGAGTGAAGAAAGCTACCGATAGCGGGAGGTTTATGTGCTCGCCGAGCCGAGGCGGATAAACTTGACCTTGACCGGGGAAGCAAGGTTTGCCGGATCGGAGGCGGCAAGAGTGCTGCGCGCAGGATTTTAAATTTACTTCGTTGAAATTTTATGTTATATAATCATATTTTAAATGGGAAAGGATGTTGGGCCTCCGCAGGCTCAGCCTTACGCTGTGTTAATGGATCATCGCCCATAGCCCAACAGCCAGACACTGGGTCAACTGAGATCCATTAAGAAAATTGGTAACGCAAAACTCAACATTAAAAGATAAACAACGAAACACATCATCTCAACTGATAGCCTTATAACGTTGAAAATGTCTCAACTGTCCTCATATCGAATATATATAAACATTTAGTTGATGAATGTCAAGGTGTAAATTATCACCTTTAGAGAACTCATTAGGATAAAATGTAGCAATTTTTAGGAGTCTTTTCTTGTCACAATTAACAAATGAATCGTCTAGATTTGAACAATCCACAAAACATAGCAATTTCGTATTAATTTCATTGAAGAGGCATTTAAGCACTTGCAAGATGTAACTACATATCCAAAATCATCATACATAAAGCATGTAGTAGCATGTAACTTCGTGGTGGAATTGATAGCCTTAAGTTTACAAAGAGGTGCTTTATTTGAATATCGCTCCCAAGTAAACATAAGTAACATACTTTGTTCATATATGTGTTTCAAATTTCAACTGGTGCACGAAACCTACCTGGTAAGCAAACACTAGCTCCGTCATTAATTATGGGTGATGGTGACCAAATTAATTATCTGCTACTTGTAGAATAGTTTCCCATTCAATAAAAATTATGAGAGATTGTTCGGCCAAAAAAAAAAACAAACTATCCATATTTTTTTAAACTAACCCACCTTGGATCAATTCAAAGCAATAAAGCCAAGAAATTAATTATTCTGCAAATTTCCAGTTCTTGAACCACATTCATGAACATGATCACAACAATCCCGCCGGCCGGCCTGCTACATGGCAGAATGAAGGGCTCGTGGCTCCTTAAACCCGCAAAGGTATCTCCCAGCTCCATGCCCCGACGACGACGTAATCCCATTATTGTTCGACTGCCCCTTCTTCTTCTTCTTACTATTATTGCTCTTCCCACTCAACGTCCAACTACTGCACTTGATCATCAGCTTGTGATCAGCTTCTTCAATGGGCTCCACCACGATCCCGCTGCCTTCCCCGCTGTGTCCGTCCAGCCAGGAGACGATGTCGGCGAACACGATCCGGACGTTGTCGTCGGTCTCCCCGGCGGTCAACCCGTGCCACATCCCCGGGTAGAGCTTGATGGTCTTGTCGTTGCTGCCGGCCTGCTGGTAGAGTGCCTTGCTGATCTCCGGGTCGGTGACGGTGTCGGCGTCGCCGTGGAGGACGAGGAAGGGCAAGGTGACGTGGTGGAGGGACTCCTCCAGCCTCATGCTCGTCCTCAGCATCTCCAGCGCCGTCTTCAGCCGGGGCTTGTCCTGGTATATCAACTTGTTGTTCCGTATCTCCTCGCGCTTCACGGGGTCCTTGAAGGCGGCGTCGATGACGTCCTTGGTGGGGACGATCTTCCACTTTGGGATCAGCTCTTCGAAGCCGGTCAGTATGTTCACTACCACCGGATGCGGCTTCAGCTTCTCCGAGATCTTCAAACAAACAAAACAAAAAACACTTGATTAATTAGAATCTTAGATAATGTGTGTTGTGAAACTTTATGAGCTAGATAGCACGATTGAGAGATCTCACGACTCTTTTCCTTCCTTTAACTATTATTGAAAACCATGATTAATTAAGACCGACGACTAAGAAAAGAGTGCCAAAATGCATGTGTGTTCGTTCGTACCTTACACATTGGGGCGACAAGAACGGCGCCGTTGTAGAAGGACGGGCGCTTCTTGTGCAACAACAGGGAGACGGCCCCGCCCATGGACTCGCCGTAGAGGAACCTTCCTTTCTCCCTCAAGTCCTTCTCCGCCGCGACCGACCTGAAGAAGTCGTCGCAGTCGTTGACGATGTTCTCGAACTTCTTGATGTAGCACCTCGACCCACCGGATCGCCCGTGCCCTTCGTAGTCCATCCCGAACACACCGTAACCCGATTGAGCCAACCTGATCCCAATTTCTTTTGGTTTTTTTTTTTTTTTTTTGGATGAAAACAGCAGAAGTAATAATTAATTGGCAGAATGTAATTTGTCAAAAAGGGAACATGAATAGACCAAATAATAATGCTGTTAAGTTACAACTGAAGCAGAACGACTGGGACTGGGGGGATAGGTCAGGTCAGGTCAGCTAACCCCTCTGAAGTCTGAAAGCAAAGCAATGAATGAGAAGCGGCTTATTAATTAATTGGGTAGTTGGAAGGAGTGGTTGGTTGGTGGGGTGGGTTCTGATTGGGTGTTGGTTTGAACTTGGGTATGCATGTTTGACAAGAAAGCAGCAATAGTACTTGGAGTTGGAGGAGAAGAGAACAATCTTGAAGCCCTACAATGCACAAGGGAAACCCAATCATCATAGTGTAGTTCCTTTTGCTGGTTCTGGGTTTCTTGTTGCACTCGCTTAATAAGTGTGTACTCACAATACATGCCACAACATGTACATCTTCAAATGTACACACAACATATTTAACAGATAAGATGTCGTTACAAATTTTTTTTACAAAAAAAAAATATTATAAATTTTATCGATATAGCACAAAAATATAAATTTTCAACGCAAATATATTGAGATATGATGTAAAACGAACGAGATGATCCGTTGCAAATTCATAATCAATTTAAAAGATGCATACTATGTCACGCTCAACATTCCTCAAAACTCCAGAATTTTCTTCTTATCCTCTAATAATATGGATCGTGAGATTATTCTTTTTCCAACTACAACCATCATATTTATCTATTTATTAATCCAGATTACTATAAAAAAATATTTACCTATTAAGTTTTATAGAATGAGATTCGTGCTTTCTTGCCTACATATTTTGAGTGAGATTGACACAACCCAATTAGAGATTGTGGAACTCCATAATGGCGCAGCAATCGAAGGAAAGGGATGAGGTTGAAGATGAAGATGAAGATGAAGTGCGATCAGATTGAAGGCGGTTTTCTTCTTCTGCCTCCTTGGGTGTCAGCAGCCGCTTTTTCGCTAGAGTTTGTTCGCCCGGAGCCTTACCGGCAAACAAACAACAATTGGGAGAAAACATGATCGAAAATATAAAAAACAAGACACCAAGGGGAAAAACAATTTAATGGTTATATTATTAATTTTTAAATATAATATCCAAATCGTAACTTTTAATCCAATCAAATGTTAGTCTATTTTTATATGACAAATTTGTTTACCTCTTATTTAGACCACTCCCTCTCTCTCAATCGAAAAAAATTCTAAATCTTTTCATTTTCCTAAGACAAATCTAGATAACTGGAGCCTCTCATCGGAAAGGTTCAATCATATCCCGATAGAATTATATCGTTCTATTTTTAGGTTCAGGTGGAGGGATGGCTAGAGTTCTCTTTGCCAATGATTGGCCGACGAGAATTCAATCCATTCTCAGTGCAGGACCCTCGCAAAATTATCTCTTGGACGGAGTGACGAGAATCAACTTGGTGTCGAAGACTAACAAATTGATGTGCATTCAACTCACGGAATAATAATTAGCATGTTAAGCAATGACTAATTTCAATCTCGTGTTCTACATGACGCTATGGTCGGGACTCGAGGATAATTAGGTAAACTGCTTTAGATTATTAGGGAGGGGTTGTTAAATTTTTGACAATAAGAAAATTAATTTAACAAATAATTTTTTGTGCATTATATTTATAAATAAGGGTCATGTTGTTAGTAAACGATATATGATCCATGATTGAACCTCTCCTAACAACTCGAGTTATTGGTACCAACTGGTTTTTTACATGATATCAGAACTTCTATAATAATTAATAACCCTAATACTAATACGGACATAACATAACTTCTACGACTATAATAAGGAAAATAACTCCGACAAAGTTAGAGGTTAAAGTGAGACGAATATTATCATCAATATATTATTGTGTCTAAAAGATAGTGGCATATAATTAGTAATTAACCCATTTTCAATAAATAGAGTTATTGAAGAAACAATTTATGAGTTGATATTATAACTAGTGTAGCCAAATAATTGTGTGTTGTAATATTTACAACCCCAAGTATTAATAACTTTTTCAATGAAGATAGATCTTTTCATCCTTGTGGCAGATTTCGTAAATCCAATTCGTATAAACCACCAGAAAAAGAAATAAATGCTAACCGCCCATTTCAACGAGAGATGGTTGGAACAGAGTAGGTCAATCGAACTTATATGAATCAAAAGAAATAAATGCTAACCGCCAATTTAAACGAGAGATGATTGAAATAGAGTAGGTCGATCTTTGGTGCATGGATGTGGAAAATGAATTTATATATGAACGATGCAATAATTGAGCAAAAAGAAGAGAAAATCTTATCAGGATGGGTTGTGGTTGATTGGATGTTGACTGGATGGGCGGGAGGGAAGAAAAGAAAACAAACAAAAACATTTTGTTTTGTGACAATTCAAAATTGTGATACAACATTTGAAACGAGATAACGTGAATTATCTTGTTTTGCACTATTTAAATCAATAGAAAGTATCGTGAGATAATTCATTCCGTTCAAGATGAATTGCATCCGAATCGAAACAATCTCTAACGAAGGAGATGGAAGAGCGGCGGAGGAGACGATGAGAGATTGGAGAGGGAGAAAGGACAGGGAAAGGGAAATGAGTGCACCACAGAGTTCATTAAATTAGAAGTGCAGAGGTGGGGTGGGAAGGAGAAAGAATTGATTACCTCTCATGAAACCGCTGCACTCCATGCCATAACCTGCCAAAACACCCCCGCCATTGATGCCACACACCCACCTCCCTCTCAGTTAATACATACATACAGACAGACATACATACAAATTGAATGAAAAGCATCAAAACGGAGAAGAAGGGGGGGCAGGCAGCCAACCATGACAGAGGAAAACCAGAGCTTTTGGCGACGACGACGAGGATGACGAAGGATTGGGCAACCATCTACATGTGAAAAGCTCTACTCCCCTCGAATTCTTTACATACTCCTGTCAACCCCAGACACAAAACAACAAATTGAAACAGAATCCATCAACGAAAACTTAACTACAAAGATATATCCAACTGCAAATTTCCGCGGCCGGTCGGGCAGGGGGTTCTTACCTCTCGGTACTGAAACTCCATGAACGTATGTATGTACGCCAACCGTTCGACGAAAAGCCCACCCCAGGCGAAGAAAGGGGAGAGCACTGATTAGGACGCTGGAGAAGCAACGGCGATTGCGAACTTAATTGACCATCCTTATCATCATATCTTCCCTTTCTGCTTCAATTATTTCGCGCCTTCGGGATTCTCCATGTAAAAGCGGTCATGGATGTCGGACGAGAGTAGATTCGAAGAAGAGAGAACACCCCCACACCCTATGAAAATAGAAACAGAGAAACTCTCTCAGAGCAGATCGAGAAGAAGGATGGCTTGCCTCGAGATGGGACTTGGGAGGAGGAGGATTATATTTGAGGTTTTCTTTTTTTCTTTCTTCCCCGTTTCAGAGTGTATAATTATAGTCAAGGGGAAACGTGTCCAGGGAATATATAGAATTATTTTAATATCGCTCAACGTTCTCTTTAACGAATAATAATAAAGTAAAGGAAAAAGACTGACGAGTGAAGAGAAAATGGGAAGGGAGAAATGAATCGACGAAAATATGATTTAGATAGGTTGGTTCAACACATTTTTAATTCCCACCCGATATTTCGTTTTTGAAAAATCTCGATAACATTTTGACGGAAAGGAAACCAGATCGATTTTATTGATTTAGGATGTTGAAGAGTTGATTCATCCCAACAATAAAAATATGGTTATAAGCAATGCAATCAAGGCTAGCTTTTAGTTAGAAGTGAAATGATAGGTAAGAGCAAAAGTGTTTTACCTTGGTAAATTTCAAATTTCGTCACTGAATTTACTAAAACGTGTCGTATTTAGTCATTGGAAAAAATTAATATCAATAATGATCACTAAGTGTAGTAACACAAACCATGTTTTGTCACTCTCCGTTAGTCTCTAACCAACTCCGTTAATGCAGTTCATTAAGTGATGACATGGCAAACATAATCGCTTAGTCAGCCCCATTTAACCCAATAAAAACGAAACTCGACATGTCACGCCATTAAAACCCGCCACATCATTAAAGCCAGCCCAACTCATAACCCAACCATTTATCTTCTTCTCTATTTGATCCACCCGAAATCTAAACCGAAATCCAATGTGCCCGATTATCCTTGTTGATAGAAAGTTCATTTGGTGGAAGTAGAGGCTGTTAAGAAGCTACCCCAAAAGCAAAACCAGCAGAATTCATGAGGCGCCATGCTTGTTAGTTGTTTTGGCAAGCGATTAAACAAAATTAAAGTCCTTGAAGCTTCTAAATCCCACACCGACCTTCACATTTTGGCAGGCACAACAACTTACCAATTGCCCCAGTCAACGTTCTCATTCTTAGTGTCCCCATTTTGGTACGCACAACACCTTGACATTGCACCAGTGAATGATATTTTTATCTCCCCAGACCAAAAACTCCGCAGGGGAAAGCCCTGCACCAGTGAATGATATTTTTATCTCCCCAGACCAAAAACTCCGCAGGGGAAAGCCCCACACATGACTATGCAAACAAGTTGTAAACCCAGATATGTTGTTCTTCTCCCCCAAGGACTGCTGGCATTCATTACTAGTTCCTAGAGTCTTTTCTAACATGCATCCGGTTCCACAGGTTTGCTACACTGAATCCACGTTCCTGATCAAAGGCTAAAACCGCCTACTGATTTGTGTCCAGTATCCGGTATTTACTGTCTGACCTGCCGGCACGGTAGTGTTTCTTAAACATTGGTTTTCAGTGAACAACACTCAAGTGACTGATGGGTATGGCACATTCTGTATCTAGCCAAAGGAAACATCATAGTAAAATTCTAAGCTAGGAAGAGGGCTAAAAACAGGTTCTTCAAGAACAAAGGGTTTCACCTTGCTTCTAATCTATCTTACATCTCTTTCTCTTCCAGCTTTTGTCGCCCACAATTAGCCGCTGCTTCCTTCAAAGGCTTGTGGAGTAATCAACCATAGCAGCGACGACAGAAGCCCCACCTGCTGACATAACCACAGTCGGCAAGCTTCGAGTTCTCGCAGCAGCAACAGCCCCTGCTGCAGCTCCAGCTACTAAAGTGTTTACCTGCAATAACAGCCAGATGAACGTTACGACAAAAGATGGACTGGATGCCAAGAAGAGTAGGAGACCACACCGTTGGACAGCTGGTGAACTTCACTAGTGGTAATTTAAAGCCATCAGGTCAATGGTTCATTGAGCACAGTCACAAACATCAAAGGCTTTTAATGGATAGGTGAAGCTGGTGGGAAGCTAACAATTTAAAGAGAAGCTACACTCACTCTCCCGAGTTCAAACTAACATTTTTGGTGTATCTTGTTCTATGTCAATTTGATATGCTGACAACCTCCATGGACAACTTATACAGGAAGGGTGACTAAAAATCTCAACAAGGGTGCGGAATCAAGATACCAACAATGCTTGTTAAGATCATGTAATGCCATGAAAAGGGGAATCATTCTTCGCCTATATAACCTCCTAAAAACACCTTACAAAGGAAGGATAAATATTTGCAATTCAATGCAATCGAGGCAGAACTCAAGCATTGGTCACAGTCCGGAAAAGATAGGAAGATGAAATGACCAAGGTGCAGAATCGAGATAGCTACAAAGTATCTTAAGATCATGTAAAGCAATGTCATAGGCTCATAGCATCAAAATCAAAGGAGCGATTCAGCCTACGAATCATATTCATATGTAAACTAACCCAATCATTCTTCTGCCTATATCTCTGAAGTGCACAACGTGTACCAGAGAAGCATCCACCTACCAGCCCTGTGCACAATAAGTGGAGAAAAGTCAGCGCAGTCTCTACCTAAGAAAAGCAAGCACTGCACTTCTCCCTGTCAAGAAGACAGCTGATTACCGCAAATCAAACCATGCCCACCAATCGTCTTAGCCTGTAAAATTTTAGGAAACCCGAATATTACAGAGAGCACGTCCAAAATCGAATTCGGAACCCGAGTTAACAAGAGAGAGAGATAGAGAGAACATACTACATAAGAAGCCCGAGCAGCGGCAGTCAGGCCTGCATACAGAGATCGGAAAGTGGATAACAATGAAGGAGGAGATTCAAGATTGAAGACTGAAATTGGGTTGGCGATTGACCTTGTTTACGGGCATCGTAGGGAGCGATGCAAGAACCCCAGATGAGACCTGCCTGAAGACGCGAATTAGATTCACGGGAAAACCCAAATTCGCCTTTGGAGTGTTTCTTAATCTGAGTTGGCAAAGAGTAATTAAGAAGTGAGCTGGGAGATTAGCGACGTACCGTTCCTACTCGAAGAATAGAGTCGACGGCGAGGGAGGAGCAGGGAGCGACCTTCATCAGCTCCTCCTCCATCTTCCGCCACAACAACCAAACAACGCGACAAGGTAACAAGTACAGTGCTATGGTCTCTCTCTAACAGCCTGTTTGGATACAATTCAAATTCAAGAAGAAATGGAAATGGAATTCTATTTCCAATTCCTATTTTTATAGAATTCCATTTCCAATTTTAGTGTTTGGTATAATTCCTCCAACTAAAGAAATGAATTGCACTTTTAACAATAATTAATAATATAATATATTTATTTTATCTTGGGAAATGAAATATGAATGATAGAGAAAGAGAGTAGTGTGATAGTTGGTTAATAAAATAATAATAAATAGTGATGGGACCCACTAATTCCATCTTCATAAACACAATTCCTATCACTTTTGATAGGAATTGTAATTCCTAAAACTTAGCCCAAATGGAATTCATTTCTCAACCTTCTTATCCTTCCAAACATAAAATATGGAATTGGAATTGAAAATGGAATTCCAATTCCTGAGTTTTTTGTCGATCCAAACAGGCTGTAAGAGTCCAGAAGTAAAAAATATAAACTACTAGTTAGTAGTTCTACTTGGGCAAGGTATAAAATGAATAGCGCATAGTGACACCCTTTGATCGAACCAGATAGCAATTAGCATGTCACATACATTGATTTTACAACCATATTAACAAAATTCATTAAAAGTGTTATAGTAATGGTTTGTACCATCTAACTCGCGACACAGAACAATGATTTGTGATTGTGTGAGACTTGACATCGCGATCTGCTCGTCTGATCTAGTATGAAAGGGAGGAACCTGTGAAAAAACAGGGGATGTCCCTCGATTATACTCCGACAAGTGTAAAGTGAGGAAAAGAAAGTCTAAAGAGAGGAAAAGTGTAAAGTGAGGGTGGAGAGGTTGAGTCCCTCTTTCTAGAGGACTTGAAAGTCATTATATTGTCGTGGTGGACGTCACTTCTCGATTAGGCGTAACCGGTTGAGCATCACTTCTCGGTTAGGCATCATCTGTTGAACATCACTTACCGATTATGTATCACCAGTTAGGCGCCACTTCTCGATTAGGCGTCAAAATTGTGGCGTTTCACTAGTTAGTCTCTCCATGGAAGGTTAGGTGACACCCCCAAGAGTAACTATCCACTAATTTAGCACAATGCTAACATAATTCATTAAAAATATTATAGTATTTATCCACTTATAGCAGCAGTTCCCTTCCCTCATCCATCCAAACTATAATCTCACCAACCAAACAATGTAATGTCAAAATACATCTATCATATTTGAATCAATGCGTGCATTCAGCGGCGGATCTAGGGCTAGCCCACCCCGGGCCATCGCCCAACCCTCTTATGGATCTAGAGCTAGTATAGTGTTTATAAAATTTTTGATTTTAGTTATTCGATCTAGTTTTATTTAAAAATCGAGTCAATGTTATTTAATAATAAGATTTTGTGTAACTAGAAAATGATCCCCATGAACATATCCAAACCACTACTCTAAATTTAGACTAAAAATTCTAGCCCCAATGATTTTTATTTTAAAAAATACATTAAAACCTAAAAGTCTTTAATGTAATAGTCTAAAAGTATAGTGTTTCATTGAAATAAAAAATACTATAATCTAAAGTTCACCCTTCCATAAAAATCTCAAAAAATTTATCAACCCCCCAAAACAAAACTAGAACGAGGAGACGAACGAACCCAATAAAAATTGATTTATCAGTTAATTCATCTAGTGTTGACATTATTGTTTCGACGGCTACCAAAGAGAGAACATTCGCATCAATTGAACATGTGAAAACTTATTTGCGCAACAAAATGAGCGATTAATTTCTCGTTGATTGCTTAACTATTTTTATTAGAGAGAGTCTGCTATTGGCCTGGATGGAGATTCTATTATTGACGAATTTGCTAAATTAATAGATCTTCTTATATAATTGACATTGTAATGAAAATCACAATTATTATATATATTTGTTTACGGTATCTAATATTCTATTCAAATGGACAAATACTGCTCAATACTCTATCCTAAAAATCTGCCAATATATTCAACGAAAAAAAAATAATAATCTGCCAATACATACATTTACATCATACTGATTCATAACAATATAACAATTTAACATATGCAACTTCTAAACGTACTATATTCATGCCAATCCGACCACTGGATCTCACACTACTTAGAGGTCGTTTGGAAGTTGGGAGTCTACGAATATGTGTATTCTTGCAATGTATGCATTCTAAGTGTAGTGATTGTAAGAAATAGATGATTGTAAGAATATATTGTTTGGTAGTTGTGATTATTACTTTTGAAGAATGTAAGAATTCTCACTTTAATGACCAAAATGACTTATATAGCCTTGAAGTTCTCTTTATATAATCATTAAAGGAGGGGCAAATATGAAATATATAAAAAAGAATAAGGATGAGTGTGCAAAAAAGCATTTAAAAAAGTAAAGTAAGAGAATCTCACCTTTTTGTAGAGATTCTAAAATGGATGATTCTAACCATTTGAGATTCTAAAGTTTCATTTAAATGCTTGCATTCTGGATAAGTTTATGTCAAAAGAACGATGAATTGTAAAGAATACAAACATTTATAGAATCACTCATCTAGACTCCTAACTTCCAAACGACCCTTAATTAAGCTCCAACCGTTTTGACAACTTTGATTTAGAATCCCTGAAAACGTTTCTCTTTACGAAAGGTTAAAAGGCCAAAACGACGGCGTGTTGATATACGAAGAGAAAAGAAAACCCTAGGTCGTCTCGTCTGTTCTCGATACAAATATGTTGGGCAGCTGAGGCGGCCACATAACTCCGTGAATTGAGCTTCGATATCAGAAGAAAAAGAAAACGAGCGAAGAGATGAGTCGCGGCGGAGCAGCATCGGTGGCGAAGGGAGGAAAGAAGAAGGGAGTCTCCTTCGTGATCGATTGCGGGAAGCCTGTGGAGGATAAGATCATGGACATCGCTTCGCTCGAGAAGTTCCTCCAGGAGAGAATCAAGGTGGGCGGCAAGGCCGGCGCTCTCGGCGACGCCGTCGCCATCTCCCGTGAAAAGAACAAGATCACCGTCACATCCGACAGCAATTTCTCTAAGCGGTACTTCCCCGTCTTCCTTTCCCGCGTTTATGCCCCTTATTTCAGATTTGTGAATGTATCCTTGTGTTTAAAGGGTCATGGAAATGTTTCTAGGGGATCCAATGGTGAAGCAACCTGGGGTAGCTTGCCTGATTCGTAGTGAGAATTTGGGGAGGAGTAAGATACCCGTTTCTAGTTAGGTGAACCAGATCTGTTAATGGTGGTGTAATCCACTGAGTAACTGTTGACATTTTTTTGCACTGTTCGTTCCAAGGGTCTCTAAGGTGAGTTAAGATTGTGTGCTTGGTCATATATGCTGCTCGCGGTTAGGTATTAGTGTGCTGCATGTGGATAGTTCTAAAACTATTCCAGCTTCAGAGTGGGATTATATAATCCCCAGTTATCTCTTGAGTTCCATGTTCATTATGCTGATACTGGCTCAATTGTTATGGAATCGTAGTATCGCTTGGGTGAGTTCAAACTTGTTTGCTGAATCATATTTCGGTATGCCCGGTTGGAATGTGGTTTGATAATGATGGTTTTTGATTACAGGTTCTTAAGTGGTGCATAGGTTGATTTGATTTTAGGTTCTTAAGTAGGGATACGTACAGACTATTTGCCTTGAGATACTTGAGCCAATGCAATGCAAATTTCAGAGGAAAGTCTGACCGCTCTGGCTTTATGCTTTTCCTTATCCTGGCTGCGAGCTAGCTTGACTATCTTCTGATATTGTGTTCTCTACGTGGTGAATTAAATCGTTCTGTTTCAATGATCTCTGTGGCAGGTATCTCAAGTACTTGACCAAGAAGTACCTGAAGAAGCACAATGTGCGAGATTGGCTCCGTGTGATTGCTTCCAACAAGGAGAGGAATGTGTATGAACTGCGGTACTTCAACATAGCCGAGAACGAGGGAGAGGAGGAGGATTGAAGACTGATAGTTCAGTATCTGCTGTTTTTTTAGTTTGGTTCAATCTGTTTGAAAGGCTGTTTCTCTACTATGTTGATCTGTAGGCTTCCTTGTCGCCGCTGTCGTAGAACTTGTTGGGAATTTTGGTTAATGGCGAATCTAGTAGATGTCATACTTGCTTTCTTTAGCTGCTACAAATAGAATCTTTATTTCCTTGCTATAGATTTGCTCTTAACGTATGTTTCAAACCAATGGATAATTGCCTATGTTTTTGCTGTTGGTACACCGTGCAAGTACCTTTGATATTCATCAATGCTGTCTTCCAACCATTCACAAATGAATTGTTAGCGTTCTTGAGAGAGGACAGCATGAGGCTTGCGCAGGTCTAACTCGGGCAGTCTGGTTGTCCAATCTCGGGACGTTTACATGCTTTATCTTAAGCCAAAAGGCCTAGAAATGTGTGATCAAGGTACGTTTGTGGGTGCTATTGTTGAGATCGTCTATGGGGCATATGACATCTCCGTTGGTATATTTTCGTCAATTTAATTTCCGCAGTCTACATAATTTCTCGAATCGAATAGTGAGATGGAAATCGGTACTCAAAATAAGCACTAGGTTATAATCCAAATTTTCGTCAATTTACTTTCCGCCGTCTACATGACATGGTTGACCTCATAGTGGGTGAAACCTAGGTCCACAAGAAAGAAGTAGCTCTTATAATGTTACTTGGCCAATGAGCCTTACACCAATATATATACCTTCAATATATCGACCTGGGTTTTATAGTCATGTCACAACAGGACACAAAGATGATGAGGAATGCATGGCCATGTTGGCCTGTATGTGATGGACCAAGTTGGCCCGAAGCTTACCCCAACCTAATGCGGCCCCGCAAGCTTGATGCAGTATAGGGTGATAATTCATAGGAGATCGCATCGTCGTATTACATGAGGTCTTTTCTCTTTTGATAGTGATTACTCAAACATATCCTAATGCATTCGAATGATGATGCAAAAAAAAGTAAAACTAGTGGGTTGAATGTCCTTTACACAAACCACTGCTCCACTAATGCACGAAAGAAAAGCAACGCAAATAATGAAAGCAAAAAAGAAAAATAATGTATAAGTAGTGATTCTAGATGATCATGCATTCATTCATTCTTAATGACGAGATACTTCAATGCTTCTTCTATTAAGATGTTATATCCCTTCCTCTAAGGTTATTCTCTACCCATGCATGCATCTTTTGCTATGGAGATTTGACTATCTAAGGCGTGCTTTCGTTTCATGCCATCACCTAATCAATTAAGAACAAGGAAGTTATGATAACACAAGATTAGGTGTGGGCCTCTATGGTCTTTTGCATTTATGATCTAGGAATCAATTATCATCCTCAACCTCTTTATCTTGGGCATGTTGAGCTTTCTGAAAGGGGTAGCTGAGAACTAACTTTGCCTTATGACCAGAGTCTGCGGCACTTAACTCGACCAGGAGACTTTCAGTTCTAAAGGGAATTGCCAAATGGTTTTGGAGGCGGGATTGCTTGGTTGGTCTCCATCTCTATCCTCTGAAGTTCGAAAAGTCAGCCTCGTTAAAGCTTCCAAGCTAAAAAATTCATGGATTGGGGGGATAACAGGGGAGAAGTGATGACTGATTCAAAAATCTGGCGTTGGTAAACAGGGGCTTCAGTTTCACCAAGGCCCAAGAAGCTTCTTTATTCAATTGAAGGCGCAAATGAAACGATAAACGACAGCGTTTCGAAGAGAGGTAGGCGTATGGTCAGGGAAAACTGGGCTTCCATTAGACAAAGGGTCGGAAAAAGCTATTTAATCAAAACCCAAATTAATGAAATTCCGGTTGCGTTCATGGAAGGAGGCAGGCCTGCAACCAGCGAAAATAAGAAATACTTGCGAAAATGAAGAAACGGGTTTCAATTCGAAACGCGAAACGGACTGAAAAACTTCTTCTTTATTTAATTGAAGGCCCAAGGGAAATATAACCGGCAGCGGTTTGGAAGAGAGATGAGAGTAAAGGTTGAGCTAAAGTGGGCTTCCTTTTGACAATGGCCCAAACAAACTTATCTTCCATTTAATCAAAGGCCCAAAGAACCGGAAATGCGGCAGCGTTTCGGGAGCAAGGTAGGCCAATGTCCGGAGAAAACTGTGAACCTTTGAGAACGGGAAAACGGGCGCCAGAAACGACCAAAACGCGAAACGTTTCTCGTCCTCAAAACCTAAATCGAAACGCGAGAAATTGACGAGAAAGTGAAATTGACGAGATCTCGCGATATGGAGTAAATATCGCGATATTTACGCGTTTTATTGACTTTTTGCGATATATTGACCGGGGGCTGGATTTTCCCTCTGAGTACCAAAGAAACCGAGGGAAAAACCAGAAATACACCGGACGATCGCATCAAAATATGGGGAAACAACGCAGCCAGCAATGATTCGGTCAATGAACTTTGCCAAGATTCCTGTATCAAATTGGGAGACTAAATAACGCTGCGCTTTTGCCGTGCGGAGAAGAAATCGTTGCAGGCGCTTTGCCCGGAGGAAGCGGCACCTATCCAGTGCGGCGGCAGTAAAAGCGGCGAGGAAGCGGGTTCTATGGGGTGAAATTTGGGAAAAACTCCTGTTTCCTCGGGAAATCCAAATGCCACCGCCGGTTCCGAATTCGTTCCCGGCGATGTTGATTTGATGTTTCGCGATGGAAACTCTGGCGGTGCCGTTTGATCGGATGCACCGCTGTTAGCTGAAATCGAGACGACCGTCAAATATCCGCCACCGAATGTCGGCGTCGTTGATTTGATCGGTGCAACTCTGACTTCTGAAAACGATGACGATCGTCAAATATCCACCGCCGTGCGATGTTGATTTGATCAATCGAACAGAAAACAAAGAAGATCGTCAAATATCCGCCGCCGGTGTCGGCGTCGTTGATTTGATCGATACACCCTTGACTTCTAATCAAACAACCGTTATTCGGTTCGCACCTCTCCAAACTACGTTCGAACGAGGGTGTTTGAGTTTTTTAGGAATCTACGCTACCGCTACTCCTATGGAGATTCCTGTGGAGAGCTCCGCGACTACGACTACTTCTACATCTATGGAGATCCTTCCTGGAAGGAGAGCTCCGCGAAGGAGTTACAAAGAAAAGGTAAAGTTTGAACAGAGTTGATCTGTGTTGATTTTTGGTTGTCCTTTTCTCTCTCCTTGCTCCACTGCTTTTATTCGAAAAACTGCTTCGTAGTCTTCACGCTCGGTGGAACCGCTTCCTCAACTGCTCCGTTGTGAAATTCCACGTGTCTCAACCGCTTCGCTCCTCAAACTGCTTCGCGTGAACTTTACGTGCGTTGTTTTCATGATCCCGCGATGTCGTTTCCTTTCCCAAACAGCTCCGCTTGATTCTACCCGCGACATTGTTTTAATATTAAACGACTCCGCTTCCAGCCTTGCGGTGTCGTTTTCTTTCCCAACCAGCTCCGTTTGTTTTTTTTCTTCCGCGACATTGTTTATTATTAAACACTGTCGTTTGCTAGTATAGCGGTACCGTTGGGCTTCCTCGCGGTACCGTTTTTAATTCCGCGGCACCGTTTTAGCTCTCCGCGGTGCCGCTTATCCCTATCCAACAAGGAATATAAATAATAATAATGATAATAAAACTCCTTTTCCAACACCAATACCAAACGCGCGGCCCACATCTTGTTTCCCGATAAACGGTGCCGTTTCTAGTATCGCGGTACCGCTGAATCTCCTTGCGGTACCGTTTTAACTCTCCGCGGTATCGAATTAAATGCCGAGACTAATTAATGCGGCATTTAATTCCGGCCGAATTAATTTTAGGTGTCAACAAATGCCCCCCACAATTTGGTTTATAAGAATTATGAACCAAATTGTTGTCACAACTTATACCACCTAAAATTAAATCAACTTTACCAAGAAAATCCACAAATCACGTTTTGCCAAAGGTGATTTTGGCATAAGCCAGTGAAAGTGGCATGCAATTCTACTGCAAGGCTGCACCCACGGCAGCATTGTCTTGATCTTGTGTTTTTTTTTTTATATTAAAACTCTCCATCAGCGCTGCAGCGCTGAGAACCTTTTAATTTTTTTTTTTTTTCACCAGCGCTGCCTCGAATTATTCATTTATTATTATTTTATTTTATTTTTTACTATTTCCGCCAGGGCTGTTGCGGCAGCAGCAGAGCTGCTAATTTTTTTTTTTTCTTCTTCTTCACGGCTGGGGAAACAGCGGGCAGCGCCAAAATTTTTTTTTTTTTTTTATTATTTTCTGCCAGGGCTGTTGCGGCAGAACTGGAAAAAAAAATTTTTTTTAAATATTTCCACCAGAGCCGGCAGAGCTGAAAAAATTAAATTTTTTTTTGTTTTATATTTCCGCCAGGGCTGTTGGGAAAAAACGGCAGAGCTAATTTTTTTTTTTTTTTTTTTTTTACAGCATTGTGTATTCCCTATCTTCCAACGATGTTGAGAAAGAGAACAACGCTGCTTATTATTTTGAACTATTGCCAACGCTATTGTTGCTTCTTCTTAGCAATGCCGCTTGATCATATTATATAATATTTTCTCTATAACATATTAGGTGGCCTAATTTAGCCACGTTATTTATTAACAGTTAAATAAGAAACAAACTAGACTTTGGCATAAACCATCATGCCAAAAGTCCACACCCACTGCCAACTCCATCGATCAAACCAAACAAGCCATCCGTAAAGTCCATGATTCATCACAGCTGGCTCCATACGAGTTGGTTTTGATGTTTTGGAATCAATGTTGGCTTGCAAATCCCCAGTTCGTCTAGCTTGAACATCTTTGTTCGAAGCTCCACGATCCTGATTTGGCCTAATCTTAGCTTCACGGAATGGAAAACCATAAGCATTCTTGGCTCTAGACAGGACATTCTCGTTTTTTGGCACCTTTGTCTTGCCAATGCGACCATGCGACATCGCTTGCCTAGATTGGTCTAGTTTTCTCAGCTTCGCACTCTCACCATGTTGTTGGTAGTATGAGCGCCGAGACTTTTCATCAACAGGTACGTTGGTATTTTGCTTATCACGAACATGACTTTCGCACCTATCACACAACAACGTTGCCCCTTTTAAAATTCCATGTGAGTTTGGAGTTTGTTTGGCATTGGCCTTGCCTCCCAGACCACCACTCATGGATTTGTTCCCAGCCAGCACTGGTGTGGCAACCCCATGTCGGGTTTGATCGAACTTGCCCCCCTCTCTACTCAGTGGAGGTTTTGGGGACAATTTACATAGAGGATTCTGTTGATTCATGCCAACTTTGGTGGCATTGGATTTTTTCACGTGGCTACCAACCCACACCGCAAAGTTTTTGCTGTTATCCTTGTTTGAATTTTCCTAGAATAGGACAGATTTGGCAAACTTATTTGCCACTTGCGATGTTGTTTTTCCATCAACCGACCATGCGGTGGGATCTCATGCCCCCCTAGCGGCTTAGATTGAACACCATTGCGATGTTGCTTGGACAACCCATCATACGTGAGTTTGCTATGCTCGACGCGATTGTAACCAGGTTCTCGACCTCGGTTCTTGTTTTCAATCTTAATAGAAGTAAGTCGATACTGACTTCTTTGTAGTGGCTTTTGCAAGCCACTTCCAATTGGGGTGTCCTTTAAAACAACGTTGTTCACAGGAAAGAACACATTGGATCCACTCACTTCTGGCAACAATGTTGTAGCCATCGATGATGGAGTTTGGTTGACATTAGCTATTCGACCAACCCTCGCATCCTCACACACAACAGACATGGTTCGAGATTTAAACACATCAAAATCATACGCGACTCCAAGTTTTGACATATTAAAATCAGAAACAGAGTCGTCCAACTTATCAAACCATTGATCTATGTTTTTTTCAAGATTATCCATTTTTTTTTGTCAAGAGAAGTTAAAATGAGATTTACCTGTTGGCTATCTCTGCTGAGTTTAGCCACTACTTGGCGGAGCATGCGCTGCATCTCACCCTGATCGGCGATTTGCTCCACTGATTGCACCTCCGCTCCATCATTGTTGCTTGAATCGCCTACAACATCGTCAATCTCGATGTTGATCATTTGAGCCTCCGCCATGGATCCTTGTCGAAGACCACAATCTTCTTTTCCTCGTCGCAGAGCCATGTCAAACACACGGGTCCCACCAGGTGTGCCAAAATGTTTCCTCGGGAAATCCAAATGCCACCGCCGGTTCCGAATTCGTTCCCGGCGATGTTGATTTGATGTTTCGCGATGGAAACTCTGGCGGTGCCGTTTGATCGGATGCACCGCTGTTAGCTGAAATCGAGACGACCGTCAAATATCCGCCACCGAATGTCGGCGTCGTTGATTTGATCGGTGCAACTCTGACTTCTGAAAACGATGTCGATCGTCAAATATCCACCGCCGTGCGATGTTGATTTGATCAATCGAACAGAAAACAAAGAAGATCGTCAAATATCCGCCGCCGGTGTCGGCGTCGTTGATTTGATCGATACACCCTTGACTTCTAATCAAACAACCGTTATTCGGTTCGCACCTCTCCAAACTACGTTCGAACGAGGGTGTTTGAGTTTTTTAGGAATCTACGCTACCGCTACTCCTATGGAGATTCCTGTGGAGAGCTCCGCGACTACGACTACTTCTACATCTATGGAGATCCTTCCTGGAAGGAGAGCTCCGCGAAGGAGTTACAAAGAAAAGGTAAAGTTTGAACAGAGTTGATCTGTGTTGATTTTTGGTTGTCCTTTTCTCTCTCCTTGCTCCACTGCTTTTATTCGAAAAACTGCTTCGTAGTCTTCACGCTCGGTGGAACCGCTTCCTCAACTGCTCCGTTGTGAAATTCCACGTGTCTCAACCGCTTCGCTCCTCAAACTGCTTCGCGTGAACTTTACGTGCGTTGTTTTCATGATCCCGCGATGTCGTTTCCTTTCCCAAACAGCTCCGCTTGATTCTACCCGCGACATTGTTTTAATATTAAACGACTCCGCTTCCAGCCTTGCGGTGTCGTTTTCTTTCCCAACCAGCTCCGTTTGTTTTTTTTCTTCCGCGACATTGTTTATTATTAAACACTGTCGTTTGCTAGTATAGCGGTACCGTTGGGCTTCCTCGCGGTACCGTTTTTAATTCCGCGGCACCGTTTTAGCTCTCCGCGGTGCCGCTTATCCCTATCCAACAAGGAATATAAATAATAATAATGATAATAAAACTCCTTTTCCAACACCAATACCAAACGCGCGGCCCACATCTTGTTTCCCGATAAACGGTGCCGTTTCTAGTATCGCGGTACCGCTGAATCTCCTTGCGGTACCGTTTTAACTCTCCGCGGTATCGAATTAAATGCCGAGACTAATTAATGCGGCATTTAATTCCGGCCGAATTAATTTTAGGTGTCAACAACTCCTAAACATCTACTTCATGATCGGACCGCTGTGTAGTTGCTGTCATCTATCTTACTCTATCAGTCCGCCTTCTTGCCTCTTACTTGCCACAAGTAGTTAGCTGGCGCGTCAGCATCTCTCCGGCCTCCTCTGTATCTCGCCGGTGGTCTTATCTTTTGGTCTGGCAGTTGGGCAAATCGGATGAAATATCCAAAATGGTCGATTAAGATACCTAATAAGCTGGTTTTTTCGTGTAATTTTGCAGCAATTTTCTGCTCATTTCGACTATTTCTCGGGAATTTACGTTACCTGGATGACAATGTATCGTAAAATATCCTCATATCGTAAAATATCGTCCATATCAATTTCTCGAAAATGTGTCGATCCTCTTTGAATGGAAATATAGAGGACACAGCTGTGTTGACCTCTCCTAGTGACTCCTGAGCTTTTGTAGTCTCCTTTAAGGTTTGTGATTTTTATTTTTGGTGTGGTTTCTTGAATTTGTGGTTTATGTTTGGCGAGCTCCCAATAAGAGTCTTCTCTCCCTTTTTATTGTGGTTAATTTATTTAAATTAAAAAGCCTTTCAAATAAAATGTTGTTATTAGTGTGACACCATACTAATAAAAAAGTGTGTACATTATCAATAAAAAATAAAGTGTGTACCGTCAAGAACTAGTTGATCCCAATAACTCGAGTTGTTGAGAGAGGTTCAATCGTGGATCATATACCACAACACTAACACACCCACTCAAACGAAAGCCACTCACAAAGCTTGAAGTTTGCACAAATCTGAAAACAAGAATACCATGTACTTCACAAATGGAGGTTACCGGGAATCGAACAACTCGAATTAGTGAGATCAACTGGTTATGTACATTCCTACTCACTTGACCTGATTCTATGTATCGTCAAATATAATATTAGAAATTGAGTTATGGAATCCCGCACCCGAACCCACTCCCGCTCGTGATACTGAGTACCGACGATGGTTGACTGAGGTCTGAAGCTTTAGCTGCCATTCCTTTTCCCTAGCTTTCTCTTCCCCGCTTCCCTCATCTCTTTTTTTGCCTTTGCTTTATTCCTCTAGTAGTAAGATCCAGAAGAAGCAGCTGTGCATTGAGCTGTCTGTTCGGCGACAAAATCACTGTAAGTAACTCGCTCCCGGATCTTTGTTTTTCTTTTTGAACAGTACTCCGTTTCTAGTATGCTTTATTGAACCCACCATCAGTGATCGATTCACAACACTCCCTCGCTACGAATTCTTAACTTGTAATGGAATAGATGCAAAGCCGCAAGTGTAAATTTTGGGTCGCTTCATTTTACAGATGAGCCTGATAAGTTGATCTGGGAAGTGGGTTTTCTTTTTGACAAAATGGAGTCCTGCGATTGCATCGACACACAATGGCCCCACGACGAGCTTCTAGTGAAATATCAGTACATCTCTGATGTACTGATTGCAGCTGCGTACTTCTCCATCCCAGTAGAGCTCATTTACTTCGTGCAAAAGTCGGCGTTCTTCCCTTACAGATGGGTTCTCATGCAATTTGGGGCTTTCATCGTTCTGTGTGGAGCGACCCATTTCATTAATCTCTGGACTTTCTACGTCCATTCCAAAGCAGTAGCCATTGTGATGACGATAGCCAAAATGTCATGTGCCATTGTGTCCTGCGCGACTGCTTTGATGCTGGTTCACATCATTCCAGACTTGTTGGGCGTCAAGACTCGAGAGTTGTTCCTCAAGAACAAGGCGGAACAGCTCGATCGTGAAATGGGTTTGATTCTAACACAGGAAGAGACGGGGAGGCATGTTAGGATGTTGACACACGAAATTAGAAGCACATTGGATAGGCATACGATATTAAAGACAACACTTGTTGAGCTGGGAAGAACATTGGGGCTTGAAGAATGTGCCTTGTGGATGCCTGCAAGGTCTGGATCGACTCTACAGCTTTCTCACACTCTGAACTACAAGATACAAGTTGGATCCACTGTACAGATTAACCATCCAACAGTTGCTGAGGTGTTCAATAGTGCTCGTGTAGTGAGGATACCGCATAACTGTCCTTTGGCAAGGATTAGGCCTCTTGTGGGTAAGTACCAGCCACCAGAAGTTGTTGGTGTTCGTGTCCCTTTGCTGCACCTCTCCAATTTCCAGATCAATGATTGGCCTGAAATGTCTGCAAAGAGCTATGCTGTCATGGTCCTCATTCTCCCTACAGACAGTGCTAGACAGTGGCGAGACCATGAGTTGGAACTTGTTGAAGTTGTTGCAGATCAGGTGGTGCTCTAATTGTTTATTGTTTTTCAGTTTTTCCTTTAAATTAATCCCACACCTGGAATTTGAACATCAAAAGAATTTGTTTTTGTGTGTGGTTACATTGTATTGCTTCATGGACGGTATTCATTCAGGTGGCGGTTGCTCTTTCACATGCTGCAATTCTGGAAGAATCTATGCGGGCACGTGATCAGCTCATGGAGCAAAACGTTGCTCTGAAATCAGCTCGCCAAGAAGCAGAAATGGCAATCCATGCCCGCAATGATTTTCTGGCTGTCATGAACCACGAAATGCGGACACCGATGCATGCAATCATTGCACTGTCTTCACTTCTTCTGGAGACGGAGCTAAATCCTGAACAAAGAGCAATGTTAGAGACTATACTAAAGAGTAGTAACCTATTGGCAAGACTGACTAACGATGTCCTAGACCTGTCTAGGCTTGAGGATGGTAGCCTGGAGTTGGATAGTGGTTTGTTCAACCTTCATGACGTTTTCAGAGAGGTGACTTTCTATCGTGGCTTTGATTTCACAATTTCCTCGTTGATTTTCCCTCATGAGGGATGGTTCTTAGGATGCCGTTCATTTAGTTTCGTTCTCATTTGCAGGCTGTTCATTTGATAAAGCCTATTGCTGCTGTGAAAAAACTGTCTATGACTTTGTTTATGGCACCAGACTTGCCTGGTTATGCAATTGGGGATGAGAAACGGCTTCTGCAAATCATTCTCAACATTGCTGGGAATGCTGTCAAGTTTACCAAGGATGGTCATGTGGCACTCATAGCATCAGTTGCCAAAACAGACTCCTTGAGAGACTGGCGGCCTCCTGAGTTTTACCCTATCTCAAGTGATGGCCACTTCTATCTGCGAGTGCAGGTTATTCCCTCGAGTCATGCACTGAACGACTCATAATATCAACATAAACTACATGCCAAAATCGCATTCGAATGTCATAATAATTTGTTTGGTTTGTGTTTCGGTTCAGGTGACGGATTCTGGAAGTGGTGTTCCTCCACAGGACCTACCATCGCTGTTTGTGAAATTTGCTCAGCCTAGAAGTGGATCCAGTCGTGCTAACAGTGGCAGTGGACTTGGACTAGCCATTTGTAAACGGTAAATAAAGCCCTTTGGTTTTGAAACCATATGCATGCTCCAAAACAGCATTTTCCTTCCTCTGTTCAGTTGCCTGATGAAGCTAGTTTTTTTCTTCTTCCTTTTATTATGTGCTTGCTTGAAATGATGGGAAACCCCCCACCAAGGTTTGTGAATCTGATGGGAGGCCACATATGGCTGGAGAGCGAAGGGCTGAATAAAGGATGTGTGGCTACCTTCATCGTCAAGCTTGGGAATGCTGATCATCACGGAACTTCAAACTTAGCCACATTGCAGAACGCAGCATCCAGAAATCACGCGAGTGCAGGTCACATTGAGCAGCATAAGCCAGTTTTCAGAGACATGGATGTCTCAGGTCAGCGGTACCAGAGAAGCCTTTGAGAGATCGATTGATGGTAAGCAAAAAAGGTGGCTATTTAGGATTTGAGGTTGTTGATGTACTCACTGAGTCACTGGCATGTATGTAATGTAATACATACATAATGTAATGACGGGGACTGGATTCAAGCACATAATGAATTTTTGTGCCAGTCTTTTTATTCAATTTGAGTCCTAGAATGAGTTCCAATGTTTTTCATCCACATGCAAAGTGTTTTAGTAAACTAGAAGAGAGTAAAAGTATAAGCTTTTATGTTTTTTTTAGCTCTCACTAAACCTCCATACGAGTTGAGATAAACTAGGGGTGAAAATTGGTTTTCGATTTTTTTTTTCTTTTTTTGTTTAACCAAAATCGGACTGCACGATTGGGTCCCGTTTGATAGTTTTTGGCCACTGGTGGTGGCAATACCCGAATTGGATCGTTTTCCGCCCCTAGTTTGAATCGTGTGTTTAGAACCATTGTTCTGTCTTAGAATCTTTATTCGTGAAATGAAGGTAATCTTCATGTTATAATGCAAAGATTTTGTCCTCAATAGTGCTTTTGCAAGTATTTAAAGAAAATTAATAATTCTTTGGAACCTAAGACGGTCGTGCCTGTCGTGCGTCCAACTAAGCCTGCATTTCCGCCCGCAGCCGAATGACAACAACGAAGCCGATCGTCCTCATATTCATATCGTTTCTGAACCTATAAAACGGATAAATGCATTCATGATGTGCCGGTGGTGGTGATCATCGTGAAACCCTCGATACTACCAAATCCAGTATTGCGTGTGTGGATTCTCTTGCAGCGATCGACCAGATGGCGTACACAACGAGGACGACGACGACGACGTTTCTCCATCTGGTCGGCTGTTTCGTTGTTATTTGGTGGTCACTTTTAGTTCCGGCCTGCGCTGCTTCTGGGTACGGCGGAAACCACCCGCCACAGCTCAGCCAGCAGTCAGCAGACGGGATGAATGAAAAGCCGCTCCCCATCGGCGTTCAGGGAACCATCCTCTGCAAGTCCGATGATGGTTATCGCCCCTTGCCAGGCAAGTCAAATTATTATCACTCAATCAATAACTTAGCTAGTTACGCTACGGATACATTAATTAATGTTGTTGCATCTGCGCGTTCGCACTTATTATATATATATATTTCAGTATATTTCGACGAATCAGAGCCATCGATTATTTATTTTTAGATTAAATGAATTTTATGATTTGGATAAAAAAATACGGATTGAGATTTATTTATTAAAAATAAAGATACAGTATCATGACTCCAATTTTAATTAATTCATTAGCAAAACTCAAAGTAAAAACATGTATGTATCATGTATGTAGGGGCAACGGCGAGGATCACGTGCGTGGCGGAAGAGGAGCACGGGTACGAGACGGCGCCGTTTTCGGTCTCGAGTAGCCGGAGCGACGACCAGGGGTACTATTTCGCCACGCTGTATCTGTCGGAGGTGATGATGAGCGACGACTTGAAGCTCAAAGAGTGCAAAGCCTTCCTCGAGACCCCGCCGGACGCTACTACCTGCGATTACCCGACCGACCAGAACGGCGGCGTCTCCGGCGCCACGCTCACCTCGCATACCGTCCTCGAAGAGAAAAGGATGAAGCTCTACACGGTCAAGCCTTTCGCTTACACCACTGCAGCTGGGCCCGCATCCGCCCCTTCGCCGGCGGATGATTACAACGACGGGTATTAGTTGATTAATCATAATTAGTTGTATTTGTAAGTTGAGATTATAATATGTGGAAATGTGTACTCCTAATTAAACTAGCAACATTGTATCGTTTTTGTTATATGTATAGTAAAACATCCCATTACACCATATCATATGCTATCAGGATGGTAATCAATGTATTGTGACCTATTATACAACGCTTATGCCACATCATTGATCATACCATATAGTACCATCATGGCAATTAATGATACTTTGTATTGTATACTGAAATATCCCATTACACCATATTGTACGATACACACGGATATTTTTTTTACACGACATTCTACTACACCATATCATATGGTAGCACCATGGTAACTAATAGTTGTTTTAAACAATTATATAACATCCTACTACAGTATACCATATAATATTATATTAACATGTTTTTTTAAGTACATTATACATGTTTAAAAAGTCGGTAGGATCGTATGTGTTTCAATACCAATTCAAACCGGTATGGTGACAACCGGTATAGTAGCAAGTCCACTCCATTTTTACCCATAGAATGGTTTTAAGTATGTGATCTCTATAAAAATCTAGTTGTTGTAATGTTATATGCAAGAAGTTTGAAGGCGTGAAAGAATAAGTTGTAGCTTGACGATTCTTGAAACCCCATCCTTGTTATTGAACTTGAAAACCTTAGCATGATGATTGAACATGCAACAACAGCTTGAAGATTTGAGGATGCTTTGAACATGTAGGGTAATTGATTGATTTACCATTCTTGTTTTTTTTTTTTAAAAATCTGGAGTTGTTTGAAAGAGGAGCGAAAATGGTGAGTGAATGAAGAGAAATCGAGTGGGAATGCGAATGGTTTCTTTTTGTTCTAGAGAAGAAGAGAGAAATATGACAAGATTCACCACCTTCACCAAACATCCTTGAATTTTTCCCCAGCCCGAATTCTATATTAAATTTTTTTTTTATCGTTTCTACGAGTAAAAAAAAGTCAACTTTTCAGCAGGTAGAATAGGAGAGATTTTTTTGGGAAATAGAAAGATAGCCTGACGAAAATGAAGACTCATCGTAGAAAAGAAAAGAAAAAAAAAGCTCATTGTGAAATAACATGGGATAAAATCCTTATGAACAGTAGCCGAGCTCCTATTTTATATATCCCCTAAATTTGACCACCGCTTTCCCCAAAACTCCATTTCTCCCTTCCTTCCTTTCCCCATTTTCTCGACCCTGAGTTTATTTCGATTTTCCCCTGTCTTCTCCTCCTCCTTCTCTTCGTCATTTCTTCAACATGACGAACATGGAGGATGCTGATGTTGGGAGAGTTCCTCATCAACGCAGACAAGGCGGCAGATCAAACAAACAGTCGCTGATTCGTATCCATGGCGGTGGCGTCGTCAACCTTGGTGGCTTGGCTCTGTTCGGCGGTGCCCTGGCCGTCGGAGGCCTCGTCGCCACTTTTATTTTCAGGAAAACCAAGGACCCTGAGGATAACAAGAAAAGCACCCGCCTCGCCGGAGACCAACATGAACAACAGAAGAAGCAGAAAACGTCCGATAAAGCCTCCACTCATGATGATACTCTGGTATTTGACAACTTTCCCATGAGAAACACCACCTGAAATTTCTTATAGCTGCTTGCCTGATGTAACAAACTTTTTTGGGTTGGTTGGTGTTTTCCTTTTTAGGAAGGAAATCAGGCTGAGGCTGTGGCCCATGAAACACCAGAAGAAATCAACATCACGCCCACCCATCGCAACGGCGATGATACGGAAGCATCTTCATCCGATGAATCCTTGCCACAAGAGGATGATGTTGAAGCCACGATGGAGGCGGATGGAGGAGCGGAAGCCACAAAGCTGAATGCCGATAAAGAGATTTCGGCAGGGTACGATGAAGAGCTCGAGGAGGAAGACGAAGGCGAAAACAGAGGAGAAGGAGAAGCTTTTGATCCAGAAATTGAGGCTTTTTTTGCGGGAGGAGCAATGACAATGCCTGCAGCCACGGAGTCCAATCCAAAGGAGGAAGATGAATCTGTTGAAGACGAGCTGCCGTCGATCAAGAATGAGGATGGAGAAGGGGAAGAGGCAGCAACAGGTGGAGCTGGGATGAACACTCGGAAAACAGAGGACGGCGTCATGGAAGAAGTAGATGGCTACGTTGAGGATGACGACGTGGATGACATGGCGAGCGAGGAGGAGGAAGATGAGAGCAACGAGGAAACAGAGAAAGACGAGCTGGAGATGCTGGAAGAAGGATTGGAAACCTGGACGGATTCCGACTCCGAAGCAATCATATGGCCAGCTGAGACGCTGGAGTCTCTGGCAATGGCAGTGGAGGACCAGCTGACGCACCTGAAGAAAACAGCAACAGAGGGGATGAACAACGGATTGAACAACAGCAGCAGGGAAAGCGAAAGCGAAATCATCATCATCGAAGAAGAAGAACAAGAAGACAACAAAGAAGAACAAGAAGACAACGACTACGAATACAACGAGGCGGGCGAAAACAGTATGTTGCTGGAGAAACCGATGATGATGGTGAATGGCCAGATAGCTGAACTGATTAGCAGGAGGATCTGGATTTTCCCCATGATCATGCTGCTGCTAGTCATGGTTCTGTTCCTCCTGCTCACTCGCAGGAATCCATCGTCCTACTACCAATCAAATGCCATCTGAGTAAAAAACTTTGATCCGGTCTTCTAAGTTATGCTAGACAAAGTAGCAGCCATGTGTACTTGTATAGAAGAATGTACATGGCTGTGTATCGTCTTAAAGGAGTTTGAGAAAACGTCTCCTCCACCCCAGCCTTGAAGTTTTGCCTGTAATTTTCAGTTTCTACTCTTTATGTATTTATTTCTTTTATTTTTATGTACAAATAATTATAAAACAATGTGAATATATAAAACTTGCTACAAAGGCTCTTCCTTCCTGACTTTATCACACAGTCAGTGTGGAAGGTCTTTTCAGTAATTTAAATAACAAGAGCTTTTCGTTATTAAAACTGTCCATTTTTAGTTAATGCTTTGTTGAAAGCTACTATAGATTAGTAAGTCAGCCATGTACATGTGAAAGAGTACAAGATGCGAGATATGTAAGCGAAGTCTCCAAATATAACTATTCAATAGGATTCAAAAATTAAAATTTGTCATTAATTTGTTACCTATTTATAAAAAGAAAATAGCTTACAATCACAAGTTACACAATATGTATATTGAACACCACTAATAGCTTTGTACGATTTTGAATAGTCATTACATAAATTCTAAACGAGGACACACAAAATTGAAGCATAAAAGCCTAAAATAATTTACATAAGAAATGAAATTGTTACCTTGTGCTCCGTTTGTGAATTGAGTTGAGCTTCAAGCTGGTAGAGAGAATGCAGAATCTGCAACAAAAAGCTTCAACCTGCTACTGCGTGGAGAGCTCAGCAACGAGACCCAGAAAAACAAGAAATCTTAAAACCCAAATGAAGTGCGTTCTGTGTTTTGTTGTATATATCCCATTCATCCAGTCCAGTCTTTACATGGTTGTGTATATTTGTTTTTGTCTTTTAAATGAAGACTCCTCTTCCTCTATGTACAAAAGAGCTGAGATTTCTTCCTTCCAGCAGACGGACTTGGCTCAGTAGGCTGCCGCTGTTTTATTCACTGCCTTGTCCAACGAATGCGTGATACATGATGACATCTGTGAAAGCTACCAAATCCAACGTACAACAAACGAACGACAACACAAACACTCTCTTCCTCCCGGATGCAAAACTTTTCTCACCAAGGTTCCAGCTTGGTTCAACTATGCTTTCGTCACTCACCCTGTAAACCGATTAGCTAGCATTCAAGATACTTGTGACTTTCCATTGAGATAGGCCATGTACAGCCTGTCGACCATCCCAAAACGCCCAGGATAAGATCTACACCTGAGCAAGCCTGAACCTGAAACAGGAAGGAAAGCACTCAGACCCACATTACAGAACAGAAACACACCAGGCCTCCTGGGCTGAGAGACGAGCGTTACCAAATTATCAAGGTTCGCTTCTATATGAAACAATAAAACCGCCATTCCACGCCCTCGGTCAATCTCAGCCTAGTCAACGAAAGCAGAAAAAGTCATGGTCACTTGCTGAGAAGGCTGCTTTATAACAACTTGAAAAGAGCAGCCATATTTTTAATTTCTTCATAAAATTCAATGCCTCACCACACAGGAGCATATGCTGATGTCCACAGCTGCCAGCGCAGATGTAATATCAGCCATCATCCCTGAAACCATGCTCATTAAGAATCAACCAAGATGTTGCATAACAAGAAACTAATCAGAAAATGATGTCATCAGGGTACCTTTTCTGTTTATGCAGACAACACATAACCACTGAATTGAGTGCCCTTCAAGATTGTGCCAGGAAGCAACCTTGCTTGCTTGCCAGTTCTCAAGTCCAGGCAAAACTTCCTTGTACGCTGGAATATTAGCTTGAATCAAACCAGCAACACCATTTCCCTGCGATAGCCCCTCAGCTGGTAAACTCGCATTTCGTAAATGTTTGTTATGTTTTCCATTAACCTTTGGGGACCAAATACTTCCATTGGTAACAGATGAGCCACCAGATCCTTGTCCACCAGATGACTTGTCAACAACACTTACAAAGATCTTCTCCCAAAAAGGCCTACTCTGCTTCGTTTTGTCAGAGAGATCATCTACCTCACTCTCCTCTTCTGAGTCGGCAACAAAGTCATTCACACTATCTGCTGTTATTTCACTGGCAGATAGAGCAGCTTGCTCTCGCAAAAACTGAACACAACGAAGCGTTATCTACTAGAGCACAGCGCTAACTAACAATAAGAGAGCCCAGATTTGCTAGAATAAAACATACTTTCATTATTTTGTGCCTGGCACTGCGGGTCCTTGCATATTGTAACCATTGTTTATGCCTCTGAAAAGCTGATTTGCTAGAGAGAGCCTGCAGGGGACAGAATAACAGGTTAATCGAGTGGTTGTTAAGCTCTGCATCTAAACAGAACTCATGCACTTTAAGACCACACAGAAATAACCAATTTTAACAGTCGCATTAAGTTCAAAACTTTAAAATGAAAAGGAATGAAAAGAGTCGAATCTGAACCTCTAGCTCAAAATAAATGAGGAAAAGATAAATGAACTATACAGATCTACTTTACATACTCAAATTTAGAAGAAATTGGGTATATGGACAACTTCATAGGTCCACAGAAAGATACTTACATTATATGTAATTATCTCCACAACTTCTGCATTAGCAAGGATGTGCATTGGAGTAACAAGATTGCCATTGACCTGACCAAAATAAATAATTAAAAGGAAGCAGAATTTAGAGTACCATCCTTCTTGTATTCAGCTCAATTAAGAAGGGTTATTCAGAGATAAACGAAAGGAATTATAGCATTTAGAATATACCTTTGCAGCCACCATCTTGTTGCCAACTTCAGTGTGTATCATGTACGCATAGTCAATGACAGTAGCCCCTTTCGGCAAATTTTTAATCTGCAAGAAATCAATGTGACTTTTCATTTCACGGGGAAGGATAAGATATCTAATAGGTGAAGTAAAATATACACTTGCCTCTCCCCTTGGTGTGAATACAAACACGCGACTACCTAACAAGTCTCTGGTAATTGTATCCACAAACTCTCTAGAGCTCATATTGCCAACAAACTCTTCTTGCCATTCTCTAATTGCATTTAGCCAACCAACCTGCAGGAAACAAATGACGGGGGGTGAAAATTCAGAGGATATCAAGAAAGTTGCAGAAAATTTTATCTCCAGCTTATCTAAATGTATCACGAGTAAAAGAAACCAAAATAATTTACCCTTAGTGCAATGTTTGCATTATTGAGACAGATAGTTTTGCCTCTTGAACTCCTACCACCAGGCTTGGCATGTCCAACTAGCCCAGTAATATTCCCTCTCCCACTATAATGAGTAGCAATGCCTCTCTCGGCAATAAGGTTCATCTCTTCAGTCCTTATCTGCCACGGATATTATACTTATCAACATGGACACATAAAAAGCAAGCAAATGGTCTACCAAATGTACATAAGCCATAGTTGACATTTCACAATACAGCTATTGGTATTTGTGCAAACACAGGCATCATAAAAACGAAAAATGATTTCTTGAATTAACAGCTGCGATAGAAAATTTTGAAAACAAAACCCAGCTGATATCTCCTTCACAAAAAGAAAAGTTGGCCTCAGCAGAAAAAGAGCACAGGGTAGCACCTGTACTTCCAGCCGGAACATGCTTTCATACAGAAATGGGATCACAGTTGTCTGTAAACTTTGATATCCATTAGGCTTAGGGGTAGCAATGTAGTCCTTCATCTGAAACAGACCATAAGAAAGAATCTGTTAATAAGCTGTCTCTTTTTTGTCCGACATTCTTCCCAAATTTATTGATCTTGTAATATTTTTAGTTGGCAGAGAAAATTCAAAAATTACTCATTCTAATTTCAACACATACAGCACGAGGGATTGGAGTCCATATCCCATGGACCAAGCCAAGCACATGGTAGCAAATCTGCATATCACAGGACCACATAGATCACATATTAGAGTAGACCTGGTAAGACTTGTCGAACAAGAGGGTTTTACTGAACTTAGAAAGTACCTGTTGAGGGCTGCACAAAGGCCTAACTCCACTTGATGGCTTCGGCCTTACAATGATCCGAAGCTGTCAAAGTGACAGAACATTAAAATCTTTCAGTAAACGTGGTATACAGAAGTTTCAAGATAACATTTCCTAAGGTTAATCAAGACATCCACCAACACAAACCTGTGCTATTTGATTGACTTCATTGATGGAGCCCTTGGATTTTAGCACTGCTTTGTAAATGCTGAGATCCCAAATGATAAAAAAACTTGCATTCAGTAATTACAGCAATACAAGAATATCATACTGAAGAGTACTTCATAGTTTGGATCCCGTTGCTCAGACTAGTTAATCGAAAAACCTTATAACCACTGAGACCAAAAAAGGACTAACATATCAGAAAATCGGAATAACTAAGGAGATGTTTAATCATACACAAAGCAGAAAAACCAGTACTTGAAATAGAAATCAAAATAAGGTTCTCAAAGGAATGTCCAACAAAATTATGCATTAATCAACCACCTGTAAGGCTCCTTGCATGCTGAGCGAACTTCAGTGTGTACAGTCACCAGGTCTAGGAACTGGTCCTCTTCAATCTTCTTCTCCAAAATCTTGTTGGCCTTAGAGAAAACAAGAAAACTCAGTCCACAATAACCAAGTGATGCCAATAGTCATTAGTAAGGCATTACTTTAATTGCCCTTCACAACCATCAGTTTTGAGTCAGGAACAGTCTTCAAAGCACCAAGACAATAGAATGAGCTCCTAGAGACAAGATACCTCCAAAATTTCTTTCTCGTGTTCTTTACAGAGCTCTGCAACTCTCCTCTTGATTCTGGCATAATCTTCAGGATTTGTATACATGAATGACAAGTTTTCAAGCTCCGACTGCAACTTAAGTCAGGGCATAGTTAGCAACACAAAACTTATTGATCTTAGTTTAATCATTCCAAAGTAAGGGGTAAAAAGGAAAGGATCATGCATTTGTAGACTGTAAAATCCATAAAGAGTTCATGGAGTGAATGTGTATAAGTGAATACATTAAAATGGCTAACCAAGATGAGGAAACAATCACTTTAAAATTTTAGGAAACATTCACTTGGGCTGATAAGAAAGTTCAAAAGAGAAATGATATGTCCCACACCAAATTCAAATGGATCTAATTTGAGGTAACAATCGAGCCCAGAGAAACTCTATAGAACTTGGACATTAGCATATTGTTCAATTTTTATAATTTCATGTATGGAATGGTTGCCCAGTTCAAGAAGAAAACAAAGTATATAACAGTTGATGCGAACTCTTGCAATGGTATGCTCAAGTTTATATATTGGAACAACCTGGAAAGTTTTATTATTTGGTGTACAAAGCTAAGTTCGAGAGCATTCGACTGAAACTAAGATTGAGAACTGTGGTTAAAAGAGAGGACACACCTTGATCTGATACATTCCTAATAACTTTGCAAGAGGAGCAAAAACCTGAAGCGTTTCTGTTGCAATGCTCGACTGCAAAGAAACATAAATGCTAAGAATAGAGCAATGCTCATAAACACGAAGAGCCTTACAAGAAGATTAACAAGATAACCTGTTTATGAGGTGGCATGTGCGAGAGAGTTCGCATGTTATGCAATCTGTCCGCTAACTTCACAATGATAACACGGACCTTAAAAGATACGAGCATAGTCAGGGAACAGCTATAACCATTGAATTTGAAGTTATAATGAAGAAATGTACACTAATAGTCACCTCTTCAGTCATGGCAAGAAACATCTGTCGCAAGTCATCAGCCTTTACATCTTGCACAGAATTGTTCTCATTCTTACACTTCAGTTTTCCAAGTTTGGAGACCTGCAAAAGGTGGTTGGAATCAGGATTCCATTTATAAAAAGTTCAAAACTTAAAGAGTTTACATAGAATATATACAACAGGTACTCTTCTGGGATAAAGTCCAGTGCTGGTTTAATCCGCCCCTTGTTGATTCATTAACAATGTAATAAGTAAATGGTAACTTCAGAAAAGTTTCTATAATAAGTTCTATAATGTCATGTAACAGTTGACAATCAAAACAAAGATATAAAATTATATATCTAGGGAGTAACTTATAATAAACAAATATACCAAACTAGCAAGAAATTATAAGGTAACTTAGAAGAAAATCATATAGCTGGAAGAAGGAAAGAAGATGAACTTTTGTGGGAGATCAGAATGAGAAAGACCTAAGGTTGTAATTAATATATTAAAATGGAACTCAGTGGCCCCATACAAATTTGTGAATGAACGTGTTATTGAAAGATATAATAGTCCAATCTTAAGTCTTCATAATTAAAGTTTTGTTCTAAATGCACACAATCAATATTTCAATTGGTTTTCGAGGTTAGACGATTAAAGCATCTAAAAATCGTTTTCCATATAAAATAATCATTTTAATATCACCTCGGTCTTTTATTTACCTAAATTCTGGGTTCTAAATATACAATACAAGGAGCTAGTAGGAGAGAATAAATGTTTCAAGTCATTATGCAATTTCTGCCATATGATAATTGAGCTGCCAAAGAATATAATATACCAATGTGTATAAAGCACCTTAGTCTCTCCTTCTACAATGTGGCGGACAACAGGCCCAAATTCTTTTTCTATTCTTTCAAAAGTTACAACATTTGTATCCTCGACGGTATCATGCAGCAATCCTGCAGCAATCGACTCCCAATCCAATCCCTACAGAAAATACTTGTACATGAGAGTCTTAGATTCAACTGAATTAAGAAGAGTATTAGTTTTAAGCATAAATTGGAACTAATTGGAACTCACAAGTTCGCCTAAAATCCGAGCAACTTCAACAGGATGAATGATGAAGGGCTCGCCACTGCGACGTTTCTGCCCATCATGAGCCTGAAAAGCAAGCTGTTCACAGAGAAAATCTAAGTTTCAAAGTGCTGAAAGTGTATACGTTAGAAACTGATGGACTCAGGCTCTTCTAAGCTGAAAACTCACCTTAAGAGCACAGTGGACCAAATCCAATTCTTGTGGTGAAAGGTATGATACAGTGGGCTTGAGATCCTACAGGAACCAAACCAATCATAATTTAATCCAAAGAGCATGACAGCAAAAGCCTCCCTTGTTTTCAAAGGGATGCTTGTAGTAGAGGCTCATCTTCAACTTTACCTCCCACAGACTTTCTGGAGAAATTTCTTCCGAGACGCTTGAGGAAGGACATGAAGAGCAGCATGATTCCCATCTTCTATCAAATTCATGAACCAATTTTGCTCGTAAGAGTCTTTTGTAAATGGGGGATTCACCAGATTCACTTGCACAAATTCTGTTCACTTTGAAGGCCTCGTGTTTCTGACACTAAATTAAAGCAACAAGAAAATTACCCAAAGAATTTTTTAGGTGAACCTTCAAACTTGTACTATATTAGAACATGATCTTGCATAAGGAAGATGACCGGTATCATGAATGCAAGCACTGTATTAAGTTTTGGGAAGACAGAAGCAATTCTAATTGTAATAAACATACAGCAGCGAATAATAAGGATGCTAAGCAGAAGATAGAAGAGCTTCTCCAACTAAACTCTTGTGATAGATAATTAATACAGAGAAGGAAGTTGGAACTCCACAAAGCCAACCGTCCTAACTAGTTCAATGACCATCAAGATTCACACTCTCTTAATTCTGTCAAGCTGAGGATAACATGGACATCAGACAGAGAAGGATTACACATGAATGTAAGAGACAAGATTTATAATTGGTAGTATTCAGAAGTAGACTTGTCCGGAGCATGTGAAGGGTACATCATAAGAGAATCTCTTTTATTGCAATCTAAATGTCAAGAATTTAACTACACATAGTCATAGTTTCTAGGAGTTGGCATCAGTCTCTGTCAAAGAAACATGACCACACAAAAATTCAGATTTCCTGAGCTGCTTAAACATACGACAACAATTCCTTATCAGTTTTCCTTTCAACTGCCACTCTAAGAAAATAATTCCGCACATGAATTGTGGTCCATGGCAAGTGAATAACTTACAAATTTCAAGTGATTCCTTCTGCTCTGGGTGCAGATCAATGATGAGCAAACCGGAGGGTGCGCTGTGCTAGCAAGAAATCCAGTCAATACTCTTGGAGCTTTCCAGGCACAAGACAGCACGCTACAGTCATATCTAGCACTTGTATCTCCTTTAGGGAAATTACACAAGTTGACGCATTCCACCGATACTGCCGAATCGACCAAATCAAGACAAGAGACTAACTCAGCTTAGCTAATTTCAATCGCTAAGCAACTTGCACAAACGACGAAGAGCAAGGTACTCGTCACACGAAAATGGATAACAAAAATGGAACCAGCTCATTCACCAGCCAACCAATCATTCTATCCAAACAGGGCTTAGAACACAACAACGGAAACGGATTCCATCGAATACTGATGAATCTCCTCAATGAACAGAGAGTTAAAGAGAGTTACCGGACATGGAAGAAGAGGAGGCCATTACTACGCAGGAGCATCGGAGCGGAGCAATCTCATTGGTAGATTACGGCAGGTCGCAGGAGGCAAAATTAAGACACGCGCCAGATAGACTCCAGCTACAGCGCCAGTTCAACAGCTCAGTGATTCGAGTTTCCCGCCGGAGATTCGAGGGTTTACGAAGGGAGGCGCTGATAAAGCGAGGGAAGATCACGAAGTTACAGAGACGAGGGAGAGATGAGGGAGAAGTGGAAGAGATAATCTAGAGAGAGAGAATAGTTGTTGATGGTTTAGTTGTTTGCTGCTCACAGCCCAGCGTTGGCCACACAAAATGAATGTCGTTTGATAAAACGAATTTTTCCCCCTATGCCTCCAGTCCTCTTCTTTTTTTTTTTTCTTTTTTCCTTCTCGTGGGTTTCCCCCCTGGTTTTCCTTTGCATTTAATGGGTGTGTTCTTTTTCTGTTGATTAGGAATTATGTCATTGAACTGATTTAAGAAAAAAGAACTGATTTATATTTTCAAATTGGTAAAGAGTGAACGTTAGTTGGTTGAACCTACATATAATCACAAAGTCACCTACAAATCACAATCATTTCATTCAATATGGTGTAGGTGTAGTGGCGGAGCTAGGTTATATTCAAGAGGAGTTATAGCCCCATCAACTTTAAAACATAAGTGAATTTGATGTCAAATTTGTACAAATTTAGAAAACAAACTAATCGCTAAGGCCTTAGCCCCCAAATCATCACGATTCAAAGTCAGCCCCTCATTTATATTAGGGATTTCATATATCGCTTTCGAGAATATATATATGTTAAATTTTCAATTCAAACATGTGTGTTTTCTTATAAATATTTACTTGAATCTTCCTTTTTACGAAAAAAAAATATAAGTGAAATCTAACTATCTAAGTATCTCTTTCACCAAAGTTATAATTCTTGTCTCTCTTTCTAGCTAGGTCGACCACGTCTTTCTTTTCCTCCCACATTCTTCATGCCAAAACCCTAAACTTTGTTCTTCTGTCTCTTTATCTCTTTGGGGTCATTTGGATCCAGGTTTTTAATTTGTGGGATTTTGGCTCAAATCACTGGTTTAAAAACCCAGGTTTTTAATTTGTGGAATTTGTGTGGGATTTTAAAATAGCTTATCACCATCAGCTATTTCATAATCCCACAATTGTGGGTTTCTGAAATCTCTAATATTTAAAATCTCTTATCATATAATTGCTTTCCAAATGAGTCATTTTAATAAAATCCCACATTATGTAGGATTGTGCCCAAATCCCACACCTAAAACCTGCATCCAATTTTATTCAATCCCTAGATGTACCCCAATTTCGGTAATTTTTAATCAAAATTAAATAAACCTCGATGTTGCTTACCTATAAGTTTGTTGATTAAGGTAGAAAATATGAAATGGAGGTCTTGTACTCGGTTTCAAGTTCAACTAAAGTAAAGACAGTCAGTTATAAAAAAAAAAGTAAAGACTATCTTGGTTTTTGGTATATTTAGGATGCAAATTGGTGCAAATGAACTACATTGATCATGAGTGGCTCTGCCATTGTTTCTATTGGGGTGTGGCTGCTAAAATAAGCAACTAAATATTGGGTGAGTGCGGGTGGACTGTAATTGATTCGGGATTTACCTAACTTCTTAACCTCAAAATCGTGATTCTCTAACCTACAACTTCATTTAAAATAAAACCCTAAAATCACAAAAAATCTGTATAATTTGCTAACTCTCAAATTTGCATAGTATAATTTGTTTTAAAGGCTAGAAATTTATATAATATGTCCATTGCCTACTACGATTTCTTGTTATTCGGTGTGTAATTTTGACTCAAGGACTTGGACGATCTATTGGTTTCAGTGGCTTGAAGACTTGTACAATCAACTGGATTTATAATGAATCTTCGTCTTCATTTTATAACTTGGTAATTATTAGACTTACATACCGTTTGGTATAAATGAATTCCAAAAGTTTTGCAGAATTCATTTTGAAATGAAACATTTTTGTGCTTGGTATTTAAAAGAATTCATTTTCAATCTAAATTTTGAATTCTATGGAATTGGTACTAGTTATAGTAATTCCGAGGAATTGAGATGAAATTTCCAAATGAATTCCACGACTATTTACAAATTATAATAGAATAACATAATTATCCTCTTTATTCAGTAAATTACTTACATATATGACATACCAAACACAGAAATTCATTTGACAATAAATTCTACACGACATTTCATTATATTTTTAAAGATTTGAATATGACATACCAAACACAAGATTTTATTTGACAATAAATTATATACGGTAATTCATTTTAAAATGAAATAAATTATTGATTCATTTGGTACCAAACGGTGTGTTAGATTAATCTTTATTAATCGAATAATTTTGCATTTGTGAACAAGTACCGGTGGTAATATTATGATGTATACGATTTATGAATTAAGGTATTTAATTTGGATATTTCTTTCTTAAAACAGTTTGAATTATTTGAAATCCCTCGAGCTCCGTAGCGCTGTGGCTCTGAAATCCTAACAGACTTTCTTACAGACATAGTGATAGCTTATATATCATCCAATAAGGATATCTCAGCTTCTTCTGCATTTTTTTTTCTTGGTAAAATATCTCAGCTTTTAACCACATACACGACTATCCAATGATATACACAAGATCAAGGATTAGGACACAAAATTTAAAGCCCCTCATGCTCCATTCATTCGCCGTCCAAATCCGTGTTGGTAGCACAGCATTCGTGTATCTCGACGAGATCTCTCTCACCTACAAACTTTACAGATCACATTCATGGGACGAGTGAAGTTGCTCAGCGCTTGTATTTGAACTCGACTTGGACAACGTATCGCATCTTGATCTGATCCACGTTGTAGACTATGTACTCATTGTACAAGAGAGAACCCTGCAACAACAAACAAGTAGCCAGATACAGATGGATCATTGAGCAGCTTATTCAGATCATCATATTTGTGTTAACACCTCAGCTGCAGAAGAGAATTATAGCGTCATAGTCATGTGCATTGTATACGTATATGTATGAGTGCGTGGTAACAATCTCTAGCACCTTTCGCCCTTCTTGCTGTTTCGGTTTTCCAAGGGGGACGACTACACCATCTTCGAGTGCCCTTGCTTCTGAAAGATCTGGCGCTGTTTCACCCACACCCTTCGTGCTGCAATGAGTACATACATACTTAACTTCATACATTGTTGTCGCAAGTAAACAAACTACAACTTGATGGAGAACATTGAACAAGTTGGGTCCTACACAGGTATCAAAACTATCAACACATGGATCATCACATTTCTCCCTATGATGCAGATCAACACATGAAATATAACTCCTGAACTTTTTGTAGCAAACCAGGAACGATGTGATGCAGATCAACCATGCCATGAGCAATTCCACAATGTTTACTTTGATTATAAAAAAAAAAGAGCTAAAATAGAGCCATTTAGAAGTTTCAGAAAGTACATATATCAAGGCATACCTTAGCTTTCCAGGAGGCAACTTATCAGCATCATACTTGGCTCCTGAAAGCTCGACCATATCACCCAGTGCAACCTGATTATGTCATGGTTCAGGAATAATATACATGAACATCTCAACTGCGGCAGATAAGTCCATTACCTTCTGCTGCAATGCTTAACTTGAACTATGTAAATTGGAAACAACACACGTAAACATGCTCATCACAAATCCGTGACTCGTGCAACAAACTATCATATAAATTATTAAAAAGGCTCCAAAAGTTATTCGGCAACGCCTCTTTTTCTTCCTTGTGGTCTACATCTGACCATATCCTTAAGGGTGTCTCTAGGAACAACTAGTTGTATTTACCTCACATAGGAGTAGGACACCAGATGAAGCTGCGCGACTTGCGTAGCAATAATTTGCGCTTTTGGAGAACATATCAGCAAAATAGACACCCTTGCCAAACATATAACCCGTTACAGGAGCTTCAGGAGGAGCAATACGCAAGCCTGCAGAAATCACAATTTCAGTTACACAGTTCACAGCTAGAGTACCTGCAACAATCAATCAGATGAGGCAACGGAAGAAAATCAATATGTACAACCTTGAGATAGGATGCCAGTCCAGTTCGTAAGGCGGGAACCATGCCACAATAGCATCCTGTTTTCCATGCTGGAGAACTGGTCAAAGGAATTAACAATGTGTTTTTAACTACTGACTTTAAGAATGCTTAACAACATTGAACAACTTGAAAATTATGCCAACAAAGAATAACCATGTCTAACCTTTCTGAAACGCTCTGCATCACCCTCTCGTGAGACCTTGAGTATCTGAACAATGTCAACTGTGTACTGCGAATGTGTTTTTGCATGAGTATTACTCATATAAGTTGCGACCTATCAATCGAAAAAAATATGTTAAGAGAAGTCCATGCGCTCTTCTATCAACAGAAATTGTAAAGCCAAGATGTCTTTCAGCATATTATATTCATGGTACGCAAGTTCAAGTTTCTGAGTAGTCTTGATGACTGCTCCAGATGGCAGAGGAGATATAATCCAAGTAACTAGGCCAGTTTGAGGCATTTACCCAACCGACAAACAACAAGAAACAAAAATAAATAAATAAATGTCGAGTATTCATTCTATACTGCTCATCAAGAAAAGTACCAAAGAGTACTCCTTGGAATCAACTTCGATAGGTGTCAATTCACAGTGCAGACGCTGGTAGCAAGAATACAAGGGATCTTCCTGCAAGAGAACAGCAACATATATTACCCATACAGTGTACCATACCCAACTGGCCATGTACTAAACCTGTAGTTGCAGAAGTTGAAAATATAAAGCCCTAAATGAAGCTATAACTAACGTATCAAGATGACTGAATGGCACTAAATTTCATATCAGGATTGTATGTGTAATGACTTGCTGGTCCATCTATAGCTAATTAAAATGGAATTGTATATGGCATAAAACTTTCTTCCAGACATTTCCATAAAAAAAATTGAACTTAGGACGAAGACCAGAACATGATACCTCCATCCCTGTTTGACCCTGCAACAACTTAGTTGCAACCTCAATTTCGCCCAATGCTTCAACCTTCAAAATGAATGACAACCATGTCAAGTTTCGAGTCATGGTAACAAAACAATAAATGTCCATATCCCAACAGACATTATCTAGAAGGCAATAAAAAAATGTTACAGAAAATTTAAGACTTAGCACGAGTCAAGTCCAGCTAGAAACTATTACCATCTCCAGCTTCCGCTTTAACTTCTGAGGATTATCAATAACAAACTCACCTGCCATAATTATGTTGCCACATCAGAACACAATTTTAAAAGGAAAAAGGAAGGTGTAATTCACATCTTTATCTCGGAAGTTGTAAGTCTCCTATTGTTTGTGTCTATTTGTATGTGTGTGGAAGAGAGAGAGAGCTCACGCATTTTTTTGAATCCAAAATCATGAGGAATAACGGTGTAAAATTCCCTGAAAAATTATTTTATGGATACTAACGTTAGCCATGGAATATTCTGTAGCTAAGAAGGAGAAAACAGGCAACAGGAAAGTAGATACAGATGAGAAAATTTTGAAGACATTCTTACCCGCTTAATTGCTCCAGTGTAGACCTGTCAGCTGTAACAATTACGTCTGCAATTCTTTTTAAGACTTCATAGCCCTAGAAACACCAAAGCACTGTTAGGTGTCTGAGAAATGTGAAGAAAACTGCAAGGTCCGTGCATTACCATTAAGTCATGAAATCACATCTAGAACTTTGGCACTTATACAAATTACAAGTAGTAATGTCACTGATAAAGACATATCTAAATGAGTTATTTTGGGAGCCATATGCATTATGTTATTTCTGCTTTAGATCATACAACAGAACAATATACTAAAACTAAGGTGACCGGCTTTAGATATTTAAAACCATTCTTTCCCTAGGAAATCAGAAAATGTATTTTAGGGAACTGAACTGTCACTAAGATAATACACATATTCTTTAAAAAATCTCATCCTAAGCAGGCGAAGCAAGGTCCTAATCGAACATAAAGAGATGTCCCACCGAGTAGCTCATACTTATAAAAGTTAATTTTCCTTTAAATCATTACTATGGAACAGGATTCTGAAATAAATTCTTAAGTAAAAGAAAATGATAAATTTCCATTTTACTTTTCTGTTGTGAACAACCCAGAATTAAATTGGATTGATGCTTGCCAAATGAAATAACAGATATCCGTGAAGCACTAATGGCATACCTTCAATATTGTTGCCTTGCTGAGCTTACCAAGAGGTAATTTATTAGCATTGTATCCTGGAAAGTAACGAATAATAGGAGCAGGATTAAAAGGACAATTGCTGAAACACGAACCCAATAACATAGGCCCAACACCACTACACCAGTATAAAAGAATGCAAGATATGAAACAGATAATTTCCGGGAACGAAATAACATATTGCAATGTAAAAGGAAATAACTATATAGACAACCTATTTCCATCATCTGCTGTGCCATCATGCTAGTGTTGCAGATGAGCGAGATAAACTTAGCAATGCGTAGGTCAAGCCGTGTTTCCTGAGGCTGTTTTCCAGCAGAAGTTGCCATAACCTACCAATAAATGTAGACTTAGAAGTTAGAAGCACGACACAATTGAAATTATCTAGAAGTTTGGTGTACTACACAAACTGGACAGACATCCCTCATTGTCAAAGCATTTGAGGTCCTTTCAGGCTTAGATTCAGCGCTTGTCTCACAGAGAGGAACTTACTACTGCTTCTTTCTCTTGTTTCCCGTAATCCATCTCCAGCCAGGTATAGCACTTCGGATGGCATTGGAAATCTTTTCGGTCAGACCAATAGTTCTTTGTCTTGGCATAAAACTTCTGTTCAAACTCATCAATGGCAGACTCTCGTGAAGTGTAGGGCCCAAATACTTTATCTTGACCTTTAATCCCAACTCTGCCCCATCTATTATATACCATGTATCTTCCACCATCATCAGACTCTGCACATAGGTTATACATTTCTTTAAATGAAACTGAGAAACAGCGTGGCATATGTAAAATGAGTCTGATGAACTCCATATCCATATCTCTTAAATGTAACCAAGCAAATCCAAATCTTTTCGCACACCAGAAAAAAATCACGTTTGACTGCCATGTTCAACTCCCACAAAAGCTTGATGATGATCATCCCAATAAACAAGTGAAATTGGCAGCATACCTAAGAGTTGGATGACGTAAAACTTGTTGTTGTTATTCCCAACATTTGTCTGATTCAATGTGGCATCATATACGTCATCACCCTACACATGACAACCAAACTAAATGAAGGGTTACCAGCTGAGTTCTCAGCCAATGGACCAAAGAAGTGATCAAACCCATCAATACTATCATCTGTTAGTAATTCAGTGCGGAATAAGATCAGTTTGTCGAGTTGAAGCATCCCTGAGAACTGAGAAACTTACCAATTGGAGAACGTGAAAGTGTGACTTGATCTGATCCGGGAGATACTCATCGAGTACGGCAGCCCCTTTCTTAGTTGCAGTCACAATTTTCTCCGGGCCAATCACTTCTTCTCTACCTGGCATATGGCAGACCAGAATTAACTAGCTGAAATTGAGTTCCAGGTTTCAGAAACCGAGTTCTAACGGTCATTCAACCAAACGATTCTAGCAAAAACAATGAGATCATTTGATACGACCTTCAAGAGCATCCACAGGATCGCTCCCGTCTGCTAAACCTTCCGAAAGCCTCTCCAGAAGTTCTTTCTTAGTACCCGCCGTGGACAACCCACGGAGCTTCGCTTCATCGCGCAATTGCTTGACATTCATCTGCCGGAACTTCTCGATGGCTTGGATTTTCGCAGGTCCATCGCAATCCTCGTCGCCGGATACCCTCGCTCGTTTCCCGTCACCGCGAACCGAGGCCGAATCCCCTGATGGCTGGCTCTCTTGTTCCAAGGCTGATTCAAGCCTCCGCGCCTGTCAAAAGAAACTCGCCATTTTCACCAAAGTCTGGTGGCAGGAAGAAACAAGAAAAAAGGAGTTGTGGGAAGGAGGTTTACCAGAGAGGGCTTAGTGCCGGCGGGACTGAGGCCGCGTTTGAGGAGTTCGGCCCGAAGCTCGTCGACTTTAAGCTTGTTCGCCATGACCGCGTTCGAGTTGGAAATCAGTGGGAGTGAGTGAGTGAAGTGGGAAGAGCGCTTGGAGAATTGAATTTGGCCTTGTGCTGCGGAGGTGGAGAGATTTTAAAAGTGGGAACTCCAGTCTCCAGGAATGTTGCGCGAGCGGGAGGCCGCCGTTTCGAGCAAGTAACTTGGAACGTTCAGAGGAAGTTTTTTCTTTTTTTTTTTTTGGTGAAAAACGTCCTGAGGAAGCTTTGAGACACACAACGAGATCTCCATGGCTCCACGTACGCTGGAAGTTTGCAAAGTATCGGGATATAGCGAATATTTTATCAAATTTATTACTATTTGATAATATGGATTGAATTATATTTTATGAATTGAAATTGATTTTTGGATGTTATTGCGTATTCGAAATTATGGGTTTGAGATAGGTGTTATTATGTTATTCGGGATTTAGGAATTGAGATTGATGGGCTATTTTTGTGGGGTTTTGTTTGTTTTGTAGCTTAAAAGAAGAAATGATTTAGTAATGAAAATCAATCACATTGTACCAGACACATTTTAACGGTCATAAAAAAATGGTCACATTTTTGCGGTCATATAAGGTTGATAATGTCGTTGAAAAACGACCATCCTGGTGCTCACTCATACAAACATATGATAGCATGCACATCGCATCAGTGAGCTTTTGCTCTGATGATAGTGATACTTGACCAAGGGCATCTGGCATCACCCATGTGCACAAATGAGGGGGGCAAATCTCACAATGTTGCCCATAATGCGGTGGAATAACCTCTATTGCATCTGATAGCCTTTCTGAATATGCGAGTATTGTATACTCAATTTGGGTCGAAGTAAACCCTCATAAGACATCGGTTACATTCGACTATTTCACAATCAATATGAATACAAGTTGTTGTTTGACGTCGTCTAGATAAACCTTCTGCTAGCCTCCGACCGATTAAATTCAAATGTAGGTGGTGAAACATTTCGTACTCTTCAATTTCATCGTCTTGGAGACGATGAGCTATCTGAGAAACTCATGATGAATGTATTTATAGACACACTTTAATAACTCCAACAATTTTTACCATCAATATACATGAATGTAAGGTAAGAAACCGAGAAAGATAAATTCAAATATAGGTTGAATGGTTACTAGTAAAATCCAATTGTGCATCTAACCTTATTTTATAAACATTGTGCATCTAACTTGATCATCCACAATCAATATTTTGATAAGAAATAGGTAACTATGGCCTTTGGAAATGATCGGGATTCATTCCCATCAATCCGGAAACTGAAAATGCTTTGTTACCTGTATGATATAAATGAAAGCAGTCAGTATAATGACAAAAGAAAGGGACAGCACTCAGTCTTAGAGCTCCTCAAATCCTTCTTCATCAGCTCCCTCCTCAACCCTTTGAAACTCTCTTCTCCAAGTTTCCATCTGGGAAACCAATAAGTGTTGAAAAGATGGTAAGAATAAGAAAGAGATTACATAAATGAACAACCATCTTCAAAAAAAAAAAACCCCCCATGGCCAGCAGATGCATTCCCGAAGCATATATTCGAAGGGAAGAGTATGTAAATATTAAAAGTCCTCAAACATTTAACTGCGACAGGTAAACCAAAGCATCACTGGGCTTCCACACCTGATCATCAGAAAACCTCAACTGTTCTGCAACGAACAGAATGTTGCTGTGGCTTTCTGGAGCTATTTCTTTGCCCAAACTATTAGCAACTTCATCATAGTTAATCGAGTCTACTTTGAAGCCATTACCCATGAAAAGCTTGTTAATCCACTTCTCTGCACTGGGCTGCACAAGGGGAATATTTCGTACTAGTAAGTACAAGCAAGCATAAGTTTAAAAGCTAAACAATAGATGAAATTAAACAAAGGGGAAAAGTTTGGCCAAATGATAAGACACACACCTGGGAACCGATATCTGTTTCTGCCAACCATGCTGGCAGTTCACCAAGGAACAAAGTACCCTTCGTGGCCAGACAACTGATGGTGAACAAGATTTGTTCAAAGCTAGCCAGAGTCGTAATTGGAATTCCCTGCATTATATGTGAAGACATTTCACCCTCGTTTAAGCACATGAAAACTTATGGTGAACTATATTTAGCCACTCAAATCACCTGCAAGGCCCATATACTGTGTGTGTTGGCTTTGAAGCCCCTAGCACGCAGGGCCTTTTCGAAATCAGGAGACTCCATCGGTACATGAACATGAAAGCACCTCCTTGAGGTTTTAGCTCCAACACCTAAATGTCTTCAAACGATACCATCAAGATAGGCGTTTTATATATAAATCATAGTGGTAGCATAAATGAGAGGAAGTCAAATTGTGTTTGTCTTTGCATGATTCAAACTTGTGGATGGGACCTAAAATCTATCTAATACCAATCTGCAGCGACTGGATCCCACTACTAGTATGAGAATAAAAATGTTTGACATGCTAAGACTTGAGAATTTCAAATGATCATTTCTCATATCATCACAAGGATAAGGATTACAATGAAAAAGAATCATAAAATATTCGAATCGGTAAAGTCTTGCACACCTCGGAGCTTGTGGGATGATATGTTAGATACCCTTTCCGGGGATATGTCAAATATCATAGTGGAAGTAGGCCAGTTTAGCCTGTAAGGTCGAGTGCACATTCCATCTGTTAATAGAACAACCTGCAGGAAGTAAAAACGTAAGTACCTTTACAGCTGTGAAGTTAATTAGAAGCAAAATTGATACCTGTTTAAGTCCATCGATACTATGCACATTTTGGAGCAACTTATCATCAATGAATTTGGCAGCAACACAATAAGGATGTGGGTGCTTCTTCAAAACCATATGCATGTCAGGGTCAACAAAGCAACCAGCAAATGGATCAACCAGTAAAGGCTCTGCATATGCAATCAGCAGTACCACACTTAGATGAACCCTTCCCGGTTAAAGGATTGAATGCAGCTAAAGGACCATATATAGCACAAACCTAACAGAGATTAAATAAAGTAGTTAACTTTTGCACAGGAAAACAATTAATTCAGTGAGAAGGAGCAAGTGAAAAGTGATTTGTGTATTCCCCCATGCGAAGGTGATGTGATAAACTTTGCGTCATACTGGATGCCAATGGCTTAACAAACAATCCAGCCCAAACAATCTCCTAACCTTACTGCGAGTGCTAAAAGTCAGAATACATTGTACATAAAACGTGCACTCTCTCTATCCAGAACAAAGCAAGAACAACATCAAACCGAACTTTGGTAGATGGTTTCCCCAACTCTCGCATAAACTCGAATTACTAGGTTACTTCTCAGCTGATCGATGATTTGCCTGAAAGGAATTGAACTGAAATGATCTATGAAGAGATGAGGAATTTACCTGCTCTATTAGTTTCCTGAAAACGAAGCGAAGCTGCACTGACGGCGGATTCAAACCACGGGTCATTCTCGGAACTGAGTTTGGCCCTCAACTCGCGGCAGCGATGCCGTTTCTGCTTGGGAGCAGAAAATGGCGCCATGGAAGCGGGACTTGAGAGAACGGATGCCAACAGACACTCCATGTATGAAAAGGCTGCTATCGGAAATCAAATCCCTGCCTGCCGACCGAGCTGCCTATAGAGATTAGGTAGCAATCAATCGCGCCAACCAACCATTCATCATCATTGTTGGTGCTGTGAAGGTGAAGTCCTCTTCTTCCCGCCGTTCGTCATTCTACCCGCTGGCGCTGGAGTCCGAAACCCGTTAAGATTTTTGGTTTTGAGCTGAAGGGAAGGGAAGGGGTAGAATTGTAGAAGAACCACGCTTGACTCATATTGTCCTTTTAAATATTTATCTTCTGGTTTAGCCCGTCGAGCAAGTGGGTTGAAAATTAATAGTATGACTGGTGTAGCTCGCTTTAGTCTGAATTTTAATTATTTAAGGGTTAATTGAAAGGTTGGTCACTGGGTTTACTAAAAACGTTCATATTTGGTCACTGCAAATATTTAATTTTATTCATGGTCACTAAGATTAGTTCAATAGTTCAAATTTGGTCACTCTCCGTTAGTCTTTGCTAATGTGGCAGTCAACTATTATAGTTGACCGTTAAATGAGTGACGTGGCCATTAAAAAATAATAAAATTTAAACATTTACAATTTCCACATCATTTCACAACTATTAAAAAATAAAAATAAAACTTAATTCTTATTATTCTATAAATACCTAAACCTACCCTCTCTCCTCCTCCATCGCCGCCACGTCACCGCTACCGCCGACGACGTTACTCACAAGAATCAAATCGAAGGATTCGCTACCAGTGATCGTGAACCTCATCTCTAGCTTCTGCAGAGTCCAACCCTCAAGAGTTCAGGAAACCAAGCCCCGTTTTCCCACTCAAGTACCGAAAGGACTGGACACACCGAAGCTTCTATTGATCTAGTTATGCTCGTCGGGTTGCCGCCGGTCTCTGTTATCTCGGCCATCGTCGATCCAGAGGATGGGTTCATCGCTTCCTTGGAAAATCTCAGAAATTTGGCTGCGGCAACATACCAATCGTCTCAACTTCCGATCTAGTAAGGTGACGTGACCCACATTGTTTAAATAACTGTAAACATTATCATTCTGTAAGTTGACTTACCGTCAAAGACGCCATTGTAGGTACCGGAGAAAGAGGGAGAAATTGGTGGAAAGAACAGCAATCTCTGCCCTGCCCACAAAACATGGCATCTTTAAAGCTTACTGCTACCGCTCAAAACTAGACGAGACAGAACATATAGCCCTTGTCAAGGACGGTAACAAGAAGAACCCATGAGCGAGGAAAACCAATTTCCATGATTCATCAATTAATGGTTGTGTGGTTTTTGGCAGAGAGAAATTGGTTACGGCGAGGACGTACTGGTGAGAGTTCATTCGGAGTGCTTGACGGGCGACATATTCGGGGTGCGACTGCAGGAACCAATTGGATCTGGCGATGCGATTGAGAGAGGAGTCGGAAGAGGAGTGGTGGTGTACCTACGAGGGCACGAAGGGAGAGGGATCAGGCTGGGTCACAAGCTTCACGATCACAGGGAGCGGGTTATTCCATTTGATTCTTGTTAGTAACGTCGACGGTAGCGGTGACGTGGCGACGATGGCAGTGATGGAGGAGGAGAAAGGATAGGTTTAGGTGTTTATAGAGTAATAGGAATTAATTTTAATTTTAAGTTTTTAATAGTTGTAAAATGATGTGGAAATTGTAAATGTTTACATTTTATTATTTTAATATTTTTAATGGCCACGTCACTCATTTAACGGTCAACAATAATATTTGACTGCCACATCAGCAAAAACTAACGGAGAGTGACCAAATTTGAACTATTGAACTAATCTTAGTGACCATGAATGAAATTAAATATTTGTAGTGACCAAACATGAACGTTTTTAAAAAATTCAGTGACCAATCTTGCAATTAACCCGAAAATTTAATTATATTGTTTATACATTTATAAATTAATATAAAATCTCGTCTAATATATGAGTAGTAACATATAAAAATTATACCAAAATAATATGTTGTACTTAGATTCAACATATAGTGAAAATTCACACACAATTATACAACATCAATATTCAAATGTTCAACTTAGAATTCTAAAAATATAGGTAGGCGAAGAGGAAAATCAAAAAGTAGAGGTATTTCACAAACCAAATGGATAAATGACACCGTGTGACCTTTAACCAGGCAAAGCAATGGGTCCACTAGACGGGTGCGTGCGGCTCATTTTTTTTCAAGGGGTCAGGGTTTAGATGGTCAATCGGTGGGTCGACCCGCGGGTTGACGACCTCTATTTAATCTCTGAATTATGGTTGCGGGCAGAACCAAAACCGATACTGGTTACAAACTGCCTAGAACCGCTCTGGTATGACCGACATGATTGATTTTCGATATTTAAATAAAATTAGGTGAATTTAATTAACAAAAAAATTAATTTATTTCTTGAATTTGAGAGTTAAATGTTGATATTATTTGTTGGATTAAGTATGAATGTTTAGATATTTATGTTATTTGTTGGATTCAAGTATAATATTTTGTATGTTCACATTAAATGTTGTATTTAAATATGAGCATTTTTCATTTTACTTGGAATGTTGTATTTTATCCACTGCCGCTATGATACAAGTAAATATGAGCATTTTTCATTTTAAATACAACATTACCGCTATCCGTTTCCCTTCAGATCTCGACCTCGCCCTCTGCTCACCATCACGAATGCGATTGAATCAAACCAACTGTTCCGCCTCCTTCTCCTGGACAACAATCGGCTCCTTCGGCTGCGGATTCATCGGATTCGGCGGCGTTTGGGGAGGAGGAATGGCAGAGTAATGCTGCTGCGACGGCGACGGCCTGTGTGGAGGCTTGGGATTGGGGGTTTCGGAGGAGAGGAAGTCGGCCAGTCGTTACCATCGATGGAGAAGGAAGGTGGCAACTACGGCGGGGAAAGTTTGGTCATCGGAGGGCGAATTCATGGTGGGGGGTTAAAATTATTTTAATTTTTTAATATAATAATAAATAAATAATTATTATATTTTCAAATTTTTTAGTTCTTTTTTTTCAACGTGGCATCCACTTGTCGCTTACGTGGACACAATGTTGGCCACCGTCAGGTCAACCGTCAATTCTAACGGTCAACAGAAAATTGCGTAACACAAATGACGCAGACCCCTAATAGGTTGGAATGTTTTTGTGTTTATTGAAAGCATGTAATATAAATAGCACTTTCGTTAAAGAATGGTATTTCCAGTGGTATTACCCTTGTTTATTTTGTAGAAACTTGGAAATCCTTTTTAATGTGCACCTTGATGGCCTTAGGAATTTAAGAATGGCAATGGGTCGGGTTGGGTCGAGTTTTGCCAAACCCAAACCCATGGGTTTATCCGTGAAAAAAAACGGGGTAAAACCCACTGGGTTTGAAAAACTCAAACCCAACCCAGCGCGCTGGGTATCCGCGGGTTCATGGGTACCCACGGGTTTTTGTTGTAAAAAATTTACAATAACAAGTTCCTATCAAAATTAAAGTCAAATATCAATCTCTCAATACAAATTATCCATATATAAAACACCATTCTAGAAAATTCAAGCAAATCACAAATTAACTATACAAATTGTTGAACACCAATCTAGAAAACTCAAGAAAATTGAAGCAAATCACAAATTATCCATAAATAACATGATTAATTGAAAACTTCTTCTTTTCAATTAAGTTTGTTCACTCTCCACTCGATGACATCAACTTCATTCTACACAATTAGAAAGAAAAAATTAAACATGTCTCCACAAACATTAATAAGATTAGTTGTTTAGAATATTAAATATACCGAAAAAATTAATTATATGGGTGTAGCCGGGTACCCATGGGGCGGGTTTACCTAAACCCAAACCCAACCCAACCCGATGAATAGTGAACGAGTTTAAACCCAAACCCGACCCAAAACCCATCAACACGAATTTTACCCGCGTTGACCGGATTGGGTCGGGTGGGTACCCGTGGGTTCGGGTTTTGTTGCCATCCCTACTTAGGATTGCTCAACCAAGTGATTTTACAGGTTCCCACTAACTGTGTGATTCTAATGAAAATTACATATTGAGTTGATAGTTGGACAATAGAATAGATGAGCTGCTCATCATGAGCATCTCTATTGAACAAAATTTTCCTTTATGCAAAGGATGAATAAGAAAGAGGAATCTAGCGACTATAGCTGCAAGGGTTGAGAGAAAATAAGAGCTAGATTGGGGAATCTGACATAGTACTGCCTTTCCACTGAAGAAGAGAAGTATATGAACAACTGCAGATTGCTAACTACCACGGTAACTAACGACTAATTAACCAATAACAAAACATCAAGTGACAGATTATATAGCTAATAATAGTACAATCGAACGAAGATAAAATGCCGATGTTCCACTTATTTATCTGTTGTGTTTGACTTTGACTCAATAGGGTTGAAGGAAGCCTGAACGACAAGTTCAAATCACTAGTGAACCCAACGTCTTCTTCTTCCTTTCCTTTGCATAGTGCTTTTAACGGGTTTCAGATTGGGTGATATTTGGGATTTTAGGGATTGAGAAGGTAGAATTAGGGATTTGGGAGAAGAATTGGGGAAGAATAAAGAAGAATGACCGACGGCCAGGTTAGGAAGAGTAGAGAGATTAGAGAGAATATGTTTAGTAGATACTTTGATAATTCTTTCTTGATTGATTGTAACGCAAACTCAAAGTACATATTTATAGGGAATACTACGAAACCCTAGAATAAACCTAATTCTACTAAAAGACTACTAACCATAATAAGAATTACCCTAATAACAATTTTAATAATATATATAGAAACCCGAGATAAATCAGTTTCTAACATCTCCTTCCCCTTCAGACCAACCTTGCCCTCAAGGTTGACCCACTTGACCCACTCCTCCTTCCTTCTCGCGCAATGTGCACGCTGACTCCTCCATTTCTTGCGTTTCCGTTTCTTCCAATCGTGCTCCAACTCCAATATTGAGCTTCTTCCACCAACCTTCTTGTGTTGGTCTTTTTCTTCGACCTTCACTTTCATGGGCTCAATATTCGCTTCCTTGACATATTCGAACTTCGACAGCTCCGCTTTGGTTGGCCTCATAATTCCACAACTCAAGGAACCCAACGATTCGTTCTTGTTCAAGAACCCATCCTTGAGTACCATTTCACCAAGACCTTCATACATTTTTCTTGAAAACAATCCATAACCCTGAATTGTTGATTCTTCCATTAATTTTGGCCTTTGCTCTCTTGAAAGCTCGCCAAATAAGCTTTCAAACCCATCTTCATTTTCCTCCAAGTCCAACCCACATAAAAGAGCTCTGGTCAGCCCAATTACTGTTGGCCCAATGCTTCCTTGAGCCCAATTTACACACTCCTCATTAGCTGCTGCTAGCAACTCATAATTGAGCCCGTGAGAGGCCCTTCTCAACCCAAACTTTGACCCAACAACCTTCATCACACCTGCCAACTTGTGGCCCAAACCGCAGCAGCACTCCTCCAACACTGGCGACACGCGCGGAGGCCTGCCGCCTTTCTTCTTCTCAGTCGACACAACCCTGCCTGTTGCCGCCTCTTCCCTCCTTGCACCATTCTTTGACAACAACCCCGTATCCGGCAGGGAATATCCCACCAGGCAGCACGGCTGCCAGCTCGCCTCGGCCGGCGCTGCTTCCTCAGCATACAACAACGACTCTTCCTCCTCCGCGTTGCTTGTCGCTTTGGTCTCCTCGATGTCGTCGTCCGCCGCGGCTCTCATCGCAGTCGGATCTTTGTCAGCCCAGCCAGCATCTACGGTTGGCGGCTGCCTCGCCGTCACGTCGTCACCTCCGTCCTTCAAGTCTGCCGTCCCGTGACGCAACGCGTAGGCCTTCCAATACTCCACGATATTCCATATTTTGTCCTGCTTTTGAGCCCACGTCAGCTCCGAAGTTTTTGGTGACCATGTCATCTCGGGTCGCCGCTTCCCAACCTTCGCGTCGCGCTCGGCCAACTGCGGAGGTAGTGCCTCGTCGGCCGCCTCGGCCGCCGCCTCTTCCTTCAAGAGCGGCAGTTCCTCGGAGCTCCAACAATGGCCACTGCGGCGAGCTTGTTCCCGCAACTCTGCCCATGACAATTCCGAGAGTCTTGAAGAGCTCATCATCAAACCAGTTGTAGAACTCATCCCTAGTTGAGAGTTGTGATGAACTCAATTCTCGAACTGGGCTCTGATACCAAATGTTAGAAACAAAGTTTCTAATGGGTTTCGGATTGGGTGATATTTGGGATTTTAGGGATTGAGAAGGTAGAATTAGGGATTTGGGAGAAGAATTTGGGAAGAATAAAGAAGAATGGCCAACGGTCAGATTAGGAAGAGTAGAGAGATTAGAGAGAATAGGTTTAGTAGATACTTTGATAATTCTTTCTTGATTGATTGTAGCGCAAACTCAAAGTACATATTTATAGGGAATACTACGAAACCCTAGAATAAACCTAATTCTACTAAAAGACTACTAACCATAATAAGAATTACCCTAATAACAATTATAATAATATATATAGAAACCCGAGATAAATCGGTTTCTAACATTTTGCTGTTACATCACCACCATTGTTGTTCTTGCACTATGCTCCATACGTGTTGTACGACAAGACGGTGCCGCTTTAGCCAAAACGCTGCACCTTACCCTTCAAGATCAACACACTGCCGTTTTACCTCAACCGTCCTTCTAAGTCTTCAGCAGCAGTCTCGAGCATCCTCTCCATTGTCCTATATGCTTCTCGACGACAGGCTTCTCGTGATTCTCCAAAAGCAGTCGCCCCTCCATAACACCTTTCTACTGGAGCTCATGATGGTCAGAAGGAGACGTTGCTCTATGGAAGCTACTCATGATCTTCGCAGGTCTCTCTGTAAACGGTCACTTCTCTAAAAGCACTATAAATTCTAGGGTTCTCGTATTGTTTAAAACTTGGCAGTCTGTAGCGAGAGGAATTCGAATGTCTCTTCCTACATTGGGTCCTTTATTTGCTTCAGTTAGGGCTGAAAATTACCCTGACCCCCCTGACCCTGCCCTGAACCTGTCTGAACCCGCCCCTGAAGGGTCAAGATGTATAACTGACCCAACCCGCCCCTGTTTCCTTCTTGACCTTGTATGACCCTCACGGGTCGGGTCGGGTAAGTGGGTCTACCCTTATCAACACACAAATTTTTAACAAATTTTATTTTGGTACCCAAAATTATTTTTTCTTACAATTTAGTACCTAAACTTTATTTTTATACAAATAAATCCATAAATTTTGATGGAAAAATTATATTTTGGTACCAAATTTATTTATTTTTATAATTTAGTACCTAACCTTTTAACATTTTGCAAACAGGTCCAATGTGTTTGTATGTGGAATTTCATATCTAAGAACTCGTGCTCCGAACTGCCATCTTACTCTTCTCCATATTCGTTCTTCTACTATCAGTTGCCAGAAGTTATAAAAGAATCTGGATAACATTTCAGTTTGGATTGTAATAGGGTCTTCTGGGAGCGAGACCCCGGTCCTCCTGATGGGGGACTCAGCAACATCATGCAAATGGTGTTGTCAATAGGGTTCAACTATCTACAAAGCAACCGTAACTTCCAAATGATTACTAAATACTTTATTTTTTTATATAATAAAATTTCATTTTTTATATTTAAACTACCACCCATTTATATTTTACAAAATTTTGTCCTTATTTATATTTAATATCCTACTAAACAGTCATTTACTAACTGATTGTCTGTTCGATTTCAAAGCATGTTATTTATGTAACTTAAAATCTAAAGAACTCTTTTAACACTTTTAGATAAAATCAATACGAGTTTGAGAAACAAATAAACCAATAGATATGATAGATTACTTTTGTGCTCACCATCAACTGAGCTAATCATCGATTCCTTTCAATCCATTGAACAACTCATCATTCTTAAAACAATGATAACAGTTTTCAAAGTGTCGTAGGAAGAAAAGAGTCAGAAAGGTGACCGAACTCACTAAAACAAAATCGAGTAAGTGTAACAGCTAAATTTATATTTTGGATGAAACCCATAAAAAATGGGTGTATGGATGGACTTTTGTTTATATAATAGTTACATATATGTTTTAAATATAAATGAATTGTAGTATTATGGAAAATATGTACTCAGAGAATGATAGTGTCACAAGTTCGAAGCATAAATAGTATTTTCCATAGTGTATGGTTTCCTTTTATTAATGAAAGAAAATTTGTTAATCGGATTGCAATTCTTTAAATATGAGAAAATAAAATATGAATGGGAAATTAAAGTGGGAGCTTGTGATATTTAAGAGACTTGAAGAGACTTAACTAACATTTGTTTGTTAATTTTATTTTGATAAAACATTTGTTATTTTGGCTCAAACAATCAATCATTTCCAATTTAAGGAAACACAATCCCAATTTTGTGTACCCAAATTAAAAGCAAAAGCCCAACTAGGGCCCATTACCCGGCTATGCGTGTCACGCACGGGTTGACTTGGTCAATGAGACGCGTCCAATCCAACGTGTAAATTACTTATTACTCACGCTACATGGGTATGGCGGTAAGTATAACCGACTCCCCAACGTTATAGTTTCCCACTGCTATATATTCATAGGCACACTCTTTCCTCGAGGCATTTGTTCTCCCTGGTTGTAGAGATCCTTCTCAGTTCAGAGACGCGTCCCAAAATGAGATCTTGCAAAGGGGGTCCGCGACGAGTTGCTCCCTGCGATTGTTTTTCTAACGGCGAGTAGAGAGTTGTGGTGTGTCTCCGCTCCATCGGCGTTGCTGTTTGCGGCAGAAATTTCAGAGCGGCATTGTAAGGCTTTTGTCGGGGTTTATCGGTGAGGGAATCTTCATGTTCTTATTGCCTCTTCGTCTTTGCTTTTCTACGCAAATGCTCTTCCGAATTTTATTGAGACCCGTTTCGTCGCTTTGTAAGCCCTAATTCTTACGGTTTGAGATACATGAGTGTGGCTGTCTTTCTTCTTCTGAATCGAAATTGGGGGTGATCAATGAAGGGGGTTTGTTAAGGTTGTTGGGAACGTGACTAATTGGTGGTGGAATTCGCATATACTGGCTGTTGTTTGGTTTTTTACAGTAGCAAAATTGATGGTTAGGTTTTTCCCGTTAGATTAATAATCCAGTTAGGGTTTGGGTGCGGGGCCATGACTGTGCGGTCCGTTTGCGGGTATGACTTTGTGAGGAATCCATGTTGATGTTTTGTCGCTTGGTGGAGAAGTCTCCTCTGGTATAATTCCTAAGGTCCCTTCTCTGTTGCCTTGAATTTCTTATGCCGGATGGAAAATCTTAGAGCTGTGCCTTTGATGATTCACTTGCTGCAGTCTCAAGTGAATGAGAAGATTTTGCTTCTAATACTACTGTTTTTATGGTTTATAATGACTGATTATGCTTGTCCGAATATTTATGTTGCCATCTGGTTGTTTCATATATTTACACCTATTAAGTTGCTTCATGCACTCTGTGGTCGCCTTGTGTCCCATTGCAGTCTAGTGATCACAAATCTGTAGCCATGCTGGTATTAGATGCCCTTTTTTAAGTCCTGGATGAGAACTTTGGAGTGGTTAATCCACTCCAGTTGCCCTTCTGCTTTATCCAATAATGTGAAAATTACAGGAGTCCTAGAAGGGAATTTGGAATGACTAATAGTAACCAAATAAAATACATGGATTGGTGGCCATGTTTGAGAAATGAACATGGACCGAAAGTTGTGTCCTGTTGTCCCTACAATTGAAATTGTCTTTAGTCATTCCAGTTGCCCTTCTGCTCTAACCTTGCTCAGTAGATGCCCTTACGAGAGTCCTAGATGGGAACTTGGAATGATTATACTCTATGTGAAAAGGCATGGATTGGTGGCCATGCTTGAATAAGAATGCTGTCTGTCCGAAAGTGAAGATTATTAATCATTCCAGTTGCCCTTCTGCTTATCGTGCTAAGATAAATTCATAAATGGAGTCTTATAATGGAACTTTGGAATGAGTGAAAGATACTAACGATATATACATGGATTGGTGGCCATGTTGTTGCTCTAAATCTTGTTTCCCTTTGCTTCTCATTTTCGTAAGACCAGGACAGTTTGTTAACTGAAAGCCCAAGCTCTACATTATGTCAGATTTTGATCTATCGTGTTATGTCCCTCTGTGGGTTACTTTGCAATGATTTGCCCCCTCTGATCCATCTCAATCTAAATCTTTATATCCGTAGACATCTACGGATGAAAAAAGATTTCCAACCGCCATGACAATACTTTGTACTCTTATTGCAGCCTGTGTTCCAATCCTTTTATTTTATTTTATTTTATGAATGAGCTGGTTGGTTATTATTTTCTTGGTTTACCTCTATGTATACCTAGCAGAGAGTTTAAGAAAAGGACAGTAAGTGAGATTATGAGAACTAGCTACTCGGACATGGTTCTGTATTTTCAATTGGAAAGTCTGAACCTACTTCAGTTTGCTATTACTGGAGTGTGATAATTGGAAACTAGAGTTTTCTGTGTCATGAATGTGGTTCATCATCAATGCTTACTCTGTATCACGAAAGTACATACTTATCTATGGTTCGCCTTTGTTGAACTTGAATTCTTTGCTTGTTTACTTGGCAAGTTAGTATAGTATCCCTTCTATAGCTTCAAAAATAATATGATGGCCGGTAGGATTCATTATTTTTAAGTGAGTGATGAATCTTGTTCTGCCTCTCCTGTAAGAAAATCATTTTGGTTCTGCATAGTGGGTTGCTGCACTTTCCACTTACGTTCACGGTCACTTTTCCTTCACTTATGGATGCAGATTAATATGTTGCATGCTGATATATCCAGGATACATCTTGAATTAGTTCCAATGATCCAGGACTTTTCTGAATGGTTGATAATTTACCTTTTGGTCACCACGCCATCCGAGTCTTCTGGGATTGAAGACTTTAGTTGTATCGAAATGATACACAAGAAGTTAATGGAATTTGGTTCTACAATTTTGCATCTCTTTAGCAGGTAACATGTCATTTGCTATACTCTTTTGCATCTTTGTATTGTCCTAGTAGTAGGCTTAGTGTCGGTAGAACCATAGGAGCCCCACTAGGGATGTGATGATCAACGGAAGTACCGATTCTCCTGTTGTTTCCCGCTCTTGTGATAAATTATTGATTTTGTATGCCTATTCTTTCTGTTTTATTCACACCCTATACACTCTCCTTCAGATTTTGTTGTTTGGTTTAAATGTAATATCCTGAATGCTTATTGACATGTGTCAAGCTTATGAGACTTGGTAAAGCAGTGGATAACAGAGCAGGTTTGTCAAGGTAATTGCTCTATGTGCAAGTTACTTCCCCTATATGCCTTCGACATCTTCAGGATACTGAGTGCATATGCCAAGGTGCCTCCAAGGTCAAATGCTCCTTCAACTAAGAGGTGATTACTGAATTTTTTATCCATAATTAGAGATGATATTTCTTTCTGGCAAGTCTTCTTGGTATTGTCATGATTGTCTATATAGCATTAAGCATGTATCTCTTTCAAAAATTATAATGTTATTTGTGATAGGTAAGATTTGTGCAGAGAAAGATCTTCGAACTAGTCCAATAGCATAACTTATACTGGATATGCTAGCGAGTTTGAAGAACTGGAATCTGTTATCTGCTGATGGCCTGTTGAAGAATGTCTGATGGGTTCATGTATTGCAGCGAGTTTGAAGAACTGGAAGCAGTACCAACTATGACAGTTATGGATGGTCTCTTGGAGCCGTCATCTACTGCAGTCTCAGGCGTTACTGATTTACCTGATGATCCCATGTTCATCAACTTCTTTAGTGTGAAATATTACTCTCTCTGTCTCTTATACTACTATTGCAGTTCTCTTACATTGTTATGTCCTTAAAAAAACTATATCATCTGTAAGTGCTGAGCATGCAGATCATACTTGTATGGTTGCAGGCAGCTATGAGCGTCAGGATTGCCTCAAATGCAGTGGCTTCCGGACAACCATACCAGTCTCTCCATTCCTAGTCCCTATACCTTCTTATCCCACCTCTGTTGTCTCATCATCTTCAGTTCCAATCATGCACCATCTCCACTATCAACATCTAGCCCTTTAACGCCACTACTTGATGCCTCCCCTGAAATTGAAACTGCTACTAATCTTGTAAACCATTCTATGTTCATTGGCCCCCCTCTCTCATGATCCTCTTCTTCACAGACGATTGTGCCTCCTGCTGCTCCTCCATCTGTTCCTACTGCTCCTCCACTCAACCCCAAGGACAAATTATGAGCCGGTAGTCAACAAAGACAACGTCCGGGAAGCACTTGTTGTCCTTGGCCAGGTCAGTCTTGTACCAGCTTAGGATATGATTTATACATATATTGTTTTCGTGATTATTTTGATTTTGTTTATATTGCTGGCACTATTCTTCGATCATGTGTCTGACAAGCACGAGGGTTTCGTATTAGCAGGACTGGCGGTAAATATAACCGACTTTATAGTTTCCCACTGCTATATATACATAGTCATACTCTTTTGTTGAGATATCTGTTCTTCCGTTTGCAGAGATCCTTCTCTGTTTAGAGACGCGTCGCAAAATGAGATCTTACCGCAAAGGGGGCGGCTACGGGTTGCTTTCCTGTGATTGTTTTTCTAACGACGAGTAAATAGTTGTGGTGCCTCTCTGAGGTCGTGTCTCCGCTCCATTGGCGTTGGTGTTTGCGGCGGAAGTTTCAGGGCGGTGTTTAAAGGTTTTCGTCGGGGTTTATTGGTGATGGAAATAATCACATTCTTCTCAAGTGCAGCTGCATTCTTTTTTCTTCTCAGACAGAAATTGTGGGTGATCAAGATGTAGCCATGCTGGTATTAGATGCCCTTTTTTAAGTCCTGGATGAGAACTTTGGAGTGGTCTATCCACTCCAGTTGCCCTTCTGCTGTATCCTATAATGTGAAAATTACAGGAGTCCTAGAAGGGAATTTGGAATGACTAATAGTAACCAAATAAAATACATGGATTGGTGGCCATGTTTGAGAAATGAACTTGGTCCGAAAGTTGTGTCCCGTTGTCCCTACAATTGAAATTGTCTTTAGTCATTCCAGATGCACTTACTAACCTTGCTCAGTAGATGCCCTTACTAGAGTCCTAGATGGGAACTTGGAATGATTATACTCTATGTGAAAAGGCATGGATTGGTGGCATGTGAAAGTGAAGATTATTAATCATTCCAGTTGCCCTTCTGCTTTATCGTGCGAAGATAAATTCATAAATGGAGTCTTAGAATGGAACTTTGGTATGAGTGAAAGATACTAACGATATATACATGGATTGGTGGCCATGTTGTTGCTCTAAATCTTGTGTCCCTTTGCTTCTCATTTTCATACGACCAGGACAGTTTGTTAACTGAAAGCCCAAGCTCTACATTATCTGTGGGTTCTTTGCAATGATTTCCCCCCTCTGATCCATCTCAATCTAAATCATTATATCCGTAGACATCTACGAATGAAAAAAGATTTCCAACCGCCATGACAATACTTCGTACTCTTATTGCAGCCTGTGTTCCAATCCTTTTCTTTTATTTTATGAATTATTTTCTTGGTTTACCTCTATGTATACCTACCAGAGAGTTTAAGAAAAGGACAGTAAGTGAGATTATGAGAACCAGCTACTCGGACATGGTTCTGTATTTTCAATTGGAAAGTCTGAACCTGCTTTAGTTTGCTATTACTGGAGTGTGATAATTGGAAACTAGAGTTTTCTGTGTCATGAATGTGGTTCATCATCAATGCTTACGCTGTATCACGATAGTACATACTTATCTATGGTTCGCCTTTGTTGAACTTGAATTCTTTGTTTGCTTACTGACAAGTTAGTGTAGTATCCATTCTATAGCTGCAAAAATAATATGATGGCCGGTAGGATTCATTATTTTTAAGTGAGTGATGAATCTTGTTCTGCCTCTCCTGTAAGAAAATCATTTTGGTTCTGCATAGTGGGTTGTTGCACTTTCCACTTACGTTCACTGTCACTTTTCCTTCACTTCTGGATGCAGATTAATATGTTGCATGCTGATATATCCAGGATACAACTTGAATTAGTTCCAATGGTCCAAGACTGTTTCTGAATCGTTGATAATTTACCTTCTGGTCATCACGCCAATCCGAGTCTTCTGGGATTGAAGACTTTAGTTGTCAACTCTCTTCATTGCATATCGGTAAGTTATACAATGACCACTTCTGGTAAGATTGTACTAGTGTGGACTACATTGCAGATTACCTTCTGACAAATGCATACTTCCATTACTTCTGCAGTTGGTCTTCGACAGATAGCTTTTGTTTTAGGTAACAATTGAATGCTCCTGATCGTTTCTTTTAGCTGAACATGACTCTTGCAGTCTTTTCTGGACCTTACAATCAAGTAAAAGACTCTTTATTCTTGATCATTATCAATACCACCAGTAGTTTATATATGTAGTACACAGCTGCACACGAATGGGTAGACAGTTTTTAAATGTTTTTCTGAAAAAATAGAGAAGTTAAATGCACACAGCGCCCGCTTCTGCATCTTCTGCTGCATCAAACCTCTTTATGTTTAAATCTTTTGTATATGAGGCATGGCGATATTGACGGACAATGAAACTTGTTCTGTCTCGCCAATAGCAGCTTAACTGCCATCTTACTTTACTGTTGTTGATTGTGTAATCAACATTATAACAGTTGAATCAAAGAAAGGCTGTTATTAGCTCTTGTAAATGCCTATATCACTTAGCTTGTTTATGAATGGAAGCATTACATTTTTATGCCATGAAAGTTGTCTTCTGGCTATACCTGAGCATTCTTGCTGTTTGATTGTCTTGAAGCAGATAGCAAAAATGGTAGACGATCATGGCACGACAAATTTGGCAAACTTGATTTTACTTCTGAACCATCATTCCTTGCACTATTTCCCAAATCCCAGAGATATTATCAGTACGGTACAACACTTTACTGGCTGGATAGTGGATAATTTTGGGCAATACCATGGTTGAATCAAATTCGCCGTTGAGGCATTATGCTGAGGTGCTTATCTTTTTTGCTTTCGCAGTTACTTGTATCAGCAACGCTTCTGATAGTGTCTTGAGTGACTTCCTTTTTATATCTGCTGTTTCAGTGTCTGTTGAGTGTTACTGAACTCTGATTTCCTTTCCTTCTCTGTTCTTGCTATCATCCAACTTGTTCATTCCCATTAATGTTCCCTATTGTTACTGCTGTAACTGGTGAATACCCATCAGATACTATAATTTCTTCTAATGGAAGGCCAAAAGCCTACCCGTTTCTTAATGTAATATTCCATTCTTGCATCTGGTACCACATCCTGGAAATAAATCTTAAATGCTATAATTTCGTCCACAACTGTCAAGCATTTGCAATGCATCTCACGTTTTAATAATATGGTTGCCTTTGTGCATGGGTCGAGACAGATTCTGCTTTTCTCCAAATGATGAACTCAGAGACTAGTAAGCGTGTTGGGGAATACAGATTGAGATAAATGATCTAATTGTCTAGTTCTCCTATCTTTCCTATATTATTTATTCTATTTGTAAGATACGTGTTCAAACCTTTGCGGGATTTATCCCATGACACAGGATTTCCACCTCTTTGCTTAGGTGAGCTGGTCATAATATGTGCTCTGAGGTTCTAAAAAATTTACATGATCACTGATACGTCGACTGATTCTTTTTCCCCTTTTTCCTTAGATGATTCTGTATCATCTGCTGTGTGGAAGCTACACTACTACCAGTTGGTATGCAAATATTTGAGCAATATAATTTTAATGAAGGTGCTTGCCAGTTTGCTCTTGTTTCACTTGAGCAAGTTGATGAGCTATGAGTCGAAGAGATGGATCTCATGTGGGTCGCACACTTGCATCATGTGATGTGAGTACTAAAGAGTGCAAACTTGCATCATGTGCCTGAAATTCTTAAGGAGGCTAACAGATGGTTGAGGCACATAGTCGTTCAAAAGTACGAAGCATTAATCACGGTGGTAACATACGACAGATGAAGGGGAAACTAGCCAGATATACTGCGAGTGTGAATATAGACAGGTAATAGAATTTAACAGGGTTGCACTCTCTTTAGAAACATCTCTGACTTGATCATTGGATACCTAACAGGCTCAACAAGCCCCCGTGCGTCTCTTTGTGTAGGCTTGTGTGCCCCCAAAGTTCCTCGTGATTCTAGAGCCAAAGAAAGGAAGCTGGAATCAGAGTTTAGTGTTAAAAATCCATTAAATGTCCTATTTATATAGGAAAAATTGTAAGTTTGATCACTGCTGAATTGTTTCACATTTGCCTCTAATTTTTTTTTTATTCCATTCGTGGTTAGTTTACTTTAACACTATGTTCATAAAGAGCAGAAAAGGAGGGAAAAGGAAAAAGCAGAGGGAAAGTTGGAATCCCCAAACATTTTCCCCTGTTTGCAAAGAAAGGAAAGCTATGGGAGGAAAGGAAAGGGGAGGGAAAATACACTGTTTAACCCTCCCCTCCGAATTGGAGAGAAAACGTTGAGACTTGAGTGGATTGATTTTCTTTTCTTTTCTTTTCTTTTTTATTCCCATCGTAATTTGTTGTATGTTTATATATTTAGTTGCTATGTTATTACTCAATAAATAGTTAACAAAATTTTAGTAATAGGTTGACAAATTTCATTCAAATAACCAACTTTTGATTTGTTGTAGTTAACAAAATTAACAAAGAAGAACAAATTTGATCCACATTACATAATTAATGTAAATAGTATAAACACATAATTAAATTATTTAACTATTCTATCATCAATAAAATATAATACATATCACAATTCCCAATCTACTTTTTACCTCCCACTTTCCATTCCACTTTCCTCCATTAAACAACATTTTCTTTCCAATTCCCTCTAATTTCCCTCCCTTCCAAACTTAACCTCCCCTCCAAATTTTCCTACCCTCCCCTCCTTTTCCTCCCTTCCTTCATGAACATAGTGTAATAGTTCAAGTTTGGTCGCTGGTCATTACATTATGTCAGACTCTATTAGCAACGTATTTTTTTTTTCTAACGCAGCTCGGCTCATTTGCAGCCTATTCGTGCCAAATCTCCAAAACACCCCGCATCAACCCAAACCCCTAATGGGGTTGGTGGTAGTCGTTGTGGACAAGCGGGGTAGACCAACAGAAATCCACACCATTGGTTCATTAGCCGAAGGGGAGGGAGGTCCAACACTCCACATTTTTGTCTAACCTTTCCTTCCTTGGCTCGTAGACTCTTTAGTCATCGTCTCAATATCATCAGCTGCTCCAGCTTATCCTCGACCTCACCAACCAGCTCCAATGGATCCCAATCGCCAAATCCTCCAAGATCCAGTCCCCAATTCTTCTCCCCCAGAAGAAGAACACCCAAATGAGCTCGCCATTGCTCACCCGTCACAGTGCTCTTCCACCTCCCACTCCGCCGCCGCCGCCGCAGCATCGCCATTCGCCGCCGCGTCTCTCTCCATCTCCCTCTCCACAATCCTCCCGACCCACTTCTTCACCCCGACCAGAATTCAGACGCTCTTCGCCGCTGCTTCTCCTAGCAAGGTCAAAATCCCAACCCAGGCCGCTTCCCTTTCCCACCTCTCCATTTCCTCTTCCTCCCCGGCGGCCGCAGCTGGGCTCTCCTTCAAATCCACCATCTCCGCCAACCCTCTCCACAGCACGCTCTCCCTGGGCCCTCGCCGCCCTTCCGACCCTTCCAATTCCGCCGCCCTCCGCCGCGCTGCCGTCGTCTGGTTCCGCAACGACCTCCGCGTCCACGACAACGAGTCCCTCAACTCCGCACACAATGAATCCGTCTCCATCTTGCCCGTCTACTGTTTCGACCCTCGTGAGTACGGGAAATCCTCATCTGGGTTCGATAAGACGGGGCCGTACCGAGCCACTTTCGTGATCGAATCGGTTTCCGACCTCAGGAAGAACCTCCGGGCCAGAGGGTCGGATCTCGTCGTGCGGGTTGGGCGGCCGGAGACTGTGTTGGCCGAATTGGCGAAAGCTGTCGGAGCCGATGCTGTCTACGCGCATAGAGAGGTGTCTCATGATGAGGTTAAGGCGGAGGACAAGATTGAAGCTGCGATGAAGGAGGAAGGATTGGAGGTGAAGTACTTCTGGGGAAGTACTCTGTACCATTTGGATGATTTGCCCTTCAAGCTGGAGGAGATGCCTTCTAATTATGGCGGGTTTAGGGAGAAAGTTCAGGGGTTGGATGTGAGGAAGACGATTGCTGCGTTGGATCAACTGAAGGGTATTCCATCCTCCGGAGATGTGGAGCCTGGGGAGATCCCCACATTGTTGGATTTGGGTCTCAGCAGCCCCACTCAGGTTTGAGTGTTCTTTTTTGTTCTACTTATATGGTTTTCCTGTTGTATGATTCCCTCTAGTTATCCATTAGTTTGAGATGGTGGTGCTCAGTGTTCTGCTGTGGTGCCAAATTCTGTTGGTATGAGTTGGATGATACGAAAAAGTGAAGCCAATTGCCATTTTTACATACTAGAAGATGTGTCTCTGAAATTCAATGTTGAAGTCCTGTGAAACCCACTTGTCTTGACCTAAATGTTTAGACATCCAAAGTTAATATCCGATGGGAATTTGATTTCTGTTTTATGCATAGAGATTGAAGTCTTTTTAGTTTTTAGCTATCTGATTACTAAATACTAGCATCAAGTCAAGTCTTGTTGTTCTGGATGGATATACCTCTTGTTTCTCTGCGCACATGGAAAGGAAGTCCTATTCGCTGGTTGAACTCGAAGTCTATGTGTTGAACAGACGTCAATCTGTAAAACCTTTAATCAATCTCAATGCAGGATGGAAAGCCAGCAGCATATGCTTCTATGGTGGGAGGGGAGACTGAAGCACTGCAAAGGTTGCAGAAATTTGCAGTGGAGTGTCGAGCACAACCACCCAAGGGAACCAATGGCAACCACAACAGCATATATGGTGCAAACTTTTCGTGCAAAATATCTCCATGGTTAACCATGGGATGCATCTCTCCTCGTTCCATGTTTGATGAGCTCAAGAAAACTGGTAGCAGGTGCGATCGTCGAAAGTCTTCTGTTTTCTCTCTCATCGTTCCATAACTTCTGCAAGATTTCAGTTTCTTCACTTGCTAATGGTATAAAATAATGAACTTGATAGAATGATATCTGCCTCAAGCAAAAAAGATGATGGAAGTGGCAACCCATCAGGAGACACTGGAATGAACTGGTTGATGTTTGAGTTGCTGTGGAGGGATTTCTTCAGGTAACTTGTTAGCATTTAGGATACACATTATTGTTTTCCTTTTTGGATCATTCTATAAGAGTTTCTAAACTGACCCCTTGTTGATTGTATTCTGTTTTCTTTATTACCCTGTAAAGATTCATAACGAAGAAGTACAGCGCAACAAAGAAGCAGATTGATGGAGCTCCTGTCACAGCTTGTTCAGGTGCTGCTGTTGCATAGGAAGACAAATTCATGGATTTGATTCCTCTGCATATGTTTCAGCTAATCAATGGACGGAGTTTCGATTATGGTTTTCAAATGAGTTGACATATCTCTGTTCAACATTTTGTTCTCTGGCAAATAAAAATCATGGAGTGGTTTATAATGTGTTCTTTCATTCTTATTTGAAGTTATGCTGCGTATCTAATTTTGTGGTAGAGAAAAGGGAAAACAATGAAACAGGAAGGTTATCTCATAAAATTTCTCTACATATTATGCTTCTGTTGTTGCTGGGAGAAGAAATATAATTGAATAGGTGACACTCAAGCTACAGACAGACAAACAATGATCCTGCTTCTAAGATTTCAAATGACGCCACAAATTCTGAGGGAAGAGAGCACAACAAAAACAACCCAAAGCAGCATAAAGTAGCCGCTAGTAAGCCATGCCCAAATCCTCGGTCCACCAAGCTCCGCCCCTAAGGTCAACCTCCTGAACACCAGAACCCCAATGCAACCTACTGACGTGCAGAAGAAAACCAGCAACGAGAAGCTCAGTCCTTCCGCGTTCTCTATCCGCAATGGTTCCTTGTACACCAAGAAATTGTAGGCTGTATCGATCAGCCATGGAACTCCAATCCCGACGTATATGTTCACAGAATTGCTGCAGTTTTATATATCATTGGATCAGTATCAGAGAAAGAGACGGAAAACTCAAGTAGGCACACTAATTAAGCAGCAAAAGAGAAATGCTGAGGACTCATCGACAAACCTGCAAGTGATGTTTGCTATGGCAGAATCTGCAGTTAGTTGACGTTCAGCAGCTATCTTACTTGCTACTAGATCCGGCCATGAAGTTCCACTTGCCAGCGCCGTCAATGCAATGACATATGGGTTTATTCCTGAAAAGGCATGATTTGCAGGCCAAGTTGAATGATGATATATATAAACTCACTGGACAAACTCTCCAAAAACTAATATATTGATTTCCAAAATCCAGGGAAACTTGCTACCAAAAAAGAAAATAGGCCAGGGAAACTGATAGAAACATGAGAATGTTCCTCTTATCTGACCTGTGACACAGCTTATGAGATCAGTGAGCCTCGTGACAACATAAGCTATCCCACTGATAAATGCTAAAGAGCATAAGAAGGCTATCCACCCATGAGCAATTTGGTATGGAGGCACGAGAGCAAACACAAGTCTCCATGGTGTGAGAAGCAACTGCCAAGAGATTCTTGCCCCCCTTATGATTATGTTCTCCAGTTTTCTTGATTCTGGCCTTTCCAACTGTAGAGGAAAGAATGTTGGATATTATTAGTTCCCATCACAACAATACTGCAGATGAGAGAGAGATAAAATATGAGCCTACCACGATTGCATCCAGAAATTGCTGTTTCCAAGTAGCAAGGAACCAATAATCTGTCTCCTCACTAGAAGGTTCATTTGAGCACCCGACAGCAATGTCAGAGCTTGACAAATTGCGATAGTCTGAGTCTGCACAGGAGAGCTGTTAGAAGGAGGAAGCCCAAAACAATACCCAGCAATGATAGCTTTTCTTCGTCATTATAAGCGAAAACGAAAACTAGCTGCGAGGGAGCACCTAGCTCACTGTTTGAATGAATGGAGAAGATGTCAACAACGTTTCCACTCCCTTCTGGGTCGGGGAGTATGTCAGGGTACTGTTGGCCGTAGACATTAGTGTTGTTCTTGTTACTACACAAAGGGGTTTCTTCTGGCACCCATTCTTCTGGCCTCTCACCTCTTGCCCTAGAAATGAAAAACAGTTCCAAGAAGAAATGAGATCCTTGCAAAATGTGGGAGATGCGACCAGTCTCATTACGAGGAATGATGATCCTCATGAAAATAGCAGGCAAAGGAAGATAAGAGAGATGCATACATTGGAAGCGATACGTAAGGCCAACGCTTGTCCTGGGCATAAGCGTGTGCCAGAAGTAACCCATATTGAAGTACCGTTAGCAAGGCCTCCCACAGAGTAATTACACTTGGACTCCATATCTGCAAACAAATCCAAGACATTTAACTCCAAACATAATACTCAGAAAGCACAATGACCGAACGAACTGAATGCCAAGAAGATCACAGCTTAACTATAAGACAAAGCACTAAGATGCAGCACACATAGAGAAGATCGATCATGGAATACAAAATCAAGTGTGCTGATGCACAGACATTCACAGGCATTGTCAGAGAGAAAAGCAAAATGCGGATGGTGAATTCCTAATCTACTATTACACGAAATAAGTCATTAGAGTCGATTGTTTATACTCTGCACAAGACAGCATCAGATGAACTTGCCTCCAAAATTATGTAGAGCCATATATAAGCCCAGAAAGACCAGAAGAGCTCGACCAACCAAACACCTAGATCTGATATCTTTTTCAATTCTCCAGCTTTTGGAACGACGACACAGACAGCATGAATTGGGAAAAGATCGAAAGCAGCAGAACCAACAAGTGTTCCAGGACCCAGCCCTGCAGACAAATGAAGTTGAGAATACAGCCATACTCAGAAAAAAGCCAAACAACGAGCCAGCAGATTTTCAGTAATAGTCAAGAAACGGATGAAAGAAAAAACCCTGCACATTAGCATGCAATGTCGAAGGTAAAACCTAAACAGCTCAAGAACATGGCACAACCATGTCAAAGAAGATGCAAAAATCAAGAGACGAACCTCCAGCATAACGGTTCCCAATGTTCCGAATGGCGTCAATGGTAGCCAGTGATATCTGCGGGAAGCTGGTGCCGAATGCGAGAAGAGATATGTCAGCGATGGTGTAGTTCCAAACCTTCTCACGGCGGACAACTTCAGCTTTAGTATGAGGGTCAATCTCCACCACCTCACGAGAATGCTTCACAACATTCTCCATGGAGCGGAAGAAGCGAGCAGTGATAGCTGATAACCCAACGAAGCAATACGCAAGACCCAAGCAGTAGAGAAAAGTTCGGAGCCAGCTGCTGAGGCTGATTTCCCCATGAAAGAGCAAGTAAGCCTCGCATTTCTCCATCCCCAAGGATGATGTTCTTCGGCTACAATTAGCTGGTTAATCTTTCCAAGTTCTCCACGCGGCTTCGGACCCAACAATCAAACATCAGTTAACCCATCTTCACCTGTTAAGAGATAAAACTGTAGTGTCACGGGAAGAAGGGGAAAAGGTCGATAAGACTTCGCAGCCATAATCACGAGTCGTAATTGAAAACCTAAAACCATTCCAGCTGAACTAGAAATGAAAATCGTTAACCACCAAAAAAAAAAAAAAAAACGAGCAGCCATTAATGGCCACTGATGACCAGATCCGTAATCCGATCACAGAACTTCCGGGAAGAAAACCCCAAGGAGAAGGGCGAAAGAAGAAACTAACCAAGCAGGAGCTCAGGAGGTGAATCGAGAGAATGCGGTGGTGATTGGCGAGAGAAGGAGAGGAGCTTTTTGTGGGGGGAGCTTCGATTGATTGGCGAGAGAAGAGGGGATTGGGTTTGGCTTTGGAGTGGACAGAGAACGAATTCGAACAGTGCGGGGAACGGTGGAAGAGTGGACAGGGCGTTTGTTTGGAATTTGGGGAGTGTTGCCATTATTGGAGGGTACAGCGAGGGAAAATATCATTGTCAAACCGGTTTAAATTGTCTCGAGAGTGAAACACATGGTTTGAGTTTTATCGATTAAATTAGAGTTTAGTTGATTTCTCTGGTGATGGTTTTGTAATTCGCGAGATTAATTAATTTGAGGTAATGATGCTTGCATCCTCTTCATAGAAAACTAGATAACGGACCCGGCCCGTTGGCCGGATCGATTTTATCACCTGTATATTTTTTGTATGATTTGGCTTCTTTGTATCATTGCACTTTTTTAAAAGTATGGTCCATTAAACCGTACCGTACCGGCAGTTCAACCACGAAATACCAGTATCGGAGGCTAAACCGATAGGCGGTATTTAACGATCTAACGGTTGAAATACGGTTAAACCACGGTTTTATCATAAAATATCATATTGCTGACTTTTCCGATACAATATCCGGTACGGTTTCATGGACCATGTTTAAAAGAAATTTATCAGAATCAATCAACCATTCTGGTGATATGGAAACAATCCTCTTTTTTTCATAAATAACATGTGGCATGAACATACATTATATTGCCTGATGTATAGAATTATGCTACCATCCTACAAATAATATAAAGAGGTTATCCTTGATTTTTTAAGATCGAATTGAAATATTATTTGATTGATTGAATGATTTTCAAGGACAATATTTCCTTGCTGCCAAAAACAATTACTCAAAATAATAAGAAAATTGATAGGATCATCTTAACAATAATCGAGATAAAAACTTATTTAGGGGCTAAATCATTGAGAGAGAACATCTGGTGTTGTCTTTTTTGGGCATAGTAGTGTGAAACTATTTGCTTCAACATGCAGAACCCACCTTGGAGAATATTTGTTGTTGTTGTTGTTGTTGTTATCGTAGACTTGATAATGATAAAAAAAATTAAATATAAAAATACATTGAGTAAGAAATAACCAAGAAATGTGTGGGGTTTCCATTACATAGGTGGATGGCTCTACGTCTGTATAGATCGTCGTTGTGCGATTATTCAAGATTGCGATTTCCGGGCGATGTGCCTTTGCCCTCTCTGTGATTAGACGGCTCTTCGTGATGCATTTTTCGTTGGTGTTTGGCACATTCTTACACTAATGTTTTGTTTTATGGTTGAGACACTTGTCGACCATCGTGTTTTTCTTATTTCAATTTTCTAGTATGGTTGTACTAGGTTTTGTATATTATCGTATTTATACTGCTTCCATTCAAAAATAACTATGACAAAAAAAAAAAAAACAATGGTCAGTCCTCAAAGTTTCATACAATCGATTAATTAATAATCTAATACATGTGTGAGGTGTGTAAGCAACTAATTAGGTTACCTGAGCCTAATGGAAATTAATCCAACATGGATACGAGTCACATGACGGAACGTACACCAACTATCCAAAAATTGATTAAAATTAGATAACTTAAATAAATAGGTTGATTGAATGACGTAATTAGATAAACCAAATTAAAGCAAAACACAGAGTAACCACTTAAACCACGCAGACTTGAATTGAATTAATCTCCGCTCCGGCCGGATGAATTCAATTAAGTTGGTCCGTGCTATAGCTTTACTTGAATTGAAGTTGGTTCCTATTCTTCCCGTTATGGTTTCTGTGGACTTGGTCACCGTGAAAATCTGAACTAAAAGATCGGGGGGTGTTATACGTGATACGTGTGGAAGAAAAAAGAAAAACTAAAAAGGCGAATAACTTGGTAACTGCTTTGCTGCTTGCTTTGACACGTCTTAAACCGGCCGTAAACCCCGATGGAGCTATAAAAATGAAATGAACAAAAGCAGCAAAGCAAAACCCCGAAACCGTACTACTACTACTACATTCCATTCGCCTCCATCCATTCCAAAATGGCCTCCAAGCTGCAGATGCTACTCCAGAAATCTTCCCACGGCCGGCTGCTCCAAAATCTCAACATTCTCCGTGGCGGCGGCGGCTCCAATATTGTTGTATCTCAGCAGACGAGGCTGAGGCAGCTGCCGCTGTTGGCTCGAAGGTGGAAGAAGCCGAGCCGCGAGGACTTTGAGTTAGGTTTTGATCATGGTTATTTTGTATCCGACGACGAGCTTGAGCTCCACGAATATGACGAAGATATCCAGGAGGTGCTGAGGGAAAATCAACGTGAGCTCTCTATGGCGAAGAATAAGAAGAAGAAGAAGACAGGAGTTATAAGCAGCAACGCCAAGAATAAAGGAAGCAGCAGCAAGAAATCAAATGACGATGATGATCATTGATCATCACAGCGGCCGAGACTAGCACTAGCTAGCTAGCTCTACTCTACTTATTAATTAATTGCTTCACCTCGATCTCGTTTTTCGTTTCTTGGTCATTGTCCGCATTGCAAATAAGTGCCATTTCTTGTGCTGCATGTGATCAGCATGGAATTAGTCAGTCACATTCTTGTTCTTGTTTGTTACTCTATTCTATTTTAATTTGACGGGTTTCAATTTTCAATTCCTTTGTTGGTTGGTTGGTAAGTTTAATTTCAGATTCAGGGGAAGAAACTAATTCTTGAGTGCATAGCCCAATATGTTTTTTCCAACTAGAAGATTACTAAAGATTGTGATCACAAACCAAAATGTGTGTAAAGCGTACATCAATATGATCGCAAAAGAGCTCTGGACAACACCATCAACCCATCAAACAGGTAGGATTTTTCACATCCATCCTACTATCCCGTCCCGGTATAATTAAGGTGAAGCTCTACACCCACAGGAGTGGAGTCAGGATTTGACTTTGGGGGTTGGAATTTTGTTAGTCTCTTATTTCGAAAAGATGATAAATTAATAATTTTTTTATACTATTTTAACCACGCTTTAAAGATTATCAGAATTATTCCGAATAAAATCTACACTATTGCTTATTTTGTGTAGAGAAAAGTGAGTATGCCGCAGTTTTTTTACTACGAACTCATTAGTTTATAGGCTTCTAAAATTATATTAATTTTACAAGTTGTAATTGCAAGTATAGAAACTACATTTTCATTTTTTTAGTCAGGAATGAGCGTTTCAAAGGGGTTTATTTTGTTCTATGTAACTTGATTGCCTTGATTAATACAAGTATCGTATCGAAAAAAATGGGTTATATTTTTACTGCAAAAACATAATATTATAATAAACATCAAATTTTTTTTTTGGTAAGATAAACATCAATTTTTTAGACTGAGCTAAGATTTTCTACCATACAAATTAAATTTAAAAAATAATAATATTGCATTTCAATGTTGTGTAACACATTCTATTTTTATATTTGAAAATCAATGTCTAGTATTTTATAAACAATTTGTTTTCTTCATTATTTACCAAAAATAATTCTTTAAAATTTACAACTTGAAGAATTTAATTGATCTAATTTTTTAGTAAAGGATTTAAGAAAACAAATCATAGAAGTTGAGTAGTAATTATTGAGATATTAAACTGAAAAAGCAATTATTCACACATAATAAAACTGAGAAGAAAATTAAAAAGGCAATTGTGTCATCTACTTACAATGGGTTTCAAACCCCTATCCTGAACGTCTTCGTCCAATAGGCTATAGTGCTATACTGCTTTATTGTTATATGTACCAACACCGAATCTATATCCATATATGGTAATAATTAGTATACTCCAGATGACCAGACTATTTGATGTACTTCAATTAGCTCTAATCAATCTTAATAACCGATTATCGATACAGATTATACGTAACTTTCAAAATTTTGGGGGCGTGTAGCTCCACCCCTGAGACTCTAGAAGTTCTAGTTCGATAACTCACGCCTCCATCCCCTACATGAACGACAGAATGATTAATACCTTAAATGGAATCTGGCTCCAAATTGCGTTGAGTTGCTGCTGAAGCCTGTATGAAAACATGTGATGAAGACATGCTTTAGAGCTTGATTAGTATGATAGGGTAATTGGAACGCCAGATCTCGAAAATGGAACTCACCTAGTAATTTCCATTCTTATACTCATGTCATCTTTTTCCGGAGCAGTGCTTACTCTTTCATTTCTTAGCTCGAGATCTGGAGGAGGGTTGTGCAGTGACCCGGGTTGGCTTCTCCAAGATCCGCCATTGTAGTACCTTGCGACTATCTGAAGCTGAAAACCTCTGAATTGCTTGCCTTCTGCAACCCATTGATTGATAATCGGGGCTACACTGGTAGTCAGGTCTCTGAGAAGGCTGATTCTCTAGAAAAGATCACTGCTTGTAGCGAAAGGGGAAACGTGCATAATCTGCTACCGGAAAATGTGGGTTAAGAAAAAAAAAACCCTACACGAGAAAAAAAATACTCACTTTAAGCTAATCTAATTGACATGTAGAAAACATGGATTAAGAGAAAAATAAATTTAAGATAAGTCCTAAGTCCTAACAATTCTTATGGTGCACCCTTCCACACTCCACCAGATCCCTTAAGCAAACTTGCCCATTTGTATACTAATAATAATAATGTTTAAGAATGTACTTTGATGAACATGTATCTTCATTTGCAAAAACCGTGAGGGTGGAGGTCCAAAACGTACAATATCTTGCTCAGAAAATGAGAAAAAGGTCGGGATGTAACAAGTGGTATCAAAGCCTCTCTGCGTCCCTCTTGAAAGATGGTGGGGCAAACCTCAACGAGGACGCGGAGTCCGGAGGGGGGGGGGGGGGGGGATGTATGTAACACTTTAGGCGAATCCCACATTGACAAAGCACGGGAGAGATCCATGGTTCATAAGTAAGAAACCGACCTTAACTGACAAGAAGCGTTTTGGAGTGAAATGGAGAACTCTGAAGTTAAACGTACTCAGTGTGGAGTACAACAAGGATGAGTGACCTTATGAGAAGTCACTTTGAATTGCACCCCAGCTCCCCAAAGTAAAAATAGTAGGGTGGAGGCTCAAAGCGGACAATAAATTGATCCGAAAAGGTCGGGATGTTACAGTATCTCTAAAAAAAATCTGACCATTGTACAATGAACACCCCCTAAAACAACTATTATAAAGGAAAATCTTGACAGCGATTACAAAAATAAAAAATTCACGCAAGACAGCGGGGCAACTGATAACACGAGATGGAAACGGAGACACACCGCCGTCGATTGGGAAGGTCAAATCTGAGTCTTGAAGGAAAAACGCCCCCAAGAAAACCCAAAATCAACCCATCCAGCTTTCGTCAGACAAGTCAAATTACGCGATAAGAAAGACGAAAGAGCCGCCTGCCGCTCGCTCGCCTCCATTTCCCCAATTCCATTCTTGTCCAAATACCCGCTCTTCTTCCTTTCTCGCAAATCTCATCCTTGCCGCCCCGATCTAACCGAATATGCACTCCACCAAACACCGCCGGAAAGTAGCGCCGGCCAATGGAGACGCAAACGACAACTCCGCCGATAAGCAGGACCAGCTCCACCTCTCCGCCGCCATCTACAACGGCGAGGACCTCGGCCCCTTCGTCCGCAAGGCCTTCACCACCGGCAAGCCCGAGATCCTCCTCCACAACCTCCGCCACTTCGTCCGCTCCAAGGAGTCCGAGATCGAGGAAGTCTGCAAGGCTCACTACCAGGACTTCATCCTCGCCGTCGACGACCTCCGATCCCTCCTCTCCGACGTCGATTCCTTGAAATCCTCCCTCTCCGACTCCAATTCCAAGCTCCAGTCCGTCGCGGGCCCGCTCCTCACTTACCTCGACTCCTACATCGAGGCGCAGACCGTGTCTCACAACGTTTACTTGGCCCTCACTCTGATCGTCTCCTGCATCAAGCTTATGGAGCTTTGCTCCAGAGCGAACGATCATATGTCCGCCGGGAATCTCTACATGGCGTTGAGGTGCGTGGACGCGATCGAGACCGAGTTCGTCGATAAGGCGCCGTCGTCGACTTTGAAGCGGATGCTGGAGAAGAAGATCCCGCAGTTACGGTCGCACATCGAGAGGAAAGTGAGCAAGGATTTCGGCGATTGGCTGGTGGAGATCCGCGTCGTGAGTCGTAATTTGGGCCAGCTGGCCATTGGCCAAGCCTCCGCAGCGAGGCAGCGGGAAGAGGATCTGAGAATCAAGCAGAGACAGGCGGAAGAGCAGAGCCGGCTCAATCTGAGAGACTGCGTGTACGCGCTGCAAGAGGAAGAGGACGACGACGACGATGGGGTGAGCGGCGGGATGGATGATGATGCTAAGAGTGGATACAGCAATGGAGGCAACAGTCTGCTAGGGTTTGACTTGACTCCTCTTTACAGAGCTTATCACATACATCAGACGCTAGGGCTTGAGGACCGATTCAAGAAGTATTACTTCGAGAACAGGAAGCTTCAACTGACCTCGGACTTTCAGGTATCCTCCATGACTCCATTTCTCGAGTCGCATCAAACCTTTTTCGCTCAGATTGCTGGATTCTTTATCGTTGAGGATAGAGTGTTGAGAACTGGTGGGGGTTTGATCTCGAGAATGGAAGTCGATAATCTGTGGGAAACTGCTGTGAGTAAGATGTGTTCCGTGCTAGAGGATCAGTTCTCCAGGATGCAAACGGCTAATCATCTTCTGTTGATTAAGGACTATGTGAGCCTCCTTGGAGTGACACTGCGGAGATATGGTTACATTGTGGATGCTTTGTTAGAGGTGTTAAGTAAGCACAGGGACAAGTACCACGAGTTACTGCTGTCTGATTGTCGGAAGCAGATTGCTGAGGCGCTTGCTGCTGATAAGTTTGAGCAGATGTTGATGAAAAAGGAGTACGAGTACTCCATGAATGTGCTTTCTTTCCAGATACAGATGTCTGATATCGTGCCTGCTTTTCCTTATGTTGCCCCATTTTCATCCACGGTGCCTGATTGTTGTCGAATTGTACGGTCTTTCATTGAAGACTCGGTGAGTTATATGTCGTACGGCGGGCAACTTGATTTCTTTGATGTGGTTAAGAAGTATCTGGACCGGCTTTTGAGTGACGTTTTGGATGGAGCTCTTCTGAAGCTCATTAACTCCTCGGTTCATGGGGTTTCCCAGGCTATGCAGGTTGCAGCCAATATGGTTGTGTTAGAACGGGCGTGTGAGTTTTTCTTTCGTCATGCTGCACAGCTCTCGGGCATACCATTAAGAATGGCTGAGAGGAGTAGGAGGCAGTTTCCATTGAACAATGCCCGAGATGCAGCTGAGGAGATGCTATCTGGGTTGCTGAAACAGAAAGTAGATGGTTTCATGACATTGATTGAGAACGTGAACTGGATGGCTGATGAACCAGTACAGAATGGGAATGAATATGTGAATGAAGTCATGATATATTTGGAGACTCTCGTCTCCACTGCACAACAAATATTGCCGGGAAACGTCCTGAAAAGGGTTTTGAGAGATGTTCTTTCTCACATTTCCGAGAAGATCGTTGGGGCTCTTGTTGCAGATTCTGTCAAGAGGTTCACTGTACAGGCTGTTATGGGGGTGGAAATTGATGTGAAGATATTGGAAGCTTTTGCAGACAACCAAGCGACCCTGTTCCCCGAAGGGGATGCAAGTCAGTTGAAAACAGCTCTGGGTGAGGCGAGGCAGTTGGTTAATTTGCTGTTGAGCAGCCATCCAGAGAACTTTTTGAATCCAGTGATTCGGGAGAGGAGTTACAATCTGTTGGATTATCGGAAAGTGGTCACGATATCGGAGAAGTTGAAAGATCCTGCGGATAGATTGTTTGGTACATTCGGAAGCAGAGGAGCTAGACCCAATCCAAAGAAGAAATCCTTGGATACATTGATAAAGAGACTCAAAGATGTGAGCTGACGCACTCCAGAACTGTATGTGTAATCCTTGTTCTTTCTCTTGCATTTGGTTTGATCATAGTTGATTTCTCAGTTGCTGAACTTTTTCTTTTCGGGTTGTATTCTATTCTCGTACATGCGCATCTGATTGCTGTCTGGAACTCGTTTCTCTCCTGCAAGTTATGCTTGATAATTGACTTGATAGGCCGGGTTGCTTCGTTTCTTGTAATGTCCATTGACCACGAGGATGATTATATTACTACATACATTGGTGTTTCCTTTTACTACCGCCACATGAAAACTGAAAACTGAGCACAGGTTCTTTGATTGCAGTGTGAAGTTGAACTATGTGTGTGCCGGACGCCATGCTTGGACATGGGTTAGACTCTTTTTTTATGCCGTGTCTAATCGTGATCTTGTGATGTTTTTATCAGGCTCGTAATATTCGTGCTTCTATCGTGTTGGTGTCAATGTTCCAACAATTACCCTGCTAATGTCACTCCAAGTATAGTGCAATTGATCGAGAAATAGCTATTACTCCATATTACCCCCTTCCACTCTGTGGTCGTCTCTCTAGTCCCTTTTCTTCTTTGGCTTTGCTCTTTAGCCTCCTTTGCTATTTTGGAGAGTGCTTGCTCACTCTCAATCACGAAGTTATTCTAATTACAACTTGCTCTTAGGCTTTAGTATTGAAGGAAAATGAGCTCCCTAAATGGCCTCAATTTTCTTCATCGCCCTCTCACTCGTTGCCATCATACGCTCCATGTCAAGCTCTATCTTGGAATTTGCCTAAATGGCCTCAATTTTCTTCATCGTCCTCTCACTCGTCGCCATCATACGCTCCATGTCAAGCTCTATCTTGGAATTTACCTTGGTTCTGAAGGATGTTCTTCTATGTATATATTAGGGGTAACATATGTGACATCTCAATTTTTTCATCAGAAAATCTTTCAAATTACCACGGATTAGCTTTCAATTTGCCTCTTATCATAAAATGCAATGTGAATAACTCATCATCCTATCTTTGAAATAAGGAGCTTTTCTGGTTCTATCAGTGCTTGAAACAATTTTGTCTTCTTCATATTACTCTCTAGAGTCAATAATTTTCTATGAGGAACTACTGAAATCAATCATTTACTATCGTTACTCTTCAATTTTCCGTTGAGATCTATCCTATAGAGGTAATCTAAACCAACTATTTATTATCATAATGTTATGAATATAAATACATAGATATATATAATATATGGATGTCCAAAGTACCAAATGACAATTAGTCATTTGACTCATTTCAAACCAACTACCTAATTATTGCACCTAAAAGTTTCCCACGTATTTATGAGTATGAATATGCAATTCTTATCCATTACATTATACAGACAGAAAGGCTAGAAGCGTATATCTCTTGTCGATTCGATTCAGAAAAGATAACTTTACGAATTGGACGAGTGATAATATGGGAGTTAACTTAGACCATATACCGCACAAAATTTGGCCAACAACCATTAAACAACAATTAGATGCCGCTAGCAATGCGGTAGATGAGATTCAGATCGAACCAAACTAGAAGTCCATCCCTGCTGCCGTCTACCAGAAGGCAAATATTCCCCCCTGCCTTCACCGCCTCAGAAAACCAGAGTTTCGTTCGTCACAAAGCATTTTGCAGAGATCGGTCGAAAATTTCCGATGTCGCCGTCGCTAGTTTTCCTCTTCCTTCTCCTCCTATCCCCTTTGCAGCCGTCCGCCGCTTCCTCCTCATCATCCTCCCCCGTCGATGTTCTTCCCGTCGCGGGACAATCAGCGTACGACATCCTCGCCGGATTCAACTTCCCCGCCGGCCTCCTCCCCCAGGGCGCCACCGGCTACGAACTCGACCCGTCCACCGGAAGATTCCGCGCCTACTTCAACGGCACCTGCAGCTTCTCCCTGGAAGGATCGTACCAGCTCAAGTACAAATCCGTCATCGGCGGGTACATTAGCGAGAATCGGCTGACTCAGCTCACCGGCGTCAGCGTGAAGATCCTGTTCCTCTGGCTGAACATCGTCGAGGTCGTGAGGAGTGGCGACGACATCGACTTCTCCGTCGGGATCGCCTCGGCGAGCTTCGGGATCGACAATTTCTTCGTCTGCCCGAGGTGCGGCTGCGGATTGGACTGCGGCGGCGAAGGAGGAGCGAGCAAGCCTGCGAGGAGACCTTTTGTGTCCTCGATCTAGGGATTTCGGTTTCCTCTCTCTCAGGTTAGTCAATATCAAGCAAGTGATCACAAAGAGAATTGAAAGACAAATTATGGCATTGGTTAATTAGACGTACGGTTGGATGATCAGGGTTACTGCTATTTTCATGTTCTGGAATGAGAATCTTGGATTGGTATCTCAGTCTATTGATTCTTTGATTGTATGTTTTCTTTGTTACTCATTGTTATCAGCGTTTCTTAGTCCTTCTCGTAAAGCTAGTTTTGAAGATAGATTTCAGCACAGGGCTGTAGCCTCTAAGGTTCATGATTGAGTATAAACGTTTTAAGAGTTCCCCATCAACATAAGCACAGTGAATCTTATGTGCATCTCTGCTACAGCATGATACATAACAAGCTCCATTCAGTTTCAATAGAAAGATGGCTTTAAGAGACGGTAGAAGTTAGCAAAGGAAATGTGTATTGTTTGATACGTTCACAGCAACTAGATGATGATTCTTTAGGGCAAAGAGTAGCTTTACTCTCTTAGACTATTCTCCTGACAGCCTTCTAAGGACGAGTTGTGAATAGATTTGCAGTTCCAGATGGTTGTATAGGCGTTCTTATGTTCTTATGTACAAATGTTCCAAATGGAGAAGATCGTCGTAGTGTTTCTCGACGATCGATTCTAGTTTGGAGTGCTTTAATCTTAGAGTTGAGTGAGCAGGAGGCGGCGTTTTTTTCTTCACTTGAATAATCGATGCCTGCTAAAAACCTTTCTACTTGTTTATAGAAACCAAATCATAAGACGCCCTGGTTGTGGTATTGCTCACCAATGTTTTGGCATGCTGCACAAGAAAACTTGTGAACAGAGCTCCCATTTATGGACTGTGTAAATGGACGATGATCACAGACGTTGGTTGGCAACTGTGTGTAACAGTGATACTAGTTGTCTCGCTTCCACCAACGTTCAGGTTTGGTCAGAAACATATGGTCGGAGTTTTTTTCTCTTCCTGGTCCTGAATTGGATGCTTGATGAGGAGTTAAGGAGCTCAATCGGTTTTGTGCATTGTACGATCATGGCCCTCTCTGCATCTCCCTAACTTGGTCTTTGAGAGTTGCAGCTTGGCTTGAGATTATGGTCGATCTTCTTAAAAGATCCCGACCCTCTTTTGATCGAGGCCGCTTTCTTCAGGCGTAAGCTTAATGCTAGAACGGATTGGGTTGCTCGCTCGCTCGTTAGCACGTAATGAGCACCCTCATGACTACTTGCTATTCTTAACTTACTTTCACCCATTCGTATGTAACCTATGCATGAACAAAATTGTACGTCTTTGTGACAGAAAGAAAGGGGCGACTACAAAAACAAAAATCAATTTGAAAGAAACCAATGGCTAGTTTTTCCAAGAAAGAGCAACAACTAGTTTTATGAACTCTATAAATGGCCTTTCGTTCACTTTGCCCATTTCACCACTTGTTAATATTTCTCTTCCTCCCAGACTCTGAAATATTGATCATGTCTATGAGTGATTAGTATCCAAATTGGAACATTCTTTATGCAAAGCTTGTATTGAAGTTATAGAGGACGATTCCATCATTGATTATCTGTCATCGAGTGAATTTTGGGGGCGAATTATTGCCATATTTCGTCGTAATGTACGGTCGACGTGGGGATGTAAGATTATCAGTAATAATTATGAGGCCTTGAATGCAGCGCTGAGGAGGGAACACGAGACACCACACATGTATTGAACCTAAATGACGTTGTTAGTCAAGTTCTTATATTTATTACCATGTATTTAATATTTTTAATTATGTATGTAGTTCATAGTTATATAATTAAATTAATTGTCTAGGTAACTCAAGAAAAAACAATTATCGTAGCAGATAACAAAAAAATAAAATAAATTCAAGTTCGAGTATTGTTGGAGTAGCTTCAAATATTGTTCAAAACTTATGCAACAACTTAATGCCCCATAGCGACTATTTCACCAATAGAGACGACTTCAACGTCCATGTCATCTTGCGAAAGTGATAGCCCCAGCTTTCAAACAAGTGTGTCTCCTTTTATGATCAACCTTATGAAAAGGTCGGGGTAAGCAAAATGTTTAGGAATGAGGGAATCTAGAGCCTTCCATGGAGGCTTGGCAAAAGAGTATGGCCAAACTGGTGACAAATTCAATCACACATGCAAGATTAGTACTCACAAGTCGAGGTAAGCAAGGGATAAGAATAAGCTCGAACAAGAGATAATGAATTTGGATCTTCCTCAATGTATACCTCGAATTAGAGCTTGGTATCAAGCACAAAAAGATGGAATTGTGGTCTTGTATCAACTTGATTCAATTTCAGTTGCGGAAGAATCCAGCTCTTGCTCATGGGATGACACTTACGTCCCCGACACGTAATATTTTAAGTAGATTGATCTGCTTTATTCTGATTATATTTCTTTAACTAAAGTTGGATGAACGATTAATGACACAACTCATTTTGTCCAATCACATTAATCTATAACCAGCTGAACAAATTATTGTATTTCCATAATTGATTAAGTCATATTTAGTGATAAAAATTAATCATTACTACCGTCTACCTATATAAAAATAATTTCAAAGAAAGTCACATAAAATGAAGAAGATACACTAAATTTCTTTTTTTTTTTTTTTGGTTAGAAAAGTTACACTATAAATTAGATTCGGACAAAAAATTAAATGGCTAGAACCAAATTTAGCGCTGGGCGGGTTGCTACAGTCTGGTTCTAGTTTGACAGCTCTATTAAAGACTATCTTCAATCAACGGCCTAAAATCAACAAAGGGACGAGCCACGAGTAAAAAAAACATCCATAGTATAGTAGCATTCAGAATTTCAGATCAAGCTTTTGCCTTCTCAAGTAGGCGAACTTAACGAACAGCATAACGTTATATTCCCTATTATTCCCAGCAGTCGGAAACAGCCACGTGAAAAACAAATATTACAGACCTGCATTAACCTCTCAAATCCCACTCCAACAAAAATAACTAAAAGCAAATACTTTTACAAGACCGCCTGCAATAGACGCCTTCTTGATGCCACCCTTCACCCAGCCATGTGAAGGTAAGCCTCTTACGACTCTTGAGGTGCCTCGAATCGTGTTGGTGTATCAATTCCCATCATACAGCAAAGTCCCGATATCAAAATCAGAAGCAAAACAATCCCCTGCAACATGTGCAACTTTGAATTAGGATCCGCAAAGTGCAAAGGGTGCAGCAACCAGGAAAGCATAGCAATAGACGCAACCAAGAGTGAGTGAGCGAGCGAGCAAGTAAGCAAACCGGGTTGCGCTACAGCAGACCAATAGATGGTAAAAGTTAGGAGCACCAAAACAAGAACAAGGTATTCATCCAAGGACACCTGAACAGCCTAAATATCAAAATAAGAAATGAAGCTTCGAAGGAGCTAACAGTTCCAACAGTATGAGTTTCGCATGTGAATCATCTTATCAAACATTTTTCATCAAATAGATTAGAGCAACTGTATTCTTTTCAAAATTTATATATTAGCATGTTATCAACTAACCGCATATTCACAGATCAAACCTGAAGTTAAGGACAAGGGGGAAATATAATAAATAGATTGATAAGAATGAATCATGAAATTAAATCAAAATCGATTAAAATGTGCATGCACTTAATGCTTATTGCTTAATCTGCAATGAAGATGTAACTTCAAAGGTGTGAGGATTGTCTATTGACCAACATGTTAATTTCCAGCACAGTAATTCTTTAACTCGGTTATGTAACCGGAAATAATCCACACAATATCAGTATGGAATCAGTGAGCCAAACAAAGTGCACACTGCAAGCAGAGATCCACACTCCATTCAAGATGTTAATGCATTCAACAGTAACACCAGATATCTTGGTAACATTTGAATCAAAGGCCAAAAGGAACTTACCACTAAAACTCCCTCCAGAAGTGATGATTTGATTTGGCATAATTCATCACACCCCGTAGATTTAAGTGACTCGTTTCGCTGAGTATCTTCGGCCAGAAACCTTCCTGAATTTGACTGAGAAGGGTATAGGATAGATTGAAAGGGATTTGAAACATATAGGACCGAGTACGTTGCTCCTGACGCTTCCACAGAGTTGATAAGCTCAGAAAAAACTTCACCTACACATTCAAGAAACCCAGCAGCGTAAGAATTTTTGTGGAATAAAATCAGAAATAATATGGAAAATCTGAAGCTTCGATAACGCAATGAGAAAACAGACCTTCACTTTGTGACTTCCCGACCATTTTTGAGGACTGAGAACCTCCATGGCAGAAAACAACAAGGTCTGTTCGGCCATCCACTCTCTTTTCAGCCCTTGAACTGAGGTGATCCTGGATGATATATGGGGTTCAAAGGTTGTGTAGGGTTAAAAGATAATTACAGGTCTGCCCCAGGAAATGATAAAAATAATCTTGAACATGTCGAAATGACTTACTCGGACTGCTTCCACATCAACAAGCTTCTGGAACTTTTGATCATCAATGGAGCATGACTCAGAAAAAGCAACAGTGCTGGCTTCTAACTCCTCTCCGCAAGCTTCTTGGAAACCCATCAACAAAGAATTCTCCATCGACTCCTTTGGTGATGCTGCAACGTAAGGAAATCCCATGGAAAGGTTGGACTTCGAAAAGGAGACCTACCCAAATGCACGGCATCAGTCAGTACAACAGCTCAGACTACTGCAGCATCAGTATGCTAGATGGTTAGTTGAACTCTTTGAGATTAGTGGGATTATGACCGGTTACCTTGAGCAAGTTCAACAAGACCGGGTCTGTATCAGTGTTTGCAGAAATGTCAGATGACAGGAGCTGCAGACATGAGCGTAAAAAATGAAGAGATACAACAATCAATTACCAATTTCTTTGCAGGAAAGTTACTGTAAAAAAAGTTGCAAAGCCATGCAACTGAAAGGATACACTGGAGCATCCAAGGAATGACACTAATGGAAACAAAAGTTTGTTCCACAAACTAGGGGAGCTAGAAATCCAAGTTTAACCATTAGCCGGAATAGAAATTAGAAAAGCACCATCTTTGTGCAGGTGATGGTCATGCTACCTAATTTTAACTATTAGACTTTCTCTTTTAAGAATATAGAACTATGAACCTCAAAAAGGTTATTACCTCTCTACCAACGAAGACAAGTGCCACGTCCACAGGCTGGTGAACCTTTTTCCCAGGGCACTAAAAAAGTACAGATATAAAAGTTCATCAAGCCTAGAACCCAAGTTATTGTCTATAAACTTGAGAAAAAACCAATGGAAAAAAATCCAAAGGATAAAGAAACCAAAAGCATTTGGGAAAACCATGCGACGAAGAAACTCTTGATACCATTAAGTTTGACCAGCCGCCTTGAGATAGAACAGACTTGGCAAGATCTAGTGAAGAAATTGTCTGGTAGGTAACAGCGGCATCCATCTCACCATTTGAGACCCTATAACAACTCTAGTAAGTACATATAATTCCACTGAAAAGTACACAACAAGTATGCATATCATATTTCTGAATTCTTTTGAGTGATAGGCAGATCAGATGTCACTCAAATATGAGTCCTTGCACAAGAATGAGTTGATGACATAACTTGTGAAACACATTATGTGCATACTTATGCAATTCTAAGTAACATGAAAATATAACTTGTCTGCCTCCATGACCACAAGCAATGTGACTAAATTTGAGCTCATACGCACATGAGAAAAGAAGGCGGGGTGGGAGTGGATGGTGTCTCGAGGGAAAGAGCTTAGCAACTGAAAAAGGAAACAAGGGTAACCTACTGATGGAGGTGAGGAGAAAAGAGAAGAGCAGGGGAAGTTGGCGATGGGACAGCCATTGGTGAATGAATAAGAGCCGCAACAACCAATAGTTGAAGCCACATTTGAATACCATTCATCCTCATCTTGTTCTCGCTTCCTTTCTGCTACCCTACAAATAATCATCACCCGAAGCCACAGCAGACCATCAATATATTGAGCACAGATTACCCAAAGCAGAAAATACAACTTAAGCACCTGACAACTGAACATCCGTTCTGCATCTAAGTTTCACATAAAGAATCCGATCAAATCAAGTAAAGAAACCAACCAGACAGAAAGGCCAAAATGGACGGCTCCACAGCCACCGCATAAGCATATCACAATCAGCAATTCCAAATGGAATGAACTATACCTCACTAGGAGCACCAAAATCGCCATAACCACTTTGCATCATCTAGGGATAAACACAACTCTCTCTAGTTACTGATTATAGAAAAGGCAAATCCAAAAAGAGGATACGAAACAAAGCACAAAGTTCGCATGAATTTCAATCGCGACAAAACACAAATTGTTTCATCCTAAGCTTAGTCGGCAACTATTTTGGGAGAATCGTAACCTGATGTCGAAGATACCTAGAAACAGCCGGAAAAAAATAAATCCAGGCGATCGCGGTGGGGCAGAACTTCGCTTGCAGCTTTTTCTTCTCGTCTCTCCCGATCGGGCAGAGATAGATTTAGCGGCGAGGATCGTCGACAGCACGACCAGACCGTCGGAGTGCAATCGTAGGCGACGACGGCTAAATTCCTCAGTACTCTCGCTTCCCTTCCCTGCGACCTGCTAGCCAAATCCAGATCTTCTGATCTAATTTCCTTCTCCAATTTTATCAGAACCAGAGGCCAAACTTGAAGGACAAAGAAAATAACACGAAACAATAACTACCACCATAAATAACCAAAAAAAGAATGTAGCTCCAAAGCACGAAACGTCGTCGTCATCGGTGATAGGAGACTAGGAGTTAGGCCGGGAAGTAGGGATGGCAAAAATATCCGTAACCGTGGATATCCGTCCGAATCCGACCTTGTCGGGTAGGATAAAATTCGAACCCGAATGACTTTTAGCGGGTACGGGTAAAACCCGAACCCGAATATTGCGGGTAATGAGTGGGCATGGTTTTCTCACTATCCAACCCGAACCCGCCCGATATACACATGCATATGTATTTTGTCTAGAAATAATCATTATTTTTCTCTAATATATTTTATATTTAGCATATAAATATAATCTTTTTCATGAAATTGTGTTGTTTTAATGAATTTTCTTAATTCTAGTGAATTATTGTCATACTTTTTGTCTTATTTAATGTGAGCATACATGTGAATAATAACAATATTGGTTGAAGTTATAAAGAGAAACTATTACCCATGGATAACCGTGGATACCCGAAACCCGAACGGGTATGAGCATGATTTTGATTTTCTACCCGTTTCTTATGTGGGTATGGGTATGGGTAAAACCCGAACTACTTTGGGTAGGGTAACGGATATGCACTATCCGTCCCCGACCCGACCCATTGCCATCCCTACCTGGAAGTTTGCTACTATATTGAGATATATCGGATATACCGAATACCAAATACAGTACCGAATTTGTAGATATTTTGTATTATCGAATACACGTATTATTTCATGGAATTGAGATTGGGATTGGAATTGAATTTCAAGTGTTATTTGATATTAGGATTTTGGGATTGAGATTTGTATAATACCGAAATATCGATTAATACTGAAATATAAGCTAGTGTGTATCGCTCCCAACTAGACTCCCTCACTTGCTATTATCAAACTCTCAACTGCCAAGATGGTCACTTTATTATAGATAAGCTCATTCTCTCACAATTTGACAACTCATACCAAACTCATTTTGTTACTTGTAGTATGTTTATGAGTTGTTTATACGTCCCATTCTCCAGTTTGAAACTATAGTTTGTTAATGTGCTTATTAGACATCACATTCTTTAGTTTGTTGTTATTATACTTGAGATTTTTCTCATTTGTTTTGCATGAGTGTTTGCACCATTGTTTGTTTTTGGACTTTGCTACGGTAACTTGCAAGTCACCATAAACTGCACTTTTCGGTCGACCTCAGATAGGATTAGGTCAACCTAATTAGTTGTTTTAGTATTGTTAGCCTCAACGACGCGGTTGACCTTTATGAGCAAATGACTGACCTCTTTGGGAAGCGAACAATATATTAAAAGGTCGACCCAAATACCGCAAAAGGTCGACCATTTTGCTACTAAAAGGTCGACCTCATAAGTGAAAAGGTCGATCTCTGTCCAGTTAACTAATCAACATAAAATTCGAGATTAGTTAGGACAATAGTATGAAAGGTCGACCTCGTACTAGTCAGGTCGATCGCGTTCATACTGTATCCGTATTGGAAAAGGATTTCAACCCCAGAAATGTAACCCTAACTTGTCTAACACGTAATTCAACCCAATCTCGTCCTAAATATCTATAAATACGAATATATGTCACCTTCACCGCCATAAAACTTTAAATTTGGGTTTTTGTACGTGTAGAGCTTTTGTCGAGAAAGATCCTTTTCGGTTGCTGTTGTACAAGTTTGAAGAGGTCGACCTATTTAAGCTTTCGCCGTCATCTTGTCTAATGCATAATTTGCACCGTCTAATTAGATGTTTTCTTGCGTGCAGAAGACCATTCGGTCGACCTATATCGAAATCAGGTCGGCCTCTGTTCGACAATTGAGAGAAATTGAATTTAGGGCACAACACTTGGTCTTATGTACTTGCGAGGTAAGGAAAATCAAACCGCAATAGGTCGACCTAATTATTGTCGAGGTCGACCGTTTCTGTTTGTTGTGCTTCTTTATCCAGAATGTCGTCTTTGTTTGTAAGACTATGTTGTGCTTAAAAGGTCGGTTGCTCGATGTGTCTGGTCGACCTATCACTTGCATTACACATGTTTTTACTTGTAAATCCGTATTTTTCTGCTAGATAGGTCGACCTAGGAAGAGCAAAGGTCGACCTAATTGGTTCTAGTAGTGACAACTTATGTCTTTAAGGTCGACCTAATGGTAAGTCAGGTCGACCACGTCTCTGTTGTTGATCATTTATACAAAATAGAAGTTGAATTCTAATTTGAAATTTTCTTTAAATTATTTAGACGATGGCGAATGATGAGAACAACAACACGATGAGTGTGAAATGATGAAAGTGTTGAAAGCCACACAAGAGCATCTGGTGGTGTGTTGAAAAGAATTAAATAACTATCAGAAGTCTAGTGGTGATACACTGGAGCAATTATCAGTTCGATTGACTGGGATGATGCATAATGGTTTTAAAATGCTAGAAGGTGCTATCAAAGAAAACGTGCAGAACGAATGAGGGAAGAGAGGAATAGATAGTAGCATAAAGAAATTTGACTTTGCTGAAGAGAAGGAAGACCATGACGACTCTGCAAATTACTACTAGAGCATAGACGATTATTTCCGGGCCGATTTTGGGCAAATTCCAAAGGGGTACCATCACAGATTTCGTGCGATTTTTCCGAAATGCTATTTTCTTTCGATTTTGGAGGCTACATATCACAGATTCCGCCCGAGGCTATTCTCCACCGATAATGAAGTCTATTGATCCCATTCTCTACCAGTGATTAAGTCCATTACGCATATAATTCGGCCAATTTATTTTGGGATTGCATTTTCGTAATTCTTTGGGAGATTATTTTTCGAAAAGCCATTTTCCATGGATTTTGAAGGCTACAGATCACAGATTCGCCCTGAGGCTATTCTTCAACGACGAGTAATTCCATAAAGGAAGGAATCGGGCAGATATATTACGGGCTCATTTTGGGTAGCTTCCAAAGGGGTCCATCACAGATTTTGGGCGATTTTTCAAAAATGCTATTTTCTTTCGATTTTGGAGGCTACATATCACGGATTCCGCCCGAGGATATTCTCCAACGATAATGATGTCTATTGATCCTATTCTCCACCAATGATTAAGTCTATTAGGCATAGAATTCGGCCAATCTATTTTGGGATGGCATTTTCGTAATTCCTTGGGGATTTTTTTCGAAATGCCATTCATCATGGATTTTGAAGGCTACCGATCATGGATTCAGGCTGAGGCTATTCTTCAACGACCAGTAAGTCCACTAACGAAGGATTCGGGCCGATTTATTCTGGGCCCAGTTTTGGCAGATTCCATAGGGGCACCATCACAGATTTCGAGCGATTTTTCCGAAATGCAATTTTCTTTCGATATTGGAGGCTACAGATCACGGATTCAGCCCGAGGCTATTCTCCACCGATAATGAAGTCTATTGATCCTATTCTCCGCCAATGATTAAGTCCATTAGGCATAGAATTCGGCCAATATATTTAGGGATGACATTTTCGTAATTCTTTGGGCGATTTTTTTTCGAAATGCCATTTTCCATGGATTTTGAAGGCTACAGATCACGGATTCAGCCTGAGGCTATTCTTCAACGACGAGTGAGTCCACTAAGGACGGAATCAGGCAGATTTATTCCGGGCCCATTTTTGGCAGATTCTAAAGGAGTACCATCACAGATTCCGAGCGATATTGTCGAAATGCAATTTTTTCCCGATTTTGGAGGCTACAAATCACGGATTCAGCACGAGGCTATTCTCTATCGATAATGAAGTCTACTGATCCTATTCTCAACCAATGATTAAGTCCATTAGGCATAGATTTGGGCCAATTTATTTTGGGATGGCATTTTCGTAATTCTTTGGGCGATTTTTTTTTCGAAATGCCATTTTCCATGGATTTTGAAAGGTACAAATCACGGATTTCATCCTGAGGCTATTCTTCAACGACGAGTAAGTCTATTTAGGACGGATTCGGACGAATTTATTCTTAGCCCATTTTTGGAATATTCCAAAGGGGTACCATCACAAATTTTGGGAGATTTTTTCGAAATGCTATTTTCTTTTGATTTTGCAGGCTACATATCACTGATTCCGCCCGAGGCTATTCTCCACCGATAATGAAGTCTATTGATCCTATTCTCCACCAATGATTAAGTCCATTAGGCATAGAATTCGGCCAATTTATTTTGGGAGGGCATTTTCGTAATTCCTTGGGAATTTTTGTTTGAAAAGCCATTCATCATGGATTTTGATGGCTACAGATCACGGATTCAGCCTGAGGCTATTCTTCAACGACGAGTAAGTCCATTAAGGACGGATTCGGGCGGATTTATTTTGGGCCCATTTTTGGCATATTCCAAAGGGGTACCATCACAAATTTCGGGCGATTTTTCAGAAATGCTATTTTCTTTCGATATTGGAGGCTACATATCACGGATTCAGCCCGAGGTTATTCTCCACCGATAATGAAGTCTATTGATCCTATTCTCCGCCAATGATTAAGTCCATTAGGCATAGAATTCGGCCAATCTATTTAGGGATGACATTTTCGTAATTCTTTGGGCGATTTTTTTCGAAATGCCATTTTCTATGGATTTTGGAGGCCATAGATCACGGATTCAGCCCAAGGCTATTATTCAACGACGAGTGAGTACACTAAGGACGGAATCAGGCAGATTTATTCTGGGCCCATTTTAGGCAGATTCCAAAGGGGTACCATCACAGATTTCGAGCGATTTTGCCGAAATGCAATTTTCTTTCGATTTTGGAGGCTACAAATCACGGATTCAGCCTTAGGCTATTCTCTATCGATAATGAAGTCTACTGATCCTATTCTCCACCAATGATTAAGTCCATTAGGCATAGAATTGGGCCAATTTATTTCCGGATGACATTTTCGTAATTCTTTGGGCGATTTTTTTTCGAAATGCCATTTTCCATGGATTTTGAAGGGTACAAATCACGGATTCGGCATGAGGCTATTCTTCAACGACG